TTCGGCTCCGTCGGCGCCTTCGGAGCGACGATGCGAGCCACCGTTTGGTCGCTGCGACCGACACGGCGTGCAATAGCATGGTTAGACCACCCGGCCTCGTGCAGTCCTTGGATTCTCCCGCGTTCTTCGTCGCTGACGCGTGGCTTGGGCGGCATCTTTGCGAATGCCGTACTGGTTGGGATTTTTACGGCCCCACCACTAATCTTAATATATGAATTTTTGTATGGTCCAATCTGCGTGATAATTGTGTCACTAAACCATATTTGTCTGCTTGTATGTGAGCCCCACTACAGCCATGGAAATGCCGATCGTTAACACAAGAGCGGGGTCGGTAACGGTAGTAGCAGCAACATATCTAAAGCGCAGCTCCTAACTCTAAATATTGACTGAGATATAGCTACAAACTCGGGTGCGTGATTGCACTTGGCGCGGAGTGTACGCGCTGCTATAGCTAACTATGGATACTTAGCGATAGCAGCGCATAGTAAATGATAGTAAATGATAGCAGCGTATAGTAAGCGATAGAAGCGCATAGAAGGCGATAGCACCGACGTAATAAGCGATAGCAGTGCGAGTACATGTAGCGAGAGGTACAGTAGCTGAAGACGATTGATTAATAGTTTCAGGTTAGTTTTTGTGTAATACTATAGGGACGGATATATTATAGCTGCAGCGGTGCTGAGTGTTCATCTATAAAGGCATATAGCTACACTGGCTTAAACGTGCGGCATGTATCTGTAACTTATAGTATTTAGCGGTAAGATAATGGGTTCTAGGGATTGTAGATGCCTAGACATGCATTGGGTTGGAGATTTTATTGTAGTTCATACTGGCATTCCATTGACGCGTTCCCCGCCACTCTAACAATACTGATGAGCCGTACAATACCTGTATATTAACGAATTAGCATTCCACGCTATATGAATTTTGAACGCGACGGTGATACTTTCGCTATTCAACTATAGGTAGTACGCAAAAGTGTTAATGTGCATTACGTAGTCCAATAATTTACTGATACGCACGTCTTAGCTCATTAAAAATGATATTTGAAGCGGGATACGCCGAAATTAACGCAGGCCACAGCTCATTACATTCTTAGGGCCGTACAAAATGCTGAAACGATGCAGCACGATATATCCACTTTTTTTAAAAGAAAACTAGCTCGAAAGGTAATGCTGAGAACATGAATAGCGAAGCCATCACTTTGGGCTTATCGCCTGATCACAGAATGTAAATTCTATAGCCTACCAACCGTATAGAGAAACAAACTATAGTTGCGATAACATAATAAAATAACAGGTATACAGACTTCAAAGTGAGCACACTGTAGATAGCAACACCGTATTGATCTACCCCACCACGACATGTAGCTCATGCCAAAGTTTAATTCTACTACAGGTACAACACACAGATTACTTAAGGGATGTACTCCGCGGGGACTTTGTAATCGGATTAAGTAGTTGTACCTGTTTGGACCCGGTTTACAACAGGGTACCGTACGATAGATCGAATGTTTTACCTTACTACATTCATCTACTCTGACGTAGGGATATGTATTAAGCTGATTTCAGTCACGTCACACTACTGATAGTACCTCATCATAAATAAACACTTTTTTACATGCACACAAGCAAATTTAATAACCTTTAAACTAAATAAAAGCCCACCGGAGCAAAGCGGCGGCGGGCGTCTCTTACTACTACGACTAACCACAAAACTACCGCCGCGTAGCGGCGGCGCTCGGGAGAGATCTGTCCGTCTGTCAGTCCGTGCGTCACGCATGGCGACAAAATTAGGGTGGTCGACATAATCGTACCTAGGCTGCCTTGGACGGCCCCCCACCAAAGCCGAGCGCACACCCGCGCGCATTATAGCGGGCCGCAGGGTCCGCCCAACTTCAAAGTTACTAATAACGCTGCGAGTAGTGCAGCGAGCCGACGAGGCAAGCGGAACGGGGGCGATAAACATGCATCACCCCCGCCGCCTAATACTTTTCGGACCATCTGATGTTAATTAAATTTGGCCCACCGCGTAGCAGCGATAGCTGGGCCCGCACTTCTACTTAGAATAATAGCCCTGCAACGAGGTTTGCTGTAAAAGTAACTGGCACGAGCGTAGTAAGCGATAACAGTACGTAGTATGCGATAGCAACGCGTAGTAAGCGATAGTGTGGTGTAGTAAGCGATAGCAGTGTGCAGTAAGCGATAACAGTGCGAGTACACGTAGTGGAAGGAGTGCACAGATTATTACTAATACATGCAGAACACTTTTACTGTAATACTTTAGGGCTGGACGCATTATAGCTGCAGCGGTGCTTAGTGTTCATGTTACGAGGGCATATAGCTACATTGGCTGAAGCCCGTTTATATATTGCAGGTACAGTGTGTAGCGGTAGGATAATGCGTTAGTGGGGTCGTAGATACATGCATTCTGACATTCACTGAGCGGGAGATTTTTATCATAGTTTACGCTGAGATTCCTTCGATAACCGTGTTATTGGGCGGATATACATTCAGGAAACGGAATCAGCATAACGGAAACGTGCATAGTTTCGGGGTACGAACTTCTTACTTTTAAAATCTTAGCTATTGTACTGCAGGTGGTACACTAAAATGCTAATGTTCGCCGTGTAGTAGAACGTGGTACACTAAAATGCTAATCTTCGGTGTGTAGTAGAACAAGAAACTGACGAATTCCTGAGTTTTGAAGCGATCCACGTAGAAGCTAACGTAGCCCGGAGCTGAATACATATTTTGGAGCGGAGAAAATGCCCAAACGATGTAGCAAAATATGGAAACGGTGTTTTATAACAACAGAGGCACTAAGTAGAATGTTAAGTAGAAGAATAGCGACATTTTAATTGTGATTTGGGCTAATTGCCCGGGTACAGAATGCATAGCTACACCTACGGACCAATTAACAGAAAACTATAGTAGTGATACACTTGGCAATTCAAGACGTACACAGAGTTGTGTGAACATACCGTATATAGATATATCATATCAAGCCACCCTACAACGACGACATGTAGCTTATGCCAATGTTTCTTTTGATCACATTACACGAAATACAAATTATTTAGATATGCACTACGAGACGACGTTGTAGTCGGGTTAATAAATCGTGGCGATGTGGACACGCTCTACGGCACCATACCGTACAACAACATAGATCTATTTGCATTAACTCTAACGTGGAAACATTGTTTAAGCTGATGCCAGCTACGTAACTCTTCTATGTAACAGTACTTCTAACACAACACTTTTTACGTGCAAACAATCGAAATTAAAAGCATTTGAACCGGATAAAGCCCACCGGAGCGGAGGTGGGCGGCCCTTACTACTGCGACTAACCACAAAACCATCCACCGCGTAGCGGCGGCGCTCGGCTAGTCCTAAGAATCAATCAGAGCGTCGCTGTCCGTCGGTCACAGAAATCGTCACGCTTATTCACTAAGTACGAATCCTACTAAGTACGAGTAGCTGGCGAGCGCAGCGAAGGCGACCCCACCATACGGTATTGCAGGACCCGCCCCGGCCTCTGTAGTACTAATCTAACATTGAGAGTAGTGCAGCGAGCCGACGAGGCGAGCGGAACGGGTCCGCCACTGCCGTAGCGAAGCGTAGGCAGTCTGCTCCAATAGCGCAGCGAGCATTGCGAGCGAAGCGCCAACTAACAAAAAATTCACCGCCGCGTAGCGGCGGCGCTCGGCTAGTTAGTGAAAGGCACAATACTGTGGATGTTGAGCTGCAAGCAGCAACAAAGAGGCAACCTGCAGGTGTACATGCAGTGAAGAGCACCAAACCATCGGGTTAGGCGAATCGTCATGAGGACAGCGATGATCTACCGAATAATGCCTGCTTTATCGATCCAAAACCTCGACAGGAGTAACCAAGTCCAGAATGCCGTAGCTGCTCACGACCTCACATTAGGAAACTCAGCACGATCCACTTCGCAGCAAATGCGGCGACAAGCTGCGAACGATAGAACACTTCCTTTACCAGTGGTCGATCTGCTTTAGTTGCTTACCCCCATGCGAACAGTCTTGGTGACGGAAGTGGAGGCAAAGCTCATTTTGGTACCTCGCCCGAAGTGATGGAAGGCTGGCCATCCGCTGCCTGTTGCAAGCACGAATGCCAAACAGCAACAATACCATATTCATCACCAGTAACCATACGAAGACCTCAGTGCTGCAGCATACATCGTCGAGGTGGAATCTCTAGCGCTGCCGGGCCTAGTGCTGTCGAGAGCTTCGTCGCAGGGTCTTCTCGGTCGATTCCGCAATGAACCCGTGCCGCGAGGTCTCCGTTAACTCGCCTGGCTCTGCGCTGCTGACGTACTTGCGGGAGTCGTCGTGACGCACACGGGCAAGTCACCGCCATGGGAGCCGAGGCCCGCGCGCGGGTATCGGAACCTCTTGGCCGAGCACCACTTCTTCGCGCCCGTGCATCGGCCCAAGACCGCTGCACCATCAAGCATTGTCACTGCACTTCTTCTCGCGGACTACAGATTCGCGGCAGCAACATGGTGGCATTACCGCCCGCCAGCTGCAGCGCGCAGGAGACTCCCGTCTCTATCCGCGATGGTGTCCGATCGAGTGCGGGCGTGATGACGACAGCGTAGCCCGCGCAAATATTTTTTTGACCAGCACCCTAGCTCACAGCTCACTACAGTAATGCCACGAAAAATGCCACTGCGCGTCCATTTAGCGTTGTCCGCTGCCACCTGCCACACTGGCGCAGCGAATCGCCATCCCAGGTGGCTCGCAAGTAAAAAATCCTTTTGCTTAAAGTTCGAGGGAATACATAGGGCAGGTAACTCCGCCTATGATTGGCTCTCCTGCGCCTAGATTTACTCTGTGATTCGACATAAAACCGCCACCACCCAAACTAAACCCATAAAAAGCCCAAAACAAACCCAATTGGGCTGCGGTTTCCTAAGATTGGGTCCCCCCATACGTGGGTGGCGATCTGTCCCCTCATTCCTCGATTTGCTGGCCCCAGCTCAAGCCTCGTCGTCCGTCCCTTATCGAAGACCCCACAGCCCACCATGGCGTCCACGATCGCGTCCTTCGCCAACTTCCTCAAGCAGTCCAAGGCGCACGCCGTGGACAACCGCGAGGTGCTGATCGCCGGCGTGCTGTACAAGAAGCCCGAGCGCAACTCGCTGCTCTGGAAGAAGCGCTACTGCGTCGTGTACAAGGACGAGCTGCAGATCGTCTACTTCCTGTCCCTCGAGGACTTTGAGAAGCGCGCCATCCGCGGCAAGATCCCCTTCAGCTCCGTGCACGCGTGGGACGGCAAGCCCAACGGCTTCCAGTTCTACACGCCGTCCAACAACTGCTTCCGCGTGTACACGGAGACGCCCGAGGACCAGCTCAAGTGGCTCGAGGTCATGCAGAAGGCGCTGGACAACGCCCCCGACAAGAAGGACGGCGAGAAGGTCGAGTACACGCGCCCCGTGGCCTCGTCGCCCTCGTCCTCCCCCAAGGGCGCGTCCTTCCGCTCCAAGCGTAGCGACTCGTGGCGCGAGGAGGACCCCGACGTGCTGTCCATGGCCGTGGAGCTCGAGGACCTGCGCTCCGAGGTGACCACGCTCAAGGCCGAGCTCGCCTCGTACGAGCAGGCTGAGAAGCGCTACGGCACGGAGATCAGCGCCGCCCGCATGCGCCGCGGCTCCGTCCTGGACGACGGTACCGAGCTCAGCATCGAGCCGCGTGAGATGGAGCGCATGCGCGCCATCTTCAACCTCTTCGACGTGCAGGGCAACGGTTTCATCAGCGAGGACGACCTCATGGACCTGCACGCCAAGCTCGGCGAGCCCATCTCGACCGAGGACGCGCGTGAGGCTGTGTCGTACATGCACAGCAAGTCCGCGACCGGCCAGATCGACTTCAACTCGTTCATGAAGTGGTGGAACGACGACCACGCCGCCGCCAACCAGACCGAGGCCATGCGCCGCTACCAGGCCAAGTTTAAATTCCTGAAGGCGCGTATCGCCAACCCGGAGGTCGGCAACATCGAGACGGAGGCCGTCGGCGCCTTCCCCAGCTTCGAGTTCCGCGTCAACTTCTACCACACGGGCCCCAACGGCGAGCGCCAGCAGATCTCGCCGTGGCACGACATCCCCCTGTACAACCCGGACGGCACGGTCAACTTCATCTGCGAGATCCCCAAGTGGACCCGTAAGAAAATGGAGATCGCCACGGGCGAGCCCTTTAACCCCATCAAGCAGGACACCAAGAACGGCAAGCTGCGCGAGTACGGCTGGGGCGAGATGATGTTCAACTACGGCGCCATGCCGCAGACGTGGGAGGACCCCTCGCACGTGACGGAGGGCACGGGTTGCGTTGGCGACAATGACCCGATCGACGTCGTGGAGATCGGCACCAAGCAGTGGCGCACGGGCTCCATCGTGCAGGTCAAGATCCTCGGCGTGCTCGCCCTGATCGACGACAACGAGACGGATTGGAAGGTTATCTGCATCAACGTGGAAGACCACTACGCCCCGCTCATCAACGACGTGGCCGACATCGAGGCCCACATGCCCGGCTGCATCACGGCCATCCACGACTGGCTCCGCGACTACAAGCTACCCCAGGTGAACAAGTACGGCTACGACGACAAGTGCATGGGCCGCGACTTCGCCGAGGCCACTGTGGCCGAGACCCACGAGTTCTGGAAGCTGCTGATCGAGCAGCGCGGCGGCCAGGCCACTGTCTAAGCGGTCCCGGGTTCTGCGCTGGCCACTCCGGCTGGAGGAATAGTAGACACAGGCACCACAAAGCTGGAGTAAATGTAAAACACCGACAAAAATGACAAAACCTCGTTTTCAAGCAAGGTGTCGTGGCCATCGTCGTCTGCGCATGTAGGTCCAGTGGATACCGTATGCGACGGGCGGTCCGCTTTGGTGCTTGGTGCGCAGGTCCCGCCGTGCCGATCCAGATTTGCTCCTGCGATTGCCCAAACATCAAATCCCTTGGCCGAGAGTGTCTGACGACCTGGAGCTCGACTGGATCAAGAATCGAGGTCGCTCTGGGTCACGCAAGGCATGCCATTCCACGCGCAGCGTTCTGATCTTGGCCCGACCCACCCAAGAAAAGCTGCAGTCTTATCACTGCTGAAAATATTGTCGCTTGATGGCCGTCCAAGAAAGTCATTGATGTGCGTGCGATGGCGCTGCAAATAGCGAGTACGGCGCTGAAATTGGAAGTTGAAGGCGCGAGAGGTGGGTTGTCCGGTGACTGCCGTTGACTTGGGGTGCCTCCTTCAGCCTCGTCCTCGACCGACTTTCAGGTCTCTCGTAGTCACGTTCCGCATGTTGCTATTCTCTGCCGAAGCTTCTTAGAGCGTCATTCAGGAATCTACCTGCAGCGGTGATTTGTGCGAGGTCGAGGGGGGCATCACACACCCAGTCGCCATGCCCTTGGAAGTTGTCCTTCCAACTGGGCCCCACAATGTCGCGGACAACAACGATGCTGTCCCCGAGCTGCTCCCTCCAGTCAAGGTGTCGCCGGACCGCCGAAGACCGAGATCTCCGTCCTCACACGACAGTCGACCAGCGTCTCCGACCTTCATCGAGATTGATGGGATGGGAACCAGCAGCTCCATCATCACTTCTAGCGCCACTTCAATTGCTACTTCGGCTTCGACCGCGTTGGATATGAGTGCTGTGAGTGTGGCTGACACTACCAGCCCCCAAGATGTCACCGCAGGCAAGGCTCTAGCGAGAGTCAACGCCCGAGCGAATCTGTCGATCCTTGACAAGCGCATGCGCATTGGAAAGAAGAAGAAGGGGGGATACAAGAACGTCGAGCGCAGCTTCAAGCCTCCTGCCGGCAATGTGATTAACCTGCAGCACGAGCAGTACGCGCTCACGTACGGCATGATGTGCGGTATTCGGGATTCTGCTGGGCTCCAGAAGCCCTTCAAGCAGCGGCTGACGATGGACGACTTCATGCTCGTGGACAAGAAGATCTTCCCCGCCAACTCCCAGCTGCAGCACCCGTTCAAGTTCAAGGACTACTCGCCCGACGTGTTCCGCCAGGTGCGTCGCCGCTTCGGCATCGACCTAGCCGACTACATGCTCACACTCAGCGGCGACTTCAACTTCATCGAGTTCATGTCAAACTCCAAGTCGGGCCAGTTCTTCTTCTACTCGCACGACGGGCGCTTCATGATCAAGACGCAGACCAAGGATGAGTCCAAGTTCCTTCGACGCATCCTGCCACATTACTACAAGTTCGTGATGGAGAACCCGGACACGCTTATCACGCGATTCTACGGCATGCACCGCGTCAAGATGCACCACCTTCGAAGGAAAATGCACTTCGTCATCATGGCCAGCGTGTTCGACACGCCGCTGGAGATTCACGCGCGCTTTGATCTGAAAGGCTCGCGGATCGGGCGACACGCATCCCCAAAGGAACACGAGCGAGGCAGTGCAGGCGTGCTGAAAGACAACGATCTGCTGGACAAGGGGTTCCACCTGCAAATGGGCGTTGCTCGACGTGCCATATTCCTGGTTCAGCTTCGCAAGGACGTCGAGTTTCTCAAGCGAATGAAGATTATGGACTACAGTCTGCTCATTGGCGTGCACGACTCCGGCTGTGAGCTGCATGACGACCTGTACACGGGATCGCCAGCCAGTGCAAGCCCCGAGAGCGTGACGCCTCCGACTGAAACAGAACTCAACATCTCTCAGTCGCTGCCAGTGTCTCCTTCCAGCGTGGAGTCGGACGTGAGCATGGATCTACAGCAGACTAGACCAGCTCGATCAGCTTCAGTACCGGACGACGGCATCAAGTTGCAAATGCCCTCGGCGCTGAGTGCGTCAATCCAAACCAGACTTGCTCTCTCTCCGCCGAATACTCCGACGTGGAGTGATGGCTACGTGGACCCCGATTTGGACTCGGACAACGATTCGGAGACGAGTAGCGATGGCGGCTTTGGGATCAGCTTTGGGAACACTTTCGGCGACTTCTCTTCGCCTGCCAACCGGAGCTCGATTGGGTCCTTGCCGTCGACACCGAAGGGATCTGGGTCGACGATGGCGCCATTATCCCCGCGTCTACTAGACACGGCAGCGTATGCTGAGTACTCCGAGTCGGTCTTCTGCAAGGACGAGGGCGGCATCTACGGCCGAGACCGACACGGTCGCAAGAACGGGTTCGTGTATTTCCTGGGCATTATCGACATTTTGCAGCAGTACAACACGCGCAAGATTGCCGAGAACATTATCAAGGGGATGCGGCACAACCGCAAACAAATCTCGGCCGTTAACCCCGAGTTCTACGGCGACAGGTTCATCGAGTTTGTGGAAAAGCATGTAGTCCAGGACGACACACTGTTTTCTCCCCGACCACGAACTTCTCCGTCGTCCACCGCCCATACCGATAACCTGTCGCGGATGGAGGAGGAGATCACAAGCACGGTAGCATAATGGAGGCAAGCAAGGCACCTGTATTCTTCCTTGTTGATTGAATTATTTATCGCTTTCATACACATACAGCTAAGTTCTGGCTAAGGCCTTTCCATCACATTTGATATCAATTTTATATAAACCACGAGGAAACTAATCCATTTCATCGTCAGGGTATCCCAACAATCAAATAGATTCGCTTTCAAGCGGCAACCTCATTCCTGGCTGGACCGAAAGTTTACTTTTAGGCGCGTGAGTGTACCGCATCCTGGCAAAACAAAAATATCGCCAAGCTTGAAAAGACACCATCTCGGACAGGAAGTGCAATACTCCTCACGTTTTGCCGTTCCGCGCTCCGACAATGGAGGCCACCGTGGCGCCTGGGACTGCAGTCTCTGGACTAATGCAGCAGCTGAAAAGCGGCGAGATCTCCAAGATGCAGCTCTTCCAACAACTTGCCAAGCTGCAAGCAGCACCAGCAACCGGAAATCACGCTGTGCCTCCTCCTGCTCCTACTGCGGTCAATAACTCCTCGTCAGTAACCCCTTCTCAAGTGGTGACGGGTGTTGGCTATCAAACTTCTTCATCAAGCTTTCAGATGGGGGCAGCGCCAACGTTTTCCTTCTCAGCTGGAGGAAACTATGCCCCTAGCGGTGCAGTGGCACCTCAGTTCAACATTGCTCAGCCATCAGTTGCCTCTGTACAATTCTCGTTTGGAGCTGCTGTGACGCCCGCGCACATAATGCCAGCGAACCCTGTGTCCCCCCGCGCCTTCTCAATGCCTCCGGTACCAGATCACATTGCGCTGGTCTCCAAACCAGGTGCTACAATTGTCGAGAATGATGCGGAGCTACTTGCAACGGGGGTATCACACGAGAAGGCGAAGCGATTCAGCGTGCAGGAGTGGCTGGCTAATAAGTCGCGTGCGTCTGCTTCCAGCCAAGTGAGCAATGCCCTGAGGCTTCACTACCAACAACAGTCTCAAGCTCAGCCTACAGAATTTCAAGAAGAAACCCCTGTGTCCTTCGACCGACGCGACGAGGAGATACGTGACGACCCCCTTGGAGTCAACTCGTACGAAGACAACACTTTCGCATCGTATCCCCAGTACACCGGAGGCACGTTTCCAGATTATGGCAGTGGTGGTGCTAATACTGCTCGAGATCGTGATGACACCAACCGGCAAAGCTACGTGTACATGCCCCAGCACAACTCCTCAGGACAAGCGCAGCTTGTTGACCATGACTTTGGTCTTAAGCGTGAGGATAGAGGAGGGGAACATCAGTACCTCGATTTCACCGAGCAGTTCCGCGACGAGCTTGATGATGGCCACATGTCGAACACGGGCAACAACGGAGGGAAAGTTGGTGCGTCCGGAAGCAACAACAATACAGACGGCAAGTTTCACGCGCGAGTGACTCGTTGGAAGTCTCAAAAGGATGCGATTCGAGAGCAAATGAAGCAGCAGCTACTGCAGTCAGAGCTGGACGAGTGCACGTTTGCACCGAAGATCAACCCCAAATCGACCAAAGTCGTCGCGAAACTTCGTGGACGGCAGTCTACGGGTGCCTCCAACCAGGGTCTAAGCATCTTGCAAGCTGTCTCTGAGCGTCTCTACCAGGAAGCAGACAACTACAGAATTCGAGAGGAGCTCGCGACAAAGCTGAAAGCTGACGAGGAGGCGGAAATCGAGCGTCAATGCACTTTCAAGCCGAAAATCAACCAGAGCGACAAGGTGAAGGCGAAATACATGTCCAAGACGACTTCTTCCCCCTCGATGACAGCGGCGTCTCGAGAGGCGGCCGCGAAGGAGCTCGCTGAATGCACGTTTTACCCCAAAGTGAACAGCATTCGATCCGAAATGGTCTCGGCTCAGCTCTATTTGCAACAGAACATTTACGAGCGCTTGAGCAAGCCGTGCTGCGCCGACTCGGAGGACGGGAAGTCACCAGCTAGGGGCCGTAGTGGCAGAAGGAGGAGTTTATCCTTGTTTGGTGACGATGACGATGACGATGAAGATCGAGACAACTTGGAGGCCTGTTCGCCTCGATCGTGCCAAGACGACATTTCGCTGCGACCTGGAGGCAAAAGTCGACGTCGGCGTGGACAAGGGCCACGATCCGTTGACGCTGACCAAGGCCGAGAAGGCAAGGAAGAACGCGCCCGCCAGTTCAAGAACTTCATTGAGCGGCAGAAATTCCACGAGCAGGCACGAACCAAGCGGATCGAACTGACCAAGCAGCAGCTCACTCCAGGGTACAAGCCTGCCATCAACAAAAAGTCGCTCGCAATGATGGAGAACGGGCGTAAGGGCGATTTCCTGGAGCGCATCTCAACGTACGCTCTTCGTAAAGAGCACGACAACGTCAAGAAGAAGACCGTTCGCTCGTCGGTAAGTTGTTCGTGTGAATTTGTGTCATTACGACCGGTGAACCCCTCTCACGATGTCTCTCATTTTCTCTCTCAGGACCCGAACTGCACGTTCAAGCCTGCTATCAACCAAGCCAGCACTAAGCGAAAGCCACGCTCTATCACCGAGTTGAGTCGAGGCGACCTGCTGCGTCGAGAGACGACGCAGCGGCTGATGAAGCTGAAGATGGAGCAGGAGGAGATGGCCGCGCTGACGTTCCGACCGCAGTTGAACCGCATGTCGGAGCGCCACGAAGGCCGCCTCAAGATCCTCTCGAGCCCCGACACGTACTTGCAGCGCATCCAGCAGCAGAGTCAGGCACACACCATCAAGCAGCGGCGAGCCATCCAGGAGAAGGAAATGGGCGAGTTCGCCGAGTGCACGTTCAAGCCCCGCACGATCGAAGCCCCCGCGTACGTGCAGCGCATCGCGCGCAGTGTGTCACTCACCAAGGCATTGCGCGCCCAGCAGCAAGCCGCAGCCCGGGCGAAGGAGAAACCCGAGTGGAAGTAGCCGATCGATCTCTAACATGAACATGCACTTACGTACTTGACCAAGCGTATCTTGTATTAAAACATGTATGTATCCATTTCGGATCGTGCTACATAATCAGATCAGACGAGATCGAGCATGGAGCAGCCTCGCCACGAGAGCCACCAGCGCTGGATCTGCGGCGGCTTCGCGGTGCTCGTGTGCTTCGTCATGTTGCTGGGCTCCGCGCACGAGATCCCGCAGCGCGGCGTCGTGGTGATCAACACGTGGCCGTTCGTGAACGCGACGCGCGCGGGCTTCCAAGCTCTGCACGGCCCCGGCGGTCGCTCGCGCGCGCTGGACGCCATCACGAGAGGCTGCAACCGCTGCGAAGTGGATCAGTGCGACTTCACTGTGGGCTATGGAGGCAGCCCAGACTCCAATGGGGAGACGACACTGGACGCCATGATCCTGGACGGCTCCACCATGGAAATGGGCGCGGTGGCGCAGCTCCGACGCGTGAAGCCGGCGATCGAAGTGGCCCGCGCAGTCATGGAGCACTCGTCGCACAGCATCTTGGCTGGAGATGGAGCGCTCGCCTTCGCCAAGATGATGGGGTTCGAGGAGACCCCGCTGGACACGCCGCGGTCAAGGGAGATCTACCAGAAGTGGTTAGATGGCAAGTGCCAGCCCAACTACTTCCGCAACGTCGTGGGGCAGAATGCGTCGTGCCCGCCGTATAAACCGCTGCCGTCAGAACATGAAGTGTATGCAGGGATTGAAGGCCAATCGCTGCTGCGTGCTACTTCTACGAGTGACCGCCGACAGAACAATGTCGACGTCCAAAGCTTGATCTCGAAGCAGAACCACGACACCATTGGGATGGTGGTGCTTGCGGAGAATGGGCACATGGCTGCTGGGACTAGCTCCAACGGAGCGACTCACAAGATCGCAGGGTGAGTACGGCTAACGATTGAACTTTGATGTAAATTGACGGCTAATTGTCGTTCTTCTTCGTAGACGCGTCGGTGATGCCGCGGTTCCTGGTGCAGGAGCTTACGTGGATTCGTCCATCGGCGGTGCTGCTGCGACTGGAGACGGAGATGTCATGATGCGCTTCTTGCCCTCATTCTTTGCTGTTCAGGAAATGAAGAGAGGAGCTCATGTACGAGTTTTGTTTTTGCTGGAGGTATTATGAGCTAGCTTTGGAACTGATCGAGTCCTTGATTTTGATACGACAGCCCCGCAAAGCATGCGAACGCGCACTTCATCGAATCGCCGCAGTCTACCCGCACTTCCTGGGAGGAATGGTCTGCCTCAATCGGCTTGGTGAGTTTGGCGGAGCTGGCTACGGGTGGGACTTTGCATTCACAGTGCAGGCAAGCTGGATGTCAGAGCCCGAGGTGGTGCACGTGACGCCACTGTCCCTCCCTCGTGAATTGACGTAACAAATGAAACCAACGCATGGAAAAAGCATAGTTTAAAGGATCCGTCCGATCAAACTCTCGACAGGATATCTATCTACTAACGTCCTTGTCCCTTTTCGAAGTGGAGAGAGTATAAGAGCGACCCGCTTGACGAGCTCGAAAGCAAATGAATGGAGAAGGCGGGCAGCACGCAAGGCGGTGACAGCGCGAGACGTGGTCGACGGCCGTATCCGACTGCCACTTTACAGGAAGTACGGCACCAGCGCGCGCTGGTTGAAACCATCCGATGACTCCGCAACCTGAAACAGTCAAACGCATCAGTCAGATCGAGAACACCGAAAAACAACAACACAACCCTGCGTATCACCAATCGAATCGTACCTCGCGGAACAGCTTGAAGTCACGCTCGAGGTTCTCGTCGAATGACAGGATGGCTGCAACATTACCGCATCGGTAGCAGTAGTTGGGCGCCGACCAGACGGTCACCAGGCTATTGTCGAACATGTACTTGTAACCCTCCTGCACGAGCTGATGCGCGCGACATATGAGGTCGAGTCCGTTAATCTGGTTGAACTCCTGCGTAACCTTAGCTCCGAACAGATATCCAGCGCCACGCGGACTCATGGCCCACGTCTCGATGTCCTCGGGGTCGGACCACATGAGGTCGCAGAAAGATCCCTCGTGGGGGATCTCCTGCTGACGCTCTATTGTCCGGATCTGGTCCAGCGTGCGGAGCTCGGGCGACAGGCCGCCGTGCACGCAGAGCACGCGTCCGTCGATGATCGCGGCTAAGTTGAGGTAGTCGAACACGTCCGTGCAGTACTTCCACGGGTTGGCGTTGCCGTACTTGCGCACGCACTCCTCGTAGAAGCCGTAGACCTGCGTGATCTGCCGGCACTCGTGGTTGCCGCGCAGCAGCGTGATGCGGTCCGGGTAGCGCGCCTTGAGGCACAGCAGCAGCTCGAACGTCTCCACGCTGTTGTGGCCGCGGTCCACGAAGTCGCCCTGCAATAGAACGAAGTATGTGAGCTTCTGTGTGGCTTATCCCCCTCGTGTTCTACTGGCGCCACGCACCATGAAGATGTAGTTGGTGTCCTGGATGTCTCCGCCGCAGCGGAAGAGCTCCAGCAGGTCGAAGAACTGGCCGTGGATGTCGCCACAGACCGTCACGGGGCTGCTCACGGGCTGCACGTTGGACTCCTCGATGAGCAGCAGCTTGACCATCTCGCAGACCTGCTTGAGCTCCAGCTCGCTCAGCACCTTGCCGTTGCGCAGGTTTTCGATCCACTGGTCGGGGCCGCTGCCGCTGCTCGCGGGCTTGACCTCCTCCAGCGCCGCGTCGTTCACGCTCGTCATGCTGCCACACAGACCTTCCTTCTTGACTCGGAGTAACAATAGACTGGACGTCGGTCGCGCTCCCCCTGTGTTTTTTGGGATGGGACCTTCCGTACACAAATTTTTACACAAGTTCGATGTGCTGCACACAACGACGCAAGAGTGATTGTCACTTCAACTTCTATCCTTAGCAGATTAGAGAATGGGGACCAAGCAGCAGCAGCCCGCAAGGCCCCCTCATGGCGGCGCAGCGAAGCCCTCGCCGCGGATGCGTCGCGGAGAGGCGGCGGCCTTCCCCCGCTCGGACCTCTGGAGCTGGACGGACGACGGCGCCAAGGACGAGCTCATCGAGAGCATGCTGCGCGAGTGCGTGCCGCCTGTGGCGGTCCCGTCGACGCCGGCGCTGAATGGCACAACTCCACTGCCCGTTGGCGGCAACGGCCGATCGCTGCTTCCTTCGCAGCGCCACAAACTGGCAAGCACCGGTCAGCTCGCGCACCCTCAGGCGCCAACCACAGGCCAGCCGTCGTCCAGGAAGGTGAGGAACTTGCAGTCGCCACCGGCGTCGCTGCCCCCGCCACAGCTACAACCAATGTCCTCCAAGAACTTGATAACGGCAGCCTCGTCCTCCACGGGGCAGGAGGCGTGGAAAGCCTTTAAGGTTGCACACCGCACCAACAAGATTTTGGCCAAGACACGGAAGGTCATCAACATTTTGATACGGCAAAACAGCTCCATGAAGAGTGTTCACGAGGGAGAAAATGGTCACTCAACGCACAGTGACGATGCTTGTGCAGCAGAAAGAGACGGAGATGACGATGCTGGTGAGAACGAGAAAGAGAGTGAGGAAATGCGGGCTGCAGCAGTGGCGGCAGCCAAACAGTTAGAGGCGAAGGCAAAGTTTCAGAGAGAAGTTTTGGACGAAGATCCTGATGGTATGAGCTCCTCGAACGACGATTCGAACGGTGTGGGTAATGTTCAGAGCGGATCCGAGGACTTTTGGAGGCTTTATAAGAGCAGCACGACATCCAAACGACCTGGCTCAGCAAGGGGTCGCTATATTGCCAACTGCCAAGATTCGTCACTGTTAGTTCTCCCAGTGTTAGATCTAAAGCGACCATCGCGCTACGAACGCGCAAATCAGGCGCTTCGCTACGACAATTACTACTTTGGTGACAAGCGCGCCGAGGCCCTGGGTGATGCGCTTCAGCTGCTTCCGGTGCCAGTGCAGACCTTGTCCATGAAAAACGTCGGTGTGTCTGGCAGCGGATCGTCAGCGATCATGAGTGGGATACCAATGCGGCAACTGAAGCACCTCAACTTTTCAGAAAATAGGCTCGGTACGAAGGGCATCCTCACTATTTACCGGACACTGGAAAACCCGCAAGTTCACCTGAAATCGCTTGACCTTGGCAATAACCAGCTAGGGGACCAGGCCGTGAGAACGCTCATGCAGTGCTTGCTGAATCGATGTACGCTGGAACACCTTGATCTCCGACGTAACCATATATTCCATGCGGCGATCTCTATTGGAGAGCTTTTGCGCATTACCACACCGCTTGCATCACTCAACCTCTCCTGGAACAACATACGTGGTGAACCAGCGCAACATCTAGCACGATGCATGATGGAGAACCTCACGCTTACGCACTTGGATCTATCTGATAACACGCTGGGAAATAATGGTAAGGCCGACGCTGATCTCGGTGCATGCCTGGCAACGAACAAGTCGCTGCGATATCTGAACATATCGAACAATCACGTCCAGGCCAAGTCCGTGCTGGTATATGTAAATGGCCTCCAGCAAAACTCCGTTCTCGAGACCCTTGTTGCCCGTGGTAATCCTATCGGAGTCATAGGAGGGGAAGCGATTTTGCGCTCAGTAGCGTCAGGGTCCGTCTCATCCTGCCAGATCGACATCGGTGACTGCAACCTAGAGATTTTGGACGGAAACTTGGAGGGATCCATCTACGGAGGTGGCACTTTTAATTTGAACATGGGGGAACGATCAGAAGGTATCTTGCTTAGAGAACTTCTCCAACTCGTGTGGAAAAACAAAACGGAGATAGTGGACACGATTCACAATGGAGTACCGTTTGCCTTCAATCGGAAGGACGAGAAGGCGCTAATGGGTTCCATCCCCCCGCAAGGATCAATGCAAATTAAGTTTCAGCCGAACTATGATCGACACGAAGAGCTGATCTCCACGAGTGGCTTTGATCGCGTGGTCCGGTTGATGGATCGGTCTTTTGGCCACTCGCACGACGGAGATGAAGCAGCGAAACTATTTTGTATCCGCGTTCTGGCAGAAGAATACACGTTTACAGTGGCAGAGGCAAACACGCTGCTCGCGCTTTTCGAATCCCACACGTCTCAAGTAGAGAAGGCAAGCGCTGCTGCAGCTCTAATCCCGCAAATTCTTCAAACGCCGTCTGCTGAAACTAAACTAGCGCACGAAGTCGCAGAGGAGATTTACGACTGTGCTTCCATGGAGACACCCAACGAGTTCTTCGAGGACAAAGATGCAGATGGCAAAATCGATGTGTGCGGCGATATCTGCGTAACGATAGGACTTGAGAATCTGTCCGACATTGAGCAGAGTCACGTCGAGCACAAAGTTGGCAAGTGGATTTCTTTCAACGTGAACAACCCAAGTGGGCGATACCAGCTCAATATGGCAAACTCAATTGACCGTCGCATCCTGATGCGAATACTCGAGGTGAACAAGATAGAGAGGAAAATTCGGCAGCAACTGAAATTGATGGACACTTCTCAGCATGGTCTGGTAGCTCAACCACTTCAAGGAGGATTTCGAAATATGCGGCTAAACCACTTGCCAATCGTTATGGGGGCAAATTGGCAGTTCCCACGTTTAGGAATCCTCGAGTTCGATTTCGTCATGACTCGGCGGCCGTCTGCAACTTGCACAGCACTCAACGACGGTGCCTTTGAACAGTTCCTGAAAGAGTTCAAACAACTGCAAGTGACATCTGAAATGAAGCTTGTGGGACTGCGGTCCATATCGACGTTGTACTACTTTACATGCAGTCAAACCCAGCGTATCATGGAACATTTTGGTACTTTTGAGCGGGATCCAGCGACTGGATGCCTATTCCGTGGCGAGGCGTTCATTGTACTGTTCAGCCGAATCGTTGACGAGTGGAACTTGAGCGAGACGCTGTCATTGTTGGACCTCAGTACGAAGACTCAAGTGCTGGATCGATTGGGCGTGTTGAACTGCTTCCATCCGCTACAGCAAATTGAATCGTACAGGCAACTCCAGCTGAGTGCGTTTGACCAACGCCAAATGATTCTAATCCTGGTTAAGCTTGCTACAAGCGGTGAGGCCGAGCTGACAAATGCGCAGCTTAATGGAGATGCGATCGAAGCTGACGTGTGGAAAGCATGGACAAGCGACGATAAGCTACCGGCTCAGGGCGTTCTCAGCTGTTCCATGCGTGCGGTGCATGGCATGCAGTCGGAGGCGCAATTACCGCCGACAAGCGTGCGCAAGAAGCTCCTGCAATCTCTACTGTACTATTCAAGCTAGAGGACAAAGCTCATGAGCAAACCTTGTTATAAGACAAAACTATGTTGAAAACGAAACTCGGTCTTAATGAAAAAGCGATCTAACGCTAACTTTCGTAAGATCAAGGCTGCTGAGTGTATACGCGGCCAACTTGAATCACTTGCGCGTGAGCAAACGAGCTGCAACAATAGATGCCGACACTACCAGTGTGGTGAGGGCCGCTAGTGCGACCTTGTCATCACGCATTTCGTCCCACTTCGCAGCCAGGGTCGTCGTGATGGATGATGCCAAGCCGTTCCCGTTAGTTTTACCGTGTGCCTTCTTCCGCAGAGGCTCCTTGGCCACCGTTTTCTTCTTCTTGGACTTGGAGCCGCACTTGCCGCCACAGCCCTTTCCGTCGCCACCGGACGAGCAACACGTACCGCTGCCACCGCAGCAGCCTCCTTCGCCATGGTGATCATCCCCTTCGTGATCGTGATCATGCGCGTGGTCGTGGTCGTGGCCTCCACAGCTACCGTCGCCATTGCAACTTGACGCGGCAGCCTTCTGTGCCTTCGACAAGGCCTTCGATCGATCAGCCGCTGACAGATCTCCCTCCGTGCGGATCTGCTCGCGGATAGCCGCCGCCGCTACCGTAGCGGGTTGGGAACGCGAAATCACCTCGCCCGTGATATGGAATCGGGCCGCTGTGAGGACGCGCACCTCTGCCGAGCACCCGATGAGGGAATCGTCGCGCGGAAGAAGCACCTTCGTATAATTCTTCGTGTGTGCCACCGTGTACTTCTTATCGTCAGATACCTCCGTGTTCACCCACACCTTCTGCGTAGTACCCACGAGGTGTGTGTACGGCTCGAACGTCTCGAAAAGCTTGGTGAGCTTGCGACTGCGGTTCTTCACCACTTGGGTCGGCACACGCTTCATCTTGGCCGCAGGAGTTCCCGGACGAGGGTAAAACTGCGAGATGTTCATAATGTGGAAGCGGTATTTCTCCACAAGGTCCATCGTTTCGTCAAAGTGTTCCTCCGTCTCCGATGGGAAGCCGCAGATAATGTCAGTCGCCAGTGTGAGGTCTGGCACTTTAGCGAGCAGTTCATCAGCCACGCGGCGGAACTCAGCCGCCGTGTATTCACGGTTCATGGCCAGCAGCACATCGTCACTACCCGACTGTACCGGCACGTGCAGGAACGAGTACACGCGTTCATGCTTCAACACTTCAGCGATTGCATCCAAATGATCCAAAATGTACGGGGGGTTGGTCATGCCCACACGGAGCATGACACCATCTGGCACAACTTCGAGCAGCTTGCGGAGCAGAGTGGGGAGATCCGTACCGATATCAATGCCGTACGCTCCAGTGTCTTCACTCGACAGCCAGATCTCCGTCACACCTTCGCTAATCACCGTCTGAGCTCTTGAAACAATCGCCTCGGGCGTGTAACTTCCCAGTTTGCCGCGCGCGTGACGTGTCTTGCAGTACGTGCAGGCGCCCAGACAGCCCGTACTCAGCGGGATGATCTCCACCATGGGGTTCTTGCGGATCTTGGGCAGGTCCAGCTCCGGCAGGCGGTTCTTGGACAGCAGCCTCACCGTGTGGCCCTTGAGCGTCTCCTCCACGACCTCCACGACTCGGTCCACCTGCTGGATGCCGACGATGCTGACCTCCTCGAGGCCCTTGAGGTGTCGGTCAGCTTGCGGCACGCAACCGGCCACGACCACGGCCTTGCTCTGCTTACGGCCCTTGACGACCAGGTGCATGAAGGCGGCCTGGGACGGGTCCTTGACCGTGCAGCTGTTGAGCAGCCAGAGCTGCGCCGCGTCCGGGTCCTGCGTGAAGCGGTAGCCGTAGCTGGCCAGCACGCCCTGCATATATTCCGAGTCGCTCACGTTGTGCGAGCAGCCGTACGTCTTCATCCAGATGAGCTGCGAGCCCGGAACGCTCGGCTCCTTGGCGTCCCCGTCGCCGCTCGCGGAGCTGCTGCTGGCCGTGCTGCTCGTGGCCGCCGACGGCGGCTGGAAGCGCGGCTTGGGCGCCACCATGGGCGTGCGCACGGAGCTCACGGCCGCGCGGTCCACCTCCTCCTCGCCGATCATGTCCTCGATGTCCATCCTTGCGTCTTGGGCAGCAAATCTGCGTCTGAATAAGACTGGCCGGTGGCTGGCGATTCAATCCTCTTGATTGTGGTTCCGACCCCGAGATTGGTGTTGAGAGGGTTTAAGGTATCCATAAACATCCGGTTATGGTTAAGGTATCGTTTAAGCACCCTTTAGTAGTGTTAACACTTTTGTTTATTGCTGTACGGGGGTAATATAGGAACATAACGCTGAGTTCAGTGTGAGCCGCTGTATCGTTCGGCTCTCATGTCACGGAGGCGCGTGCCTGTGCGTCCAGTCCAGTTGAATGGGGCCACTGAGTTGCGGCGCTTCAGCGCCGGCACCAAGCAAAGTTCGTTCGGTTGAAGACAAACGAGCTCATCTGGCTCCGAAGGCGAGCGGCGATTTGCAAGCCACTGGGAAATCATGAGCTTGGGGCTGGATCCGTCCACATGAACGGGTGGCAACGCGTTTCTCACGCCAAGTCCGACAAGAATTTCGCCTCGCGACTGAACCGTGAGCGTGGCGCATCAACAACTAAGCTTACTTATTGCTTCATCAGACGCAATCAGACTGAAACATCCCTACAGAATGCCCCACTTCCACGACATGATCCAAAAGTGTGTCTTCGTCTGGAGGGCAGAACGCGCTCACAACCAGAGCTGTTGCCGTATTTATTGTCTGTTACACACTCGGACATCGCAGAAATCTACCTCAAACGATGCAGACCCTACATGAGAATCACTGCAGCAATTCTTCTCGCTCTGACCCTCTTTAGCTGAACTTGCAGATGACCGTCGGCACCTTGAACACGTTGCCATCGTCGTCGGAGCACGACGTCTGCAGCTCAATGTATTTGCGGCTGCAGTCCACGAGACCTTCGTAGCGTGATTCCACGAAAGCCCGCAGAGGCTTCGTCATTTGGCTGGCGTAGAGCTCCTTCAGGGCCTTGCCGTAAGCGTTGCGGTCGTACAGCATCAAACCACTGACGGTACGGTAACGCAGGTCCTTGTCGGCCGCGCCAGTGTTGCCCATTTCCGCAACACGGTGAAACAGCAAGTCGCAGTTGAGCTCGGTCTTTTCCTTGAACTGCGCCAGAAAATCTTCGAGAGTCGACTCAGACGACAACTCGATCAGCGTTGAGTCCCACTTCGTGAATCCAGGGGGCTTGCACTTGACCTCCGACATCTCCACCACGTCGTACTCGTCCTTGGCACGAGCAGGTGCTGCGGGCTCCTGCATCAAGTACATGTTCAGACCCAGAGAGTTGGACGAGTCCTTGAATGCTTCCAGCTCCTTCCGCTGAACCAGCTTGAGCATCTCCAGCATAGCGAGACCGGTCACTGACGCCGTCGTCGTTGCAATGGCCGGGATAATCTTGCCCGCAATCATCTTGCACTTGTGGCGCGACGCGTCGCGGATGCGGTAGTTGAAGGCCCGCAAGTTCGACGCCGCGTAGATGAAGTCGATGTGGAAGTTCATGTCCTGATCCTTTTCGAAGTCAGCAGGCTCGAACGACAGACCCGAGAGGTCAAGCGTCTCGAGCTCGTTGAGCAGCTCAATAAGCTCATTCTTATCGGAGTCGTTCGAGTTCTTGATCTTCTCCTGCTCCAGACGCTTGATCTCGTCCGAGTCAGCCGCAATCTTTTCATTCGACGGTTTCCAAGTCGGCGGGACATACTTGCTGCTGAGATCCTCATACGTGGCTGGGTCACGCCACTTCGAATCAGCAGGGACCAGCTTCTCCTCAGGCGGGGGCTGAATTCCGTAGGAGACGGCCAGAATGTTGGCAGTGGCACGCACAAAGTTAAGGTGTAGAGGGTTCTCCGGGTCAAACTTGTCGACAGCCTGAGGGAAACGCTTCGCGCCTGACCAGAACTTCTCTCCCGAGTTGGTCAAGTGGTCCTCCGGGAAGTTGTGGATCAGCTGCAGAATGCGGTCCCGGAAGCGCGACGTCATGAGCTCAAAGGCCAGTGTAACACACTTCTCGAATGTAATATCCTTCGCTGTTTGCAGTGTGGAACGCAGGCCGCGAAGACGCTCGAGCTCCTGAACAATTGCTGCTGACATGAGCTTCGGGTTCGGGTTTTCCAGCGTAGCCTTCTTAACCTGGTCAAGGTACGCAGCGCGGTCTTCCACGAACTTTTTCGCCTCCGCGGAAGGCACAACGAAAAGGTCTTCGAACTGGGCACGCGACCACTCAATACAATGCTCGATCAGCGACGGGAAGTTTCGCAGCGTGCACATCGGAATGCCGTCACCCTCAGCATCCTTAGGACCATCAGCGTAGCTCTGCGTCTTGTATGGGATCACCACTTGCACATTGCACTTCGTGCCAAGCGTGCCACTCTCCAGGAGTGGCAGCTTGTGGAACACGCACTTGCTGTCAACGTACAGACGCGCCTTCACGTTGTCCAGGGCGTTCGTGACGACGTACAAGTCAGTCCAGAAGTCGTCGTCAAACACATTTTCAGTGTGCGGGGCAACAAGCTGCTCCAGAGTCTTCACCTTGAGGTCAGCGTTCATTTGGTGCACAGCAGCCGTAGCAGCCACAGACTTCGGCTGACCCACATTGTGCTCTCTGAAGAGGAACTGACGGTTCAAGTTGCTCACTTCGATGCGGTCATTGTCCGTGACAGTCACAAGACCCTTCTCGCCACACGCAACGCCAATCATGGCAAAGTTCTTCAGGTACTCGCAGCCGAGCGCTCCGCATCCCACAAGGAAAGTGCGAATATTTCCTAGCTGCTGCTGGAACGAAAGACCGAACGCCGTGATAATGTGGTCGTAACGCGAACCAATCGGCTTCGCGTCGATCGGGCGCTCATCGGGCAGCACCTCAAACGAATCCAGGTGCAGCCATTGCTTCAGCGGCGTGAACTTGCCGGTGAACTTAACAACCTCTTGAGCGATGACACCTCCGTAGAAAGCTGCCAGAGGATGCAATTCAACCGCAGCATACAGAGCCGCCTGTCGTACAATCTTTTCATCAAGTTCTTCGAGCTGCATCACTTCCTGCTTGTGAGCGCCATCACGAGTGAAGTCCGAAAGGTGCTGAATGCCCTCCTTCGCGATTGCTACAACTTCATCGGCGTCCGCATCGTTGTGAGGCTCCGGGTAGCGTCCGTGGCGCTCCTCGAACTCCATGAGACTCCACGTGGTCACGTGAAGCTGCTCCGCACGTCCGAACTTGGCTCCATCCGTGAACATGAGTCCGAATTCGCCAGCAGGCACAGGCGAGACGAGCGATTCCTCCAGCGACTTGAACTTCACGGTGAATGACTTCTTGTGCTGGGTGAAAACACCTCCGCCTTCGTACGGCGTGAACTCCGACGTGTCGCCAATCTTTAGGCGGTAGGCATCAAAGACTTCCGTCTGCTTGCCGTTGCGGAACACCTTCTTGTTGGCGAACTTAATACGACGCGGGCCCATCGTGTTAATAGACTGGTTCGGGTCCGTCTTGAGCTTCATGCCCTGCACGTCGCTGATTTCAATCCAACCGTCGTGGTCCGAGTCGGGCATTTCGTGCATCTTGCCGTCCTCATCGGGGCCCAAAATGCTCAGCACGCCGTCCTTGTCGTTCGTAATGTCCGTGATGATGCGCGTGATCGGCGCTTCGCCCGTGGCGTCGAAACCCTTGAACTCATCACCAAAGTCCGTGAACGCGTACCCAAAGGCGCCGCGGATGTCGCACGTGATGAAGCCGATCTGCGGCGACTGCTGGCGGCAGAAGTGGTTCCAGCGTAGGAGCTCCTTGCGGCTCGTGTGCGAGAAGACCACCACGTTGTGCTTGGCCACCACCTCTTCAGTCAGCGGGCCCTTGTGCACGGCCACCGACACCATCTTGTTGAGCTCCGCCAGCTTGTGCGAGACCGCCGAGGCGCGCGGGTGGCCCACATCCTGCTCCGTCAGGAAGAAGTTGGCGCCCAGATCCTTGATCTCCGCGATGCCGTCTACGAGTAACCAAATAAATAATAATAAATGTTAGTCACTACAATAAATAACATATTTGATATTAATAATTTAAAAAATCCCCCTCACCGTCGTGCAGCGTGATGGCGCCGGGGCCCGCGAGGATCAAGTTCTTGGCGCACTCGATGCCGACGCCCTGGAGCCCCACGATGAGCACCTTGAGCTTCACCAGCTGCGACACAACAAGAAGAAGATTTATCAGTGACCATCACTCTTGTGCGCACTTTGAACCCAAGTCACTCTGTAACTTTACCTTGGCCATGGTCTCGAGCCCGAAGGCGCCGATCTGGCGACTGTACTTGTCCATGAAGCCCGCATCCTTCTCCAACTGCTGCGTGGCCTCCATGGCGCTGTCCTCTTTGCGTCGCTTGCTGCTCGGGGCTGGTTCGTGCCCCTGGCCGCGTCCGTCGGGCGCTGCTCGCTTCAGCTTCGTCGCTCTGCTTCCCCTGGGCCGCCCAAAGGAAAAATGAGGATCTTGCGCCACGTTTTCCCAAAATTTGCGACAGATTTTCGGGATCGGGAGCGAATTTTGGGATTTGACACTCGATTCACTTCAACTTACGTGGGAAAGGATAAACTAGCAAAATGTTGTTTAACTTTATGCATACAAAGCTGTAGTCTAGTGATACGAGATGTAAATAGGAAATACGCGCCGCCCTCACGAGTAGTGCGCGTAGTGCTTGCAGTCAAAGCAGAAGCGGCCGTTCCAGGACGAGCTGGAGGGCGCGCAGTCGGAGCAGCAAACGCGGCCGCATCGGTCGCAGTGGCATTTCCGCGAGAAGAAGAACGGGAACGGCTCCAGACACACCATGCACTCGCTCACGTCCGTGTCGGGGACCCACGAAGGCGTCACGCGCAAATAGCGCAGGAGCTGTAACGATAGCAAGAGGACGGCAAATATTTAGACTCATTTTTCAGCAAACAGCGGCGGTCAGAAGTGAAAGTGCTACTTACGCCAGTGGCCTTAGGGTTCGTTACGACGCGCACCCCTTCTCCGTCAGGCAAGTTCATGTCGGCTCCATGCTTCATGAGCAACACCGCTTCATCCTCCATGTCTGCAGATAGAAGTAGACACACCACAGCACAATTAGTAAAGGTAGACATATCATCGCTGTTGCCATACAACAGACACGTACCCTTCTCCATGCAATAATGCAGAGGCGAGCGCTTGAGGAAGTCGACCTTTTGAGGATCCGCCCTGTGGCGCAGGAGCGTCTCCATGAGCTCGCACGTTGCAGAACCGGTGCGCTTGATCATGGAGCAGAGGTGCAGAGGCGTTTGTTTCAGGAAGTTCACGGAGTTCGCATCAGCACCGAAGCACAGCAACAGCTCCAAAACGCGTGAGGCGAATTTCACCTGCAGTTGTGTGGCCAGGTGTAGTGCGGTGTTGCCCTCGCGGTCACTGAAATTCAAGTCAAGATGTGGTAGCACCTCTGGGCGGAAAAACAAGCTCACCATCTCAAAATTGCCCCCACGGACTGCCAAATGCAGCGGTGAGTAACCATGCTGAGTCTCGGCCTGTTGCAGCATATCTAGAGCACCACTTGTCTCGTTAACAAGAAGCGCACATGCCAGCTCCACATTTCCATTGTCTACGGACTGGTGCAGCGCAGTGTTGCCGTAGCGGTCAATCCGTAGACTCGATGTATTCAGCTGGCGCCAAGAGAAGTTACCGCCGTCGCTTACTCCTCCACCGTAGTGCGAGAGTGCATCGGAGTGTGACGAGGCTCTGGTGGTGATCAAAGTCATAGAGTCGCTAGACACTGGATCTATATCTCGTCCGGCAAAGTGTGACAGAGCAGCTTCAGCAGCTTCTGCTCTGCGACGAAGTCTCTCGACCTCTCTCAAGGCCTTCTTCAGCATTGCGTTGTCACTGTCGGATTCACCCCCAAAGTCACTCATTCGCCCACGAAGCATAGCTCGTCGCATGACATCCATAGGTGAAAAGTCCACATCCTCCGAATACGCGCTTGTTCCGACTGATGCAGTGGCAGTTGAAAGTACGTCGTCTTCCTCTAGAGTCTCAATGGTTAGTTCACTGCCACGACCGCTATACCCCGACGGGTCTGTCGATTTGTCTTCTTGGGGAACTTTGGCGGCGGCAGATTCAGCTGCAGCTGCTCTCAACGCAACACGGGCCTGGTGCCATCTCCGGAATACACGCTGGATAAGTAATGCGCTCTCACACCGTTGTTTTTTGAGAGCCAAAACCCAGTGCCGCAGTGAACGTTGAAGCAACCTTGCGGCCTTGTTTCGTCGAGCAATTCGACGCTTCTTCTCAAGAATGGCTTTCCACCGCACTTGAATGCTCCACAATACTTGCAATTGTCTAATGTACACTCGGCGCTGTTGTCTTCCTCGCCATGAACTTTGCAGTTTAACAGCTGAAGCCATGACAACCCGTTCACGTCGCTTTTCCAGTTGATCAAAGGCTTGCTGGCGCAAAAATACACGCGTTTTACCGAGCTCTGTATGGTCGATCTTGAGTGTTTCAAGAAGATTTGACGCAGTCAACTCTGACTGCTTCTTAGCAGCCACCAAAAGTTGGTATTGCTTCACAAAATCGGCATGGAGCATACGAACTGGATAAGACTGCCGCATAATCTCCACAGCTTTCAGCACACCACCATAGCGCAACTGGCTCGACACCTTAGCCATGTCAAACTTATCGCCCGCGCTCTCGTCGTTCGGCTTGATACAGCGGATATAATGCGTTTGTGTTTGCTGCACCACATCGAGCAAACTTGCAAGCTGCTGCTTAAACTGAGAGCCGATACCAATCGAACTGAGCACTGAGGATCGACGCCTTAGCTTAGGCTGGCCCAGTTGTAGTTGCGCCGACTCGCTGGCTTTGAAGAAATCAAACAGTTCGCGCAAGTGAGCGTCGCTCGTTTTCCCCAACACACTAAACAGCTCTGCGTTGGGCTGATCTTTGTTCTTTTCGCAAAAACCTTCGGCCTGATATCGGACGTTTCCTGCATAGTGATGAACTTGAAAGGCAAAATCAGCCTGATCAGTCCGCGACGCGCTGAAATAGCTATGTTCTTGCAGTCGCTGATACAGTTTCCGCGCAAACCCTGCGTCGCTCCCTTTCGGCACTACGCATTCCTCGTCCAGGAGCGAGAAAATACCACTAGGACGTTGTTCAACCATCTCCAGACACAGAGAATTGTCTTCGTAGTCCACGGCATTCCACTTGATCCCTTCCTCGATATGAGCTTGCTGTTCTGTCAAAAGAATGTCTTGGATGAACTGGTATTGCAATTTTTCATTGGCATAATTGATGCAGAATTGTTCGAACTGGTTGATCTCGAACTCTTCGAATCCGAAGATATCCAGCACTGAAATACACGGTGCCGCATCCTTAGCGACGCCCTTGTTGGCAGGATTTGTAGAATGTTGAATCTGCGGCGAGGCTGAATTCACTTTTGACACGAGGAACTGGAACAGAAATGCGTATAAGGAGCGAGCCATAGCATCTCGAGCGTCTCCACACTGAGCCAGACTTAAGTTGGCATGGAAGGTTTCACCGCCGACGCTGATCTTGCGGGTAGTTAACGCTGGGATCAGTTCATCTTGATCAACAGCAAACAGTATTGAAACGATATCAAGATGTTGCTGCACCGTAAGCGAAGAAGGAGATGCAGTAGCCAACTGACACGGCGCCGATGCTGTTCCACTATCTTCCTCCCCTTCGTCCTCACTTGACGAAACAAACAACACGTTCCCAAGGTGCAACAATGCGCTCAAGATTTTCCAGATTGCCGCTTGCTCAACATCCGTAAATCCCAGGACTTTCATCGACTGCAAGACTAGCTGGAACTGCTTGTCGTCACGGACCCCGTCATTCCTCTGGAAGCATTGCCCACCACTGATGTACTGGAATTCCTCAGCTGAAAGATCCTCCAAATGTAGCTCGTTCTTCATATCGTCATCTGCCCCAGCTAACAGTTCGTAAAACACATGGAAATTCCTTTCTCCATCGTTCTGGTGCACCACGCGCACTTTTTCCAGCAAGTACGTCTCCACAGACGTCCCCACCATCCGCAGCGACTCATCCAGCTCGTGCCCTTCAAAGAACATGCGCACAAACTTGCCAAAGCGACTGCTATTGTCGTTGCGCAGCGTCCTGGCGTTTCCAAAGCACTCGAGAATGGGGTTCGCGCTCATGAGTTCGCTGCCGCTGATGGCGCGTCTCCTCTTGCTGCTGCTGCCTGCAATAGCCGCGCTGCGACTGCTCTCCGCTAAGTAATTCATAATGAACTTGGTCGTCTCCGTCTTGCCGGCGCCGCTCTCTCCACTCACGAGAATCGTCTGGTTCTTCTTGCTCTCCCCGGGCTCGTGCAGTCTGCGTCGCAGCGACCTGTACGCGCCCTCGGCAATGGAGAACACGTGCGGCGGCAGTGCCGACCAGCCGGGCATGTCGCTGTGGAACTTGTGCAGGTCGTAGAGCCCCTGGATCTCCTTGAACGGGTTCACCGCGATGAGCACGGCGCCCGACCTGCAGTACACCTGGTCCACGCCGTAGCGCTGCGCCAAGTAGTCCACGAAGGCCGGCTCGTGCAGGTGCGTGAGCGCGTCCAGGTTCTCCACGTCCGCGAGCGTCTGGCCGGCCGGCAGCTCGTTGGCCATGCGCACGTCGCGCGCTTCGTCGGCTTCCACCGCTTCGTCGCAGTCATTCAGCTGCACCAAGACGCGGGCGGCGTCGCTCTCGAGGCGGCGCAGCACGCGGCCGCGCGCCCACTCGTACTCGGCCTCGGCGGCCCGCACGCGCACGTACACCTGCATGGGGGCGGCGCTGGGTAGAGCGGAAGTGGGTGTTCTCCAGCTTCTTCCTCCCCTGGCTGCGCTCTTCTACTTCTACGAGAGCTCAACGCGCTGTCGCAGAACGCGCGCTGATTGGTCCAAATCGACATCTGAGTCAGTATCCGTCTACCGCACCAGCTCAGCAAGGCGTAGGATATGTCGCTCGTATACCTGCCCGAGAGCGCGTGGTCGATGCGCTACGGTGCGTGCGGCATTGTCGTGCAGTGTGGATTGAGTGCACTGGTTAATAGTCGTGCGGTGGGTGGTTTTCAGGGCCGGATTACTTCACGGTGGCCATCGTAAAGTACCTCGTCAAGGAGGACGAGTTCGCGCTCTACGAGCTGCAGATCCAGAACGGAAGACGCAATTGGAAGGTGCTGCGTCGCTTCAGCGAGTTCGACAGGCTGCAAGCGAGGTAGGAGGCTGCCAGGGAGTATTGACCGCGTTGTGACAAGGAGAGCTGACACCTCGCTGTCCAGTGTGCGCTTCAAAGCAGGTGACCGACTACCAGAGCTGCCGCCCAAGACGTATTGCTGCAGGGACCTGAACCCGGACTTTTTGGCCAGACGCAAGGAGCTGCTGCAGGTCTTTCTGCACCACATGCTGCAGATCCCCGGTATCGCTGACGACGACCACGTGCGCGAGTTCCTGGGCCTCAAACTGTCCACGGAGCTCTACGTTTGAGCCTAAAAGTCCATACGCTAGCTAGACACGCCATGCTTTCATCAAAAAGTGTGTGCGCCCACTGCAAAGTAAGGCGCACAGCCGCTATATTAAAAAGAAACTAATTACATGCACCGAGCGAGATCCGCAGGGCAGAATCAAGGTCGGGCAGCGCTCGGTCACGTGCGATTAAGCCTTGAATTTCTTCTTGCCTTTCTTCTTCTTGCTCTTGGACTTCTTTGACCGGTTGCGGTTGCGCTTGCCAGGCGAAGAGCCGCCGCTGCTGACAGGAGAGCTCGCGCCCTTGTCCTCGGCAGCAGCCTCGGCGTTCTCGGCAGGAACGTTGATCGAAAGAGATTCAGTGGTCTCAGCACTTTCGGTCGGAGTGTCGTCGAGCGACAACGGAGTCGCAGTCTCTTCGGCAGGAGTCGCCTTCACCACCGGACTGGACGTGATCGCCTCCCACGAAGCGGGCGGTGCGTTGGGGCTCTTCGGCGACGCCAGTGCTTCAGGTGCGGGGGCCGCGTCAACGACAGGCTCCGCAGCTACGGGCTCAATCGGCACCTGGCCCTGCTCCTGCTCTTCCTCAACAATGCTCTCCTCGTCTTCAGTGGCTCCAGAGGTCTGAGCAACGTCCTCGTGCTTCACCGTGGCATCCTCGATGTTGATGAGCTCGGGCGTGCTCTGCGACAGCGTCATCGACTGCGTCAAGTCCACCTTGACGTACTCTTCCTGCTCCAGCACAATGTTCTCGATCGATTCTTGGAGCAGCTCATCCGTGAACGCGCTTGCAGTCTCCGTAACAGCTTGGGCAATTACCAAGTCTTCGTTCAGCATTCTAGCGACGGCCTTGTCCGCCTTTTTCGAGCTCTTCTTCGGACTTGCAACCTTCTTGGGGCTCTCGGGGTCCTTCTTGGGGCTCTCAGGCACCTTCTTGGGGCTCTCGGGGGCCTTCTTGGGACTCTGAGGGGCCTTAATCGGGCTTGCAGGGGCTTGCTTCGGCGATTCCACAGCCACAGGCGCAGTTTCCTTCTTAGGGCTCGCGGCAGCCTTCTTCGGACTTTCGGTGGGCTTCTTCGGGCTTTCAGCGTGGGCCGGCTTGGGGAGTTCAAGAACCGGAGGCTCCACCTCGCTCTTCGGGGATTCAGTAGAATTCTTCGGGCTGCTCTTGGGGGTCTTCTTCGGGCTAGCAGTGACTTCCTTTTTCGGACTGGCAGCAACCTTCTTCGGGCTGGCAGCAACCTCCTTCTTGGGACTGGCAGTGACTTCCTTCTTGGGGCTAGGAGCAGCCTCCTTGGGAGCTTCCACTGCCTTGGGTGGCTCTTCCGCTGACTTCACCGGGGCTTGGGCCTGCTTCGGACTGGGTGGCGCCTTTTTCGGACTGGCTGGTGCTGGTGTGGGTGGTGCAACAGCCGCAGTCTTCGCCTCAGTGACCGGCGCCTTGTTGCCGTTGTGCACGCTCGCGCTGCTGTCGTCGGCGGACAGCGAGTGCGGCTTCTTGCTGTTCATGTTCATCTGCAGGTAGTAGCCCATGGCGGCCATGCCCACGCTGAGCAGGCCCGTCACGAGCAGCAGCGTGGCGCTCGCGCTGCTGTTGGTCGCCATCCTTGCTCTCTGTCAGTCGGTCGGTCGCTGCGCTGCAGGCGAGTGGTTCGTGGCGAGGGAGTTGGCGGAGTGGAGCGCGCAGTGCTGGGTGGGCAACGTCGGTCTCTTTCGTGATCTGCCGGTCGGCTCGCGGCCAATCGCCGCAAGATATCGGTGGTGTCCCTTGAGTGACTGGCACTCAGTATGGGGTCCTATCTACGTACTGTACATGAACGCATGGGGGTTCACGTAAGCACCCAAATGGCAATGTTGCAGCCTGCATAATGCAGACCTGGGGCCCATAATCTCTCTGTGACACCGACTGCGTTTGCGTGGGCGGGGGTCCTTCGTGTCCTTCACGACGAAGTTCATTTGCGTTGGGGAAGTTCTGGAATCATTTTGCGCTTATGCTGCCCAAATACTAAACACTTCCGAGTCGTAAACTGCGTTGCAGCATCGTCGGCGGTGGATAGGCAGCAACTTCGGCGGTGGTCAAGTGCACACGCTGCAAGAGGAAACGAGAACGCATTGTGCTGTTATCGTGGCACGAAGACATTACGCTATGTATCTGCATAAGTTCTAAGCGTCCACCGAGCAGATAAAGGTGGTGAGAAGGCTCTGGTGAAGTCCGAGAGCTTCTTCGGTCACCCTTACCGTACTACCCCGATAGCGCGTCCTAGAAGACTCCTCTCAGTTGCTGCCTAGCTACTTGCTTAACGTGTAGTATACATTATCAAATTTCGTCACCGACGAGGTCCCAGAAGGCCACCGGTTCCTGTCCTTGCCGCACGGTGTCGCACTTGGCCGGGAACGCCTCGTAACGCTGCAGGATCTGGGCGCCGCTCTCGGCAGCCTCCACAAGGTCTTCATTGACGTCGGTGCCACACCAAACGAACATATAGTCGGAGCACGCCACGATCAAGCACAGCTCGCCAATATCCTTAGTCGGGTCGCGGAAGTAGCTCTCGCTGATGCCCGGCAGCGGCCCCACGAACAACGGATTCTTGGCCGTCATAGCGTCATTGCAGTTGCCGCTCTTGTCGGCGTTGGCGTAGGCCACTTCCATGCGAAAGACAATCGTGCGCTGGAACTTGAGACGTCCCTCCGGGTGGAGCTGCTCCCACTCGGTGAGCTGGAAGATGAAGCCTGCGTTCGGGTCCACGATCGGACGTGACTGCCGCACAAAGTCCAGCGCCTTGTACATGCCGATGTTCTTGTACCACATCAGATACGCGATGGCCATGGTAGGCGAGCGGGAGATACCCTTCACGCAGTGCAAGAAGATCCGTCCTCCGCACTCCCGAGCGCGCTCAATGAAGTCGAACATGCTGTAAAAGTGCCTCGCAATGTCCTGCGACGAGTGGTCACGGAGTCGGATGTTGAAGTAGCAGAACTCGTCCGGAAACGACGCAGGAGCGACGCTGGCCGCGCAGTTGATCACGTGCGTGATGCCGTTCTGGATCAGCATCGACTTGTTCTTCGCAGCAGCAGCACCACCGATGTACAGGAAGTCCGTCAGCTTCGAGCACACCGCGGCCTGGTCATTCCGCCGCTTCGAAGCTCCTGTAGTCGTGGTGCACGGGTCGAAGTTGGCCTGGTCCACCTGCGATAGATCGAGCGACAAGTTGCCTGGGTTTCGGCTGCGTCGCTGCTGCGGCGGATACATTCGCTTCGGCGCGCTCACGCTGCCACGAGCGAGCACAGTAACGGGCGGAGTCGACGAGGACGACGAGCACGACGACAGCGCTCCAGACGACGCGTTGCTTCGACTTTCTAGGTTCATCTCAATCGACAAAGACGCTCGCTTGTCAGACGGAGACGCACTAGCGAAGTGAGAAGCATCGGACGCCCCAAGAGAGCGCTTCCTAGCCTGTGTCAAAGAAGGCGCCCAGCTCCCCGTCGAGGCAGTCGCGCCCGCCTTGCTCTGCGTGAAGCCCTGCTGGCTGCAAACTCGCTTGTTCGGCGTCGGTGGAGTAAACATCACACAGCTGTCCACCGACTGCCGCGAAGGTGTCGTGCAGTTGTTGAAGCTTTTCGCGACGAATGCCGGTGATGCCGAGGTCGGACCTACACAAATGGCATAAACGGCAAAGCGTGCGTCAGACACTAATGCACTCCGCAGTCTCCCAATATTGCCGCTGGATTTTCCGAGCGTCGCCAGGATGAGAAAGCTCTCTCTCTCTCTCTCTCTCTCTCTCTTCCTTCCTCACCTCTCGAGACGCTCAGTGGCCATGCCGTTTCATCCAGGAACGGGTTGCGGTGCAAGCCCGGCGACGCACAGACGCCAGCTCGCGGCGAAATGCTCTTCTTCTGCTGCACTGTCAGCGCCGGCGACGTAGGACAGACCTTGGACGACGCGCTCGGCAGCCTCTGCCCGTCCGCCGCTTCTTCCGCGGTCAGCAACTCTCCGAACGCCTTTGATCTAGTCGAGCACGCATCACCACAGCAACAACAACAACGACAAAGACAACGTCACAGTTTGTCAGCCTGTAAAGTCTAGACAACCCAGATAGAACAAGGAGCTGTGGGGCATTTACATTTTCCCGTCCGAGTAGCAGCGCGTGAGCGACGGAGGCCCCGCTCGACGTCGCACCTTCGGGTGCGAGTCCAGCGGTGGCAGCGCGTCCGCGTTGGATCGAAAGGGTTTGTAGCTGTTGGCAGCGGCGGTCGGGGACGTGGAAGGCGACGACGACGCCGAGAGCGAGAAGAAGGAGTGTGCGCTCTCGAGCTTCCTCTTGGCGTTGGAGCCCTCTCCGCCGGCGCTCGCTCTGCCGCTGAATGGGGCGGCGACTGGGGCGAGTTCCATGGACGTGGGTGCTGTCGCTTCGGTGTAATGCGTGCGTGTGGTGGGGCAGACGGACGGGGCCTTGCGCTCCTTGCTCCGTCGCGCTTCTTCTTAGTCGGATCCGGCACGCCGAGCGACGTCCCAGGCGCTAATGCGAGTGTCTTGCCCGCTTCCCGCGCGCGTGGAGGTTGGAAAGGGGTTTTGCTCGCTCCGAAACGGCGCGTGTAGAACGATTCCGCCCCATACTGGGGCGCAGTCAAGGTTGAAGCCGCCGAAGCCACTGGACATGGCGTTTCGCGTTCCGGACATCGCGGCGTGAGATTTCTGTTGCAGTTTAACACTCCGCTCGGCGAGGCGGAGTACATGCATGTGCAGTCGAAAATACCAATCTACCGCTGGCTGGCTTGGAGGAATACCATGACGTTGCGCGGGCCTACTTCATGCCTGACTTCGTTCAAAAACTACAATAGAGCGGAGCTGATCGTTGCAGCAGTACTCTGCAGCCTTGGAGCATGCAGCTGACGAAGCATCCTGCACCTTGGCAAGACAGGCATAACTACCGACAGTGTTTGGTTGGTTCAACAAGGACTTTCCTCCCCACTCTATTACCGCCCTTGTCTAGTTCCAACATCCCTTGGCTATCGTTTCATGCCCCTCCATCCCGCATGACGATACCAGTTCCTCGCTTCCTCCTCCACTAGGTCTCAACCTTCACGAGAGCCACTCCCACTGGTCTCATCGGTTCACTAGGCTGACAAACGCTTGCTTCGCTGTCCCAACTCGCTCTCTCAAGTTCCAATCGCTTTCAACGCATCGCTCTCGCCCTCACTAGCCATCCCGTTCGCAATCTCTCTCCCTGCTTCCGCTCCTCCTCCACACACTTCTTCCACCTTACCCTCCTCCGATGTTCAGCATCCTCCGAAGATCTTGAGTCATGGATAGTTCAATAGACATCGGAGCTGAAGCTGCCATTTCCGGTGGTGGCCCTGTCGGCAGCGGAGGTTGCGATGGAGGTGGTCCCGGAGGAAGCGGCGGTGCAACCGGAATACTCGCGTGCTGAGCCGGCGGTGGTGGCGTTGGTGGGAGTGGGGGCGCTGATGATGCTTGTGCAGCATTGCCATTGCTCAAGCCCCCACTCGGCTTCGTAATGAACAGCGGCATCGGGAGCTGAGCGGGATCTGGTGATGACTGGAACGCCGACCAAGCCCACTTTCCTGAAGCTGACAATTGCTCCTTCTGCTTACCATTGCGCGATTGCTGGTTGCTGCTGTTGTTGCCAGACTGAGCTCCATTGCTGTTTGCATTGGTACCTTTGTTCTTGCCCTTCTTCGACGTAGGCGCGTTGTCTTTAGACGCATCGTCGCTTCCATCTTTGTCCTTCCGTCGCCGCCCGGGGGTATTAGACCGACTTTTCTGCTTTGATCCCCGCTTTGCCGAGCTACTGCGCGTGGGGGTGTTGTCTACGGCGAAGATCGCAAAATTGCACACGCATTCAAACCAACATACGAATCTCAGCAATTCAATTGCCTACGACCAAGGCAGCAACTGCAAAAGAATATATACCTGTGTTGGCTTGCACGGGGTTCCCGTTGGCAGCCATAGAGTTGAAGTGTTCCGGCCCACTGCTGGACAACATCATGGTCGGAGTGAGCAGCAATTTACTGCCGCTGTTCGTCCTCGATTCCCGATTTGTCGCGGCAATTGCCACGGGCTGAGAAACTGCTGTCTGCTGCTCCGAGGGGTACACGAAGTACCCCAGCTCTTTATCCCAGACGCGCGCGTCGACGTCCATCTCCTCCCTCTCGTCGTCGCCGAGTTGCAGCGAGTCGTTCACGTTCTCGTCGCTGTCGAAGAACGGCACCAGCGGGCGCCCAACCAGATCTCGCGACGCCATTGTCGTGGATGTAAAGGGGATGTACAGTCTGTTGCTGTGGCGAATGCACAGCTAAAGGGCTCGGGAGTTTACACGTAAGGCCAAATCCTCACTTGAGACTTCTTTACACGGCTCGCTTGACTGCGGGAATGAAGACCAGAGCTCGGGATTCCGGTGCAGCGTGATCTCCTGCGTCTGGTCGGGAGCGTCGGGTCGGTTGGGGGATTGCGGGGGCGGCGTACGCAGCGCTGTCTTGAAGTGTCTCGCGCTCGATCTGCTCGGCTTCTTCCCCTTTGGAGACTGAGAGAACGCGTTACAGGTGGTTCCTCGTTCGCGGACGCGATTCGCTGAAAAGAGGACGGTATCTGACGCCTGATTTGCGGAAAAGCTCCCTTCAACGTCGTGATGTAGACTTGGGCCTGCGGCTAATTCATCATGCGTGTTCACCGCAGCACGGTCCCCACCAAAATGTTTCTCGCGCTGTTACATACAAATAATGTATTCGCACCAATTGCATTACCTGTGCAGTTATTTGCTGATTGCATACTTTCGATCCAGATATTCCCGCTCAGCTGGTCACAATTTGCGGCCGGAAGTACTTGTCCACCACGCCAAGCAGAAACTCGACTGAGAACCGCAAGTGATCTCCGTCCGTCGAGAGGAAGTGCACCTTGCCGGCCTTGTCCAATGTTCGCAGGCCGAACAGATCTTCCTGATACCACCTTGTCTCGTTGAAACCTAGCACCGTCTTGTACGGGTCGCCGTCTTGGTACATGCCGAACCATTCCGACTCCTTCGGGAAAACCTGCGTGTCCTTGTTGGCGCGGACGAGCACGAGGCTCTGCAACTTGGTGAAGTTGTCCTTGTACGTCTGGTTGATTGGCGTCTTCTCGTTGTTGAGGTCGGGAAGGAATTGAGCTATTCAAAGTGAAATTGTGGTAAGCATTACATGTAGATCCGGCATCATGGACTGAACGAGCAATGGTAAAACGTACCGTGCTTTAGATACGCTTCAATGCGGAGAGGATCCCGGAAGTAGTTGGCTTGAGCGATGCGATCTACGGCAACGCGTGAAGTCAGCATTTGCCACATTCAATCACAGTCTGCGTCAGATAAAATTGTACCTTGAACTCGTTGAGTATACACAGCTTCTCCAATAAGCTGAACAACACAAGCGCACGCGTTTGTTAGATCGCAGGACAGCACTGCAACAACGAGAATCCTCCACACGAAATTTTACCTTGTCGATTTCCTTGCAAATAAAGTTTAGCGGAGAGCACCGTGGCAACCCTCCAACCCCAGCGAGAGGTCCGTGAAACGATATGAAATTGTGGGCTGGTGGGTCGTTGAAGCGCTCGATGTACGCGCGGATCAGCAAATTGCCCTGATTCCATTGCACGTGTCAGCTTTATGATCCCAGGACAGCACAAACATTATCAAAGCATACCTGAGAAAACCCAACAGCATTGAATCCTTTCGTCAACCGTGGGTCCTGCCATTTTTGCAACGCACAACTCTTGCAGCGTTATTCGACCGGCAACAACCCAAAATGTCGTTGCAGGCCAACGCACCTCTCTCACAATTTTGGCGAACCAGTCCGTTTGATTGTTCATCGTGACGAAGAAACTGTTCTCCACATCTTCCGACACCGAGTCACCCAGTTGCACACTAGCCACGTACACGCCCAGGTGCTCCGCAATCGCCTACCAATCGTTGCACAGTCATTCGTCAGGCGGATGCACATTTCTCTCCAACGCAAGAATTGCATTCTACGATACCTTCTGGATGCGCACCATGCCTCCATTCCCAGCAGCGTCGCCCATTCCATGCATCAAAACCACCGGCAACGTCGTCAGCTGCTCGAACACCGGCGTCTTCTTCTCCTTCTCCGTCTTCTTCTTCACCGCCGCCTTCTCCTCCAACTGCAGCGGCTCCTCCTCCGCGAAATACATGGCCGATCCCTCGCTAATCAGCGCGAACTGCACCATCACCAGCACGACAACGGCCGCCGCTACCGTTAGCAGCAACCGGTTGCCTCGCTCCATCGTTCTCGTCCCGCCGCCGCGATGCCGAAAGGATCGTCCGTCTTCCCCCTGATCTGAGTGAGTCGCTTCAACCGATTGTTCAAGCGCGCTTAATGTGTGTGCACCACACCACAAACTCGCTAAGTGCCCCACTAAGTGCGATCCGCGGCGTCTGGCTGAAAATCGCTCGAGGGGCAGCTCTAGCATAGCGAGAGGTGCGGACGACAGCGACCCCAAGTGATCGAGTGCTGCTCACTGCTCTGCTGCTACCATGTCTGCGTTCGGTCGATCGAAACTGGTGCGCGGCGCTGGCGACGCCATGGCTCGCGGCGGCGCCCGCGGCTGGGGCTGGTACCACCGCTCTCTGGCCAAAATGAACGCGCCTGAGGCGGCGCCTGTGGCCTACGACGCCGTGGTGCCCACACCCGCGCAGCCGCGGCCGCGCGCCTTCCTGGACGTGAGCATCGGCGGCGCTAAGGCCGAGCGCATCGTCGTGGAGCTGGCCAAGGACATCGTGCCGCAGACGGCCACCAACTTCCTCAAGATGTGCACGGACGGTTTCAAGTCCAAGTCGCTGGGCTCCGGCTCGTACAAGAACTCCAAGTTCCACAACGTCACCAAGGGCGTGTACCTCGTGGGCGGCGACGTGCTCCAGGGCGACGGCACGGGCGGCCACGCCGCGCTGGAGGAGAACCAGCGCTACTTCGACGACGAGAACTACGCGCTGCAGTTCTCGGAGGAGGGCGTGCTGGGCATGGCCAACGCCGGCATCAACAAGAACGCGTCGCAGTTCTTCATCTCGCTCCAGCCGCTGCCGCACCTCAACGGCCGCAATGTCGCGTTCGGCAAGGTCGTGGAGGGCAAGAATGTGTTAAAGAATATGGAGGGCGTTTACTGTGTGCAGCACAAGCCGCTGACGGACATTAAGATCGTCGACTGCGGCGTGTTGTAAGCGGGTGGAGCAGAGCGTGCTCCCTTGCGTACAGCTAACCGAGTAACAGGCAGGAACAGGGAAGGATAGCGCCGGCGGGAGGGCGTCGGTCGGACTAATAGAAGAAACACGATGCGTGGCGGCGCTTGAACTCTCAAAACAGTCGATGTTGTGTTCTCAGTCGTAGTATTGCAGCCAAGGCAGCCCTGCAGCCCCGAGATAATGCATTATCGACTTATGCATCATACTGCTGAGCGTATCGCGATTCTTGCACTTCAAGTGATGAGTCTTGCGCGCCATTTGTCGATAGGTTTGCGCAGTTCATGGCACATGCTGAGATCATCGAGCGGGTCAGATTCCATGGTGGTCATTTTACGGGTCATGTTAGAACTGGAAACGATTGCAAGTCGCAACAGATTCACTGCATTTACAGAGCCACCTTGCCGTGCCATGTCGTGAAGTGACCGGTCTCAGTACGATCATTAATGCAAGTTCAACACCTTCAACGCCCACTTCATTGCTTTTTGAACTCTTTTTGTTTTCGTTTAAGCTTTGGTAAAATATTCACACGCATGGATAAGATAAAAAGAGTAAGTTACCACTTTCCTCGCACGCCATAACGTGGCTGCGCTATTCAACTCTAGGCAGCTTCGTGACGAAGGATTCGAGCTGGCGGCTAGCAGCTTAGAACTGAGCCTCGGTGACGCCGTGCCCCATCGTGTTCGTCGACGAGAGTCCACCCGTGATGGTGTTCTGCATGGCATCCACGAGCTCAGTGCCCGACCAGCCCTGGTGCTTAAGCGTCTCGACGCCCTCGTTGCGCTCGGCGCGCTGCACACCCTCGACGTACGCGAGCATGCCACGCTTGGCGTAGTCGCGCGCGAAGCGCGTGATGCCCAGCGAGTCGCTGTGGAAGCCGGCCAGCGTGATGAACATCCAGCAGAAGCCCATGCGAGCCAGGTCCGTCACGAACGTCTCGATCTCCGTGTCGGACATGCCAGCGGCGTCCCAGTTGAACGACGGCGACAGGTTGTAGGCCAGCATCTGGTGCGGGATCTTGGCCTTCACGCCCTCGGCGAACGTGCGCGCAAGAGGCACACCGGGCTTGGCCGTCTCCATCCAGATCAGGTCGGCGTACTCGCCGTAGGCACGGCCACGGGCGATGCAGTAGTCGACGCCACCACGCACGCGGTAGTATCCCTCCACGGTACGGGCGAGGTCCCAGTCGAAGTTGATGTTGACGCCCAGCGACTTGGCCAGAGCCTGCAGCTTGGGCAGGCTCAGCTCCAGGCACTGAGCGTTCCACTTGGCAAGGGCGTCCGAGCGGCCCGACTTCTTCAGGACCTCGCGGACAGCCTCCGGATAGGTCATGGCGTGGGCACGCTTGTCCCAGTCACCCTCACGGCCGGCGTGGGTGGCCTCAATGTACGACTCGATGTTGAGATTGGTAGCACCGATGATGAAGGGGTGGTCACGAGGGTCGATGTTGTTGTCCAGCAGGGTGGCGGCCTCGGCGTCCGTGCGGGCCACGATGACAAGCGGGCTGCCGAGGATGTCGGCCTGCAGGCGAGCGGCGATCAGGCGCTGGATGTGCTCCTGCACGGAGACCAGCACCTTGCCGCCCATGTGGCCGCACTTCTTGGTGCCCGGCTTCTGGTCCTCGAGGTGGATGCCAGCGGCGCCGCGCTCAATGAACATCTTGGTCAGCTTCATGACGGCCGTGAGACCGCCGTGGCCAGTGTCGGCGTCAGCAACAATGGGGCGCAGGAAGTCCGTGGGCGGCGTGCGCGCGCGCTCCTCGGCCGTCATGCGGCGGCGGGCCTCGTACTGCTTGCGGTCGTGGAAGAGCTGGGCGCGGAAGAGCTGGTCCACCTTGTTGGGCACCGTGTCCATGGGGTAGTCGGCGACGTCCGGGCCGGGCTCGTTGGACGTGGAGGCCGTGGACGACGACTGCCAGCCGCTCACGTAGACCGTGGACAAGTGCTTGGCCATCTGCGTGACCTGGATCGTGTCCAGCGCGCCGAAGGTGTGGCTCGTCTTCTTGGCGGCCTGCAGCTCGCGCAGCATCTTGTAGAGCTTGCGCGACATGGCGGCGCCGGCGTTGGCGGCGGGGACCGTGCCCTGGAGCTTCACCACGTCCTCGGCGCCGTACGGGCGCTTGACGTAACGGAAGCGCTCGTCGTTGATGAAGGCCTCCACCTGCTTCACGCGCTGCGCGTAGGCGCTCTCCTCGGCGCGCGGGTCGTGCGAGCTCAGGTGGCTGGCGATCTGGCTGATGCGGGCGTGCGGGGCGCTCATGGCTGGCGGAATTGGCTGGGGCTTGCTGGGACGCGCTTCGGGGGCGGGCGGTAAATTGGGAACTGCTCCGCTCGGAGTGGCAAGCAATCTTTGGTGCGGCATGCGGCGACTCAAAAGATCAGAGCCACGCGGGCCCGCCATTGGCTGAAATTCAGCTTGGGCGGCTACGCACTTGCGTCGATGGGAGCAAAAAACCTGCACCATACTGAGGCCAAGTCACGTCGGATTTACTCGGGGCGGCACGCGCATATTGCGCGTCGAGCCCGACGTGGAAGTTTCGCGCAGATGTTGAAGCTGGCAACGGATAGGCCTGTGACTCCTCATGGTGCAGGCAGTACACGCAATGCAATGCAGGCCATGTCGACCCGCCCAGCGAGCTGCTATCGACACCGCCACGAGTGCCGAGCGCGTGCTTCTGCAGGCAATGGACAGCGATACTTCGGCGCGACGCGCGCCACGGAACCAGTTCAGATAGCAGTCGCAGCGTACTGCTGCAAGTTGACATGGGCGTCAAATCACGCCGACACCTGTCTGGGTATTCCGGTGAAACCTGGCTGCAGGCCTTGTGTTTCAGCGAGCGATGGGCTTGAAGGACAGGGTGTCGACACGACCTGGTCATCGCTGTTAAATGGCACGCGTGTCGGCGAGCAAGGTGGACGTGACTGTACAGTATACGAAGCAAATGCCGCTGCTTGCACAAACAGCAGCTCGTTCTTGTGGCCCCCAGCTCAGCATGACCTCCATGTATCACTGCAAGTCGAACTGCCCGCGATTCCTTCCTGAAGTCGACAGGACTAAGTGCTGAAAGCGCGGTTGTTGGCTCTCGCGAGCTCAACCCCGTAGTTGCATGACAAAAACAGCAGCACTATCGCGGCAAAACATGACCACACAATACAAGTTACCTGGTTATCGCGTTGTATCTTATTCTCCACCGAGGGTTGGAGCGGGTTTTCGCTCGGCAGAAGACGTCCGCGCTCATTATGTACCATCTCGATGGTTTTAACTGCCCCCGATCACGAAACTACTTTGGGGGTTGTGCCACTAACTTACATGAAAGTGCAGTGGACGCATCGACGTGGGGCTTCAAGGTGTTGGAGCCGCCGTCAGGTGCAAACAAAGCGGTGCTACTCGGGGGGGGGGGGCCTCGTGTCAAGATGCATGGGCAGGAAGAGCTCAGCTAGGTGACGGGACGACCTGGGCGAATTCCGCGAGGGTGAAATCGAGGGTGTGATGAAAATACCGTAAGCGGGACATAGCAACACCCGGTCGACTCACGCAACAAGACACCACAGTCCATGACTGACTACGAAGTGGATACCCACTCAATCAAGGAGTGAATGGTTCCTCAGTAGACTGCTTTCCTCGTCTTCATTCCGTTATCCCTGTATGCTCCAACAGCGGCTTCAGCCTTCGAGGCTGCGTACATCCAGGTGATCGTCGTTCCCTGCGGCCGTCTTATGTTGCTGCGGCTTGTGGTGCACCGGTCGAGCGACTGAATTTTATGACCAATTCCGCTCCGACTCCGGACTCCGGTCGCCGCGGCAGGAATGCACAGCGTAGTGGTCGATAGTCGTGCGGGATCCCGCTTAAGTTTATGAGTTCTCGCTTAAGTAGCGCTGCTAAACGGCTATTCGGCCTCGCTCCGACAACGCTTCCCCCATTCCACCTGCCCGCGATTGGCTGCGTGCCCTGGCCTCTGCACTGCCCGTCGACTCGACGGTCGTCGGCCCCGCAGCTAATAGCGTAGTGACTCACGCGCCGCCGCCGCGTTACAAGGGGCGGCGATCCTGCGGCTGGCAGCGCGTTCCAGTACGAGCGAGCGCTTCTTCCGGGCTCCGTACGCTCAGTGTCGGAGACGATGGCGACGGGCAAGCGACGCCAGAGCATCGAGGTGTTCCGGCTGCGGCTGCGCGAGACGGTGAACGAGGGCGACGACGGCGAGAGCGTCGGCAGTGGCAATGGCAGCGCGCGCAGCCTGCTGAGTCTGCCGGAGCAGGAGCAGGTCGCGCACCCGAGCCCCAGTGACGTCGGCCTGCTGCGCACCAAGGAGAAGCTGCAGCAGCGGCGGAAGCAGAAGCAGAAGCAGAAGGAGGAGCGACAGTCGCTCGAGAAGGTCGAGAAGGTCGAGAGGACGGTCGCGAGGCAGCGACGGGTGCGCGTGGAGATCAACATTGACGAAGACAGCGAGGAGGAGTTTGCGCCAGGACAGGAGATCAAAATCGACGAGGACAGTGAGCAGGAGGAAGAGGAGGAGGAAGATATCGACGGACGCGAGCCCAGTGAGCGCTGCAAGCCGCGCTTGCTCGCCTCAATGTCGTCGGGCGCCGACAGCAGCACTCGGACGATGCACTGCAGCCTCGATGCCGCGGAATCCCCGCCCACCGCTGCGGACGTCGGAGAGGTCCTAGCCATCGAGGCTGTAGCGCAGCTGGATGAGAACATTGACGACGCTACGGAGCCAGGAGACGCGCTCGCTCCGGAAGAACTACAGACTACTATGACCGCAAATGCCGAAATGCAGGCGGTATCGCGATCCAAATCGCCGTCGGCTGCTCAACCGAAGGACAATATCCGCGAGTCGAGACGGGTCGTGCTCGTGACGCGTCCGAGCCAGCGGTACGTAGCGGGGAGGCTGCTGAGCACCATCGGCGGTCTTGATCTAATTGAGAATGGATTCTGTTGCGCAGGGATATTGAAATGTGGACGGAGCGCGCCACGAGCACGATGGTCAAGTCGACGGGCAGCAGTGCGCGACCGACGCCAACGAGCGCGCAGAGTCGGCGGTGGGTGCTCGAGTACAAGCCCGTCGTCCGGCACTCGGGTTGGCTTATCAAACGCGGCCACGGACTGCGCAACTTCAAGCGCCGGCTGTTCTGCATTGTGGACGACGAACTTATCTATCACGACACACATGACGCGACGGAGGTGCGCGGCAGACTGGATCTCACGCGTAAGAGCACGGTTCAATGCATGCTGCACAGTGGCTTCAAGCTCGCGCAGGGCAGCTACAGTATGGTGCTGTACGCTATGGACAACCACGACCGAGACGTCTGGATTCGAAAACTACAGGAGCACAACGTGCAGGTCCTACCCGAGGGCGCCAAGACTGCTAAACTTATGAAGCAGCACAGCGACAATGCAGACAAAGGCGACCCGATTCTCTTTTCCGGTTGGCTACGCAAGCGTGGTCGAATGGTAAAGTCCACGAAGCGCCGCTGGTTCGAGCTCTCGAACTCGACGCTTTCGTACTACGCACACCCGCAGGGCGGTTCTCGTAAAGGAACTATTGATGTCTCCCACGCGCGGGTATCCCCTGTAGACACCCTCAAGACGGGTGAACGACACAGCTTCCAGATCTGTACCCCCAGTCGCAACCTGTTCCTGCACGCTGACAGTCAAGAAGAGCGATCGCTTTGGTTGGCTGCGCTTGCGTCGGTAGGCGAAGGTGGTGCCAACGCTACCCAGGGTGGGTCGACGTCATCTAAACCCGATGCCAACGACTTTGCCATGCCTACCAGCGCAACGGAGATCGGCCGAATGTGCAAGTGTGGAGCGATGGATGAAGGCGGCGCAGCCGTGGACGGTGTGTGCCGACGCTGTATGTCATCTTTTATTTCAAACACGGAGGACGCCATGGTGGATGTAGCGCGTGAAGTTCAACTGCTATTGGCGTCTCCGTACTCACCGGAGGGCTGCACCTCGGCGGCATTCCTGAAAGAACACTCGGGTCGTCCGGTGCCCAACGCAACTGTACGAGAGTTCATGAGCGGACTGTCGGACTACTTGATCCATACCCGCTTGAAGGAGCTTCTGATGCTCGCAGGCGTTGCTCAGTCTGAAAGCAGCTCCGATAGCGACTCGGACGACGATGGCGTCAAGGACACTGTAAGAGCCAACCCAGCTCACCCGCAAGATGCAGCTGTGATCAGCGAGATCACCAACAACATCCAGGTTATCGTTCACGAACAGATCGAGGAGCGCGTATTCTTCCCTCTCTATCGCGTCATTTTGGCCAACGTGCGAGCACAAACTCGTGAAGATGCGAAGCTGCTGAAGGGAAAGATCGAGATCCTGCGCAACAAGTCGCAGGCATTCTTCGGCATCAGCCCCGACAGCATGTCGTCGACTAAATGGTATTCGGCCTGTGTAAAGCTGCGGGAGGTTGACAAGGTGAGTCTCCCGTATATGAAGCGTGCGCAGTTGCTGGCAGCGTGCAAGGAGATCTACGCTGTCTACCATACCGAACATCCTACGCAGCCGCCCATGAGCGCTGATGCATTTATCCCAGCGTTTATCTACGTGCTCGTCCACGCGCACCTAAGAGACCCCGTGGCACTCAAGGAGTTGATCACCTTCTTCGACGCGGGCAGCCAACAGGGTGAGATCGCGTACTTCGTGACGTGTCTCGAGATCGCGCTCGAGTACATCCGGTCGCTGCTGACGGCGTGCACCGTGGTGCTGTCCTCCGACCGCAAGCTTGGCATTGAGTTCTCGAAGCACCCCGAGGCCGATGTGGTGGTTGTTCATCGACTGGTTCCGGGCGAACAGGCCCAGCAGAGTGGTGCGATCAACGTGGGCGATGTTCTTGTCGCCGTGAACGGACTACCAGTGTACGAGATGGAGCTGGCGGAGGTCGTGAAGCTCTGGCGAGGTGTTGACGGCGAGGCGGAGTTCTGTTTCCTGCCCATGGACGAGTATCTGAGAAAGTATGGCACATCGTAAAGCTGGTGAGCTATTTTGTTATTCAAAGGCAGCAACAACTGCTATCTCCAGCGCCGACTGAGGCGAGCACGAGTGCATTTGCGTCTTTGACGTTGTGTCGTTTTACTACTCGTTTTTAAAATTCAGAATCAGTCCGCCAGCTCTGGACGAGAAGAGAGAAAGAGACCTTGGTCAGGAGAGTTGAGTTGAAGTTGCCTTGCGATGGTCGCGAAGAGCGAGAGTTTGTAGATGGACAGATGACAAACGGATCGTTTGGAATTGTTGAAAGTGAAAAATATACAGCCGTGTAGTGCAGAGTAAAAATCTACTGACGAAGTCTAGACTGTAGTATGCAGTCTAGCACCACATCTGTCGTCCGCGTGGCGGCCGATGGCATAGCCCTCGAACTTCTGTAGCATTCCAGCAGCTCGTCTCGGTGTCAGAGCTATCACTGAAAGCCAGACGCGATAGCCCCAGCAAAGGCCCCTCCACTATTAACTCGTTGTGGAATGATCACAGGTCAAGCCAGACAAAGCGAACCAGGTGGCATTTTGCGCCATGGATGACCAGCCCCGCCCTCTGCCAGGGTCACTCGGTACCTCTACATCCGCCAGCAGCGAAGCACACACGGGCCGTCGCTGAGGTTTGTGCGTGCGCCCGCACAATCCAAAGCGCGGCGTGGACATCAAAACGTCTTGCTGGTCGAATTCAACAATGCTGGGCTCGCGTGTTAAGAGTATTTGGCAGACGCGCATCGGCCGCTCCAGGAGCCGTGAGAACGCCTCCGCCCAGGACGAAACTGAGGGCCAAGACGCGAGCACGCCTAAAGAACCGGAGCAGGACCACCGCGTCTCGGTCATTGACAGCACGGTTGCGGCGACGCCTCACACGCCCGCTCTCGACGCAGACTTCTACAAGTACTCGATGGACGACTCCGTCTACGTGTCCAAGGCCATGCCCCTCGACGACGTGACTCCGGTCTCCCCCTCGACGTCTTCGACCACCTCGGGATCGACGAACGAGTCGCCGTTGTCGACGGCCGAGAAGCTGCCGGAGAAGCCCTCGGCGAATCCAGTGACGTCCATGTTCAGGACCTTTTCGGAGACTCGCATGTTCCCCAGCATTATTAACAAGAGCAAGCCCCCTCCGGTTCCAGCTCCAGCCCCGGCGTCTGACGATGACGATCAACCGACGTCTTCGTCAGCTTCGACCACGCGGTTCTCGTTCGCTCCGCCGATTCCGACCCCGTGGCGAACCTCCCGCTCGTCGTCGGACTGTGCCCCGAACACCTCGTCTTCGTCGTCTTCGACGTCGACGTTCTCGTTCTCCTCAACCTCAGCGCTGCCCCCTCGGAAGGCGGCATTGAACGCTCTCAACAACATGCACAACGTGAACGCGCGGTGCCGAACAGCGTTGTCCAGCTCCATCTCTCGTGGGAGTCCGTACGGCGAACTGGTTGTCGTCGACATCTTGGAAGCGCGTGGACTTGCAGCCGACCGAGATGAAAGTGGCGTTGATCTTCCATTCACCGCCTCAGTGCAGCTCGGCGATATGAAGCGCACGTCGAAGCCTGCCGTCCGTGAGAACCTTGCGGTGAACGAACGGTTCGTGTTCTGGTTGCCGTCGTCGCCCACCATCGGCCAGCGCACACTCGACGTCTTCGTTCGTGGCGGTGACGACCGTGACCTGGGCGAGGTGCACTTGAGTCTGTCGATGCCTGTGAACGAAACGTTTGCCGACTGGTTCCCGCTCGTGTCAAGAGTGGACGGGCTTAAGCACGGCTCGGTGCGAGTCGCGATGCGTCGCCTGGTGCTCACGTCGTCGCCCATGGTGGAGGCTGCTCAGTCGCTGGGAGAGCGAGACTCCTGCCTCAACTTCAGCGACAGCACGCGCTACGGCGAGCTCTTGCCTGAGCTCTGGAGCTGCTTCCCCGGCTCGGAACCGGAAGTAACTGCGTCGAGTCCCCCGAAGGAGGGCAGCAAGCTCGGCCGACTCATCGGCATCCAGCAGCAACTCCACCGTGACGTCTTTTAAGGCGTGGCTGCAGTTTGTGTTGGTCGATCGGAGGCCCCCATGTAATAAGTTAGTAAAAGCAAGAGAAGTTCGTGTCGTACACAACAACAACAATGCATCGATTCGGTGTGTATATCTTGCTGCGATTGCACAACAAGATCTCTATCGGTTGTTGAAGTTGATGAGGCGGGGACCGATATAAGGCAAGGAATCGGTGGTCAGAATTCAATGCAAGACGATCGCAAAGTACAGATTCATCGGAGATGTCTATGTATTGGCCTTCATTACCATGCAGTTTTCGGCTCGACTCGCTCTGTCGAACGGGTCATGGTCATGCTCAGTGACTGCACTATATACTGTAGATATAGAAATAGCGGACTTGGTTGGCTACGCACGACGAAGATGAACGCCGTGCCGGAGCGGTGTCAACGAACCACCTGGCTGCTTAGTACAGACGCTTCTCGTACGTGTACAGCGAGTGCACATTGCCCTCGCGCTGGGCGGCGGGGGTACGCAGCTCGAAGCGGAGCTCGCCGTTGTGGAGCGAGTCGTGCACCTTCTCCAGGCTCACCTGGCCCAGGTCCTGCAGGCCGTGCTTGATGCCCTGCTGCAGGTACGGGATGTACTTCATGAGCGAGCCCTTGTCGACCACGGCGCCGCTTACACCCTGGGCGACCTTGACGGTGGCGTGGGTGGCGAAGTAACGCTTGGAGGAGCCGGCAGTCATGGCCTCGATAGAGCCCATGCCACGGTACTTCTTGAGACGAACACCGTCCTGGAAGAAGTACTGGCCCGGGGACTCCTCGGTACCGGCGAAGAGCGAGCCGCACATGACGGCCGAGGCACCGACGGTCAGAGCCTTGACGATGTGGCCCGAGCTGGCAATGCCACCGTCAGCGATGACGGGCACGCCGAACTGGCGGGCGTAGCGAGCAGTGTTGTACACGGCGCTGGCCTGAGCACGGCCGACGGCGCACACCTCCTGCGTGGTACAGATGGAGCCGACACCCATGCCGACCTTGAGGCCGTCAGCGCCGGCGTCGATGAGACGCTTGCACTGCATGCGGGTGACGACGTTTCCGCCGATGACGTCGATATGCGGGTACGTGGACTTGATCCACTTGATGAGGTCGACCTGGAAGGTCGAGTCACCCTGCGACGAGTCGATGACGATGAGGTTGACGCCGGCCTTGACCAGCTCCGTGCAGCGCTCACGGTCGTTGGGGCGCGTACCGATGGCGGCGCCGACCAGCAGCTGCTTGTTGGCGTCCTTGGAGGCGTGCGGGAAGTCGCGGTTCTTGACCAGGTCGCGACGCGAGATGAGCGACACGAACTCGCCCTTGGCGTTGACGATCGGGAGCTTGCCCTTCTTGCTCTCGCGCAGGATGTGGTTGGCCTCCTTGAGCGAGACGCCCTCGGGGGCGGTGATGAGGTTCTTGGACATGACCTCCTTGAGCTTGGTCTGGCGGTCCTCGATGAAGTCGATGTCGCGGTTGCTCACGATGCCGACCAGTACGCTGCCGACCTTGCCGGACTCGGTGATGGGGATGCCGGCGAAGCCGAACTCGGCCTTGATGCGGTCCACGTCGGCAAGCGTGTCCTCCGGGGACAGCACCTTGGGGTCCGTGATGAAGCCGTTCTTGAACTTCTTGACGAGACGCACCTCCTTGACCTGCTCCTCCACAGTCATGTTGTAGTGGATGATGCCGATGCCGCCGTGCAGCGCCATGCCGATGGCCATGGCGTGCTCCGTGACCGTGTCCATGGGCGAGCTGACGAGCGGCAGGCGCAGCGAGATGTTGCGCGAGACCTTGGTCTCGAGCTTCACGGCGTCCACGCCGAAGTTGATGTGGCCCGGCATGAGGATCAGGTCATCGTACGTGTAGCCCTGGCCCTGGTTCTTGTTGACGAAGATGTCGCTGGCCGTGCGGCCGTCCAGCAGCTCGGGGTCGATGATGGCAGCGTCCGTGGAGGCCATGGTTGCGTGCAGAGCTTTGGGGTTGCGAGTGGGAGATCGGAGCAAATGCCCAAGTGACGGAAGTGTCGGTTCATGTCGGCGAGCGCCGACCGGCACAGCAGCAACCGAAGGCCAATGGTTTCGGCGTTCTTTTTTGGCCAATCGTGAAATCGTAAAAGGGAGGACGCAGCCAATCAGACGTATCTGATCGTACTGTAACGGCAACTTGGTCAGTACATGGACACGGCATGGTGTTGGGTGCTCGCAGTGGCGGTGAGGAATCAACTTTCTCAGTATTCTTTCGGTATGTATCTTGTCGTTCAGAGCGCAAGAGTGCAGGGCTAACAGCTTGCGGCTGTTTATGCTGCGCTGCGGCGACCACCTCGTGCATGTACTTGTAGCTCGACCAGAACCAGTCGCTTTGAAACGAGCGATCCCTTTCGCGTGTTGGGCAAAATCAGAATATTTGAGTGTGGGATTTGAATCGTACAGATGCGATTCCAGATTTCACAGCTTCAACTTCGACAGAAAGATACCATTGTCAGAAGGGCACACAGACAGATATCCCAGTCAAACGTGAAGTTCCCCATCGCTGTCGATCATGACCCGCGAGCTTAGCCCCGACACGCCCCGCAATGAGCCCCCAACGCCGGACGACAAGTCGACAGCGGACCACGCCAGCACAACCAGCGAGAGCAGCGCAACGGACAGCTGCGACGCGTCCGATCGGCCTCGCGTAGCTTTCATCACCGGCATCACGGGCCAGGACGGGTCGTATCTGAGCGAGCTGCTGCTGGCAAAGGGCTACACGGTGCACGGGCTGGTCCGTCGGTCGTCGAACTTCAACACGGCGCGACTGGAGCATTTGTACCGAGACCCGCACGACCGCGGCGTCCGCTTCTTCCTGCACTACGGAGATCTCACGGACGCGTCGAATCTGTGCCAGATCATAGCGCGCGTACGCCCCGACGAAGTGTACAACCTGGGCGCGATGTCTCATGTCAAGGTCTCGTTCGAACTGGCCGAATACACGGCGGATGTCGATGGGATCGGTGCGCTCCGCCTGCTCACGTGCTTGCGCACCTGTGGACTGGAACACTCGACGCGGTTTTACCAAGCATCAACGAGTGAGTTGTATGGCAAGGTGCAAGCCACACCGCAGGACGAGGACACTCCATTCCACCCACGGTCGCCCTATGGGGTCGCCAAGCAGTTCGCCTTTTGGAGCGTGGTGAACCATCGCGAAGCCTACGGAATGTTTGCCGTGAACGGGATATTGTTCAACCACGAAAGCCCGAGGCGCGGACCAACCTTCGTCACTCGCAAGATCACCAGGGCTGTTGTGCGTATTCGTGCTGGCATTGAGAAGTGCCTCTTTGTGGGGAACCTGGACGCCAAACGAGACTGGGGCCACGCTCGCGACTACGTCGAGTGCATGTGGCGCATGCTCCAGCACGAGTCACCTGAGGACTTCGTTGTCGCTACAGGAGAGTGCCACAGCGTAAGGGAGTTCATCGAGCTTGCATTTGCTCAGGTGGGGCTGACTATTGCGTGGAAAGGTGTTCGAGGCTCCAAAGATGAGGTCGGCGTCATCGTCAACGACGACCACGAGCCCCAGCATGCCAATCTGCTGGACCCGGATCGAGTTGTAGTGCGTGTGGACCCAGTGTACTTCCGTCCAGCAGAGGTGGATCTGCTGTGCGGCAACGCGAAGAAGGCTCAGCGCGAACTAGGATGGACACCAACTGTACGCTTTCGAGAGCTTGTCGCCGAGATGGTTGCGTCAGATGCGCGGGAGCTGCGTCTGGAGGCCCATGGAGGCATGTAGTACGGGTACGACGGGGCCCCAATGGAGGTATTGAGTCGGGAGTTCCGACAATCATGCCATCGATGTTGACATTGGACGACGTGTTAACGTTAGTTTGTAGACAGGTGAGGACTTCAAGACAATTAATCTTAGTTACGGTACTTTCAAAAGTGGGGTTGATCTAGAGACTCCGGCGTTCCTGATAGCGCTGCAGTAGCACGCGCCGTTTGACATCGGGTTGGGCAGCAGCGTGGCCCTCGATCTCGAGCAATACGGGCCCCTGTAATCGCGATAGCACTTGTGCGAACGTTGGACGATGCGCACGGACATCTCGGAGACAGTCCTCGATCAGTTTGCGACGCTCTGGAAGACACGTTGGCGGGAGCGACGGCCGCAGTCCCTTGTGCGCCACGCGCATAAGCACCTTCAGCCCGGTCTCTTCCTGATCGTGATACGGAGTACGACGTGTTTCTAGTTCAGTGAGCACGATCCCGAACGAGTAGACATCGGCCTCCGGGCCATAACGCTCGCTGCGAATAATTTCGGGGGCCAGCCAGAACGGCGTTCCTACGAGCGTCGTAAGAGCGTCGACGCCCTTCTTGTACCGGCGACTGAGTCCAAAGTCGCCAACCTTGCAACCGAATGTTGCCGAGCATAGAATGTTGACACTCTTCAGATCGCGGTGAACCACCGGACGCTCCTGAGAGTGCAGATAGAGCATACCCTGCACAGCGTCGACCGCCATCTTGAGCAGCGGATCAGCCCATGTGAAGTTCTTGCCGAGCCCCGAATGCAGCACACTGTGCATGTCGCCGTTTTCCAGATATTCCATAACAATGCACAAATTAGAGGCATTGTCCCAACTGGCACCGATGAACTGCACGATGTTCGGATGCCGCAGACACGACATCAACTCGATCTCGTCGCGGAAACTTGCCAGTGCGCTGTCCCCGTTCGACGCATTTCGGTTCCCATTACGATTCTGGCCGCCTCCGGATTCCACAATATGCTCTCGACGCATGCGTTTGCAGACAACAATGGTGCCAAAGTATCTGGCCTTGATCACGTCGCCCATCGAGCCACGGCCAATTGCCTGCAGAAATGTTAGGTCCGCGAACGGGATGTGAATCATCTCAAGGTGACGCATTTCCGGTGCTGCGAGGACGCGCGCCACGGCGCGCTCCTCATCAGCGTGAGCAGCATCATTCTGCAGCGCAGCCTCGGCTTGCTTCAGCGACGACTTCAGATTTTCGTTCTCTTTCTCGACCAAGAAATTCGAGAGGAAGGAGCGCCGGTTGGTACGGTCCGACGAATACGACAAGATCAACAGCAGCACGACAGCCATACCATACGCAAACGTGATCAGCCACTGCAACTGGAGTCCGAAAGCACTTACAACAATGGCGTAGATGGCGCCACCCGTGACAGCCACGACCACGACTTGGACAAACTCCAGACGAATGGATATCACGAACAGGAAACTGAACAGTGACGCAAAGCCCACGAGTGTCTGGACCAGCGCATCCGAGCACATGTGCGTCACGCTAATCGCCAGGTCCCGCTGCTCGTCGTCCAGATAGGCTAGAGCGTTGTTGATAGCATCGCTGCTCAGAAGGTCGTCGCTCCCGCTTGAGCTTCCGTTAAAACCAGGAAACGCAGCCGAGAGCGCGGAGTTCGATGCTTCACACGACAAAAAATCATCAACCACTGTTGTGTAGGCGTTGGTCGCCAAGCGACTGGCATCGGCCAGCCATACCTGGAATGTCAGGTTGAAGAAGATGATGATAAGACACACCCAGCTCCGCCATCGTGTCTGAAACGGGTTGTACTTGTTGGGGAGCGCAGCGAACGGAAGCGCGATCGGGATGTAAATCCACTGGAAGATCGTCGGCAGCGAATCGTACGAGAGAATGAACTGGTCCATCCCAGTGAACCCGGAGCTCGGCAGCACGTAGAAGACAAGGTTCACAAACACGTGCACCGCCATCCATACTCCGATGTGCCAGCGCGCTCGACCGAACCAATAAATCGCTGTGAAATCTTGGTACAACGTCTCAAGCTTCGGGTCCAGGAAGAACCTCGTGTACTTGTTGAAGACCTGCGGATCTGGTTTCACCAGCACTGCATCGATATACTGCACCGTTGCATCGTCAACATCCAGCAACGTCGCGCCTTTATCCTCTTCACTGCTTGAGCGTCTCCGGTTCGCCCTTTCCTGTCTCCGTCTTCGCCGTTCTAGCTGCCGTTCTCTCCTCCTCCCCCTGCGTGCGTCCTCATCGTCCTGCTGCCTGTAGTCACCCGTAATCTGCACCTCCACATGTCCATTGTCTGCATTCTGACTTGATGATGAGCCCGACACAGCGGTGGGCGGCGGCGTAGCAAACCCTACGCGCTTCGCGCCACCTCGCGGCCGCTTCCTGTCCTTCGGCCTGGGCATCAAAGCCTCCACGTCCTGCTGTTGACCGTCATCAACCTGAGCCTGAGTCTGAGCCTGATAAGTGCAGCGAAGACCCGCACTGTCGGTAGCTGCTCCACTTGCAGCCGTTGGAAGCGGAGCATCAGAAGCCGTCGGCGTGGCGCTGCTGTCCGTCTCGGAAGACCCTCGGGGCGCTGCAGAGCCCGCACTCGTCTGGGACTTACGCCTCGAGACTTCTTCGTACACGCGCTCCATCCGGTACTTGGCGTCTCGCTCCTGGCGGCGTCGAGGTCGAGGACGCGGTCGGGGCGGGAACATGCCGCCGCGTTCTTGAGCTTGCGCGGCCTCTGCTGCATGTTTGGAGCGCGAAATTGCGGCTGCAGGTGCAGGAGACGCAGAAGAAGCTGCAGCAACATTCGGGGATGCGGCGGCAGCTTCCTCGGCCTCCTGCCGCCGATGGTCGGCCAGCAGGTCCGCCAAGGCGCTCTTCCTTGGCATGCCGGCGTACCTGCGCTGTCTTTATTTTGACAACAATAGAAAAAGTCGACTTTCGACCAATGGACGACGGGTGGTATCCTACTTTCAGCGAATGAAACCGAGTATACGGACCCCTTTTCAGCACGCCAACACGGCCGAACTCGATGCGGGCCTTGGGAGCGGAAGGAACAATGAAGGGATTGATCTCGTCCAGGACGCCACTACAGCAGCGACAAGCGAGTGATAGGTACATCAACCAAAGCTCCTTCAACTCCAAGGCAACGGCACTGCAAGCGCCCAGCAAGACCAGACTCAGATCTGACTACAACCCCATTTTGAACCAATCGCGTGGCTTCAAATCGCGTAACGAGTTCGAGCTATGCCGCTGCTTATCCCGAGCAGCTACGCGCCAGAACGGAACTGCCGGCCGCCAAGATGAAGGCGGAGAGGAGTCTGAAGGATGCGCAGAGCTCGCGGTCGCTCAACACCGTGCGCTTCATGCAGCTGGCGCTGGCCGTGACGATGCTGCTGTCCGTGTCCTACATGTGGCAGTTCACGGCGGAGACCGTCGTGTCCCCCGCCTCGGACGAGATCGAGGCCACGAGCGCCAAGGACGCCGCCGCCAAGCTCGTGGACGCCGCAGAGGCCGCCAGAGCTGTGCAGCGCGACCGCACCCATGCCCACACGCAGTACCTGGTGCGCGGCTTCGAGGAGGCGCACAAGTTCGTGCGCGAGTACGACGTGGACTCGATGGGGCCGCTGTTCATGCTCTTCATGAGCGACACGGACGCCAACGGCACGTACTGGTTCCCGCCCTGCCAGCAAGTCAAGGAAGCCGTGTACAAAGGCTTCAAGCGTGCCCCGCGGCGCTCGAGGCTGCTGGAGATTCAGGTGGGCCCGGAGAAGTTCTGGAACGACCTCATGAACCCGTTCCGACAGAACCAGCTCTTCTACATCGACTATCTGCCGACGCTTATGCGGTACGATGGTGGTGGTAACTCGTCGGCGCTGCTGGCTGGACCCAACTGCTTGAACCAAGATCTGCTGGATGTGGTGTTCAAGGTCAACAAGCCGGCGGCGGGCCAGCCCAACGCCAACCGCGTCATGCACTTCAACAACCCGAAGCAGGTCATGGACTTCATGGCGTTCTACACCTACGACTACCCGCTCTTCATGTTCTACGTGTCGGGCGTGCACGCCTTCAACAACCGGCTCTGGTGCCCGTTCTGCGATAAGGCAGAGGTGCCGGTCATGCACTACTTCAACTACACGGCGCCGGCCAACGCGGTGCTGATGCGCATTGTGGTCGCGCGCGAGCCTCGCCAATGGTTCGACGAAGACAACGACTTTGTCGGCCCCGAGTTCAGCAAGAAGGTCGTGGAGTTCGACGGCGTGCCGTACCTGGGCTTCGTCGACCGGAACCGCACCAGCAACCAGATCAAGGTGAGGGAGTTCGTGCACAGCATGGACCAGCACGAAAAGCTCAAGGACTTCTTCCGACAGAAGGCCCCAGGCCCCGCAGCAGTAACAACCGTCCCCGCGGCATGAAATGTGCATTAAGTGTTCCAACTTCATCAAATAGAGACACCGAACGATGCTTGTACCGAAAATCAATCCGGGGTTAACAGACCGCCTTCTACAACGGGGTGCGGATAAACCCCACATAGGCTTGATATCTGCAGACACCAGCAATGGGGCAAAGCGTATTCTTGGATGAACCCAGCACGTAGGCTATTATCGCCCGCTTATTGGGAAGAACTCGACCATTTGTCGTTCTCATGTCGGCCGGAGCTCCACCGGGGAGTGGTTCCTTGCTGAGTGCCACGGATTTCTTCGGCAAAACGGATGTGGGCGGCGTGGAGAAGTTCAAGACAGTGGCGTTTCGGGCTCTTCATGAGCAGAAGCTCGAGGAGGAGCTGCAACAAACCAAACTGGAGAATGAGCGCCTGAAAGACGCCAACGCCCGCGTGACTCGCGATTTGCAAGAGCTCCAAGCGTCCTTCGAAGCGAACATCGATGATCGCGAGCGAGTTCTGGCGTTTAAGTCAAAACGCATCGAAGAACTGCACAGCAAGTTACGTGAATATGAAGCGATCAATGCGTCGCTATTGCAGACGATCAACGGAAGTGGCACTGCAGATGGAGGAGATGCAGGCAGTACCAGTAGGACAGCTACATCTACCCCTTCAGCCGAACCTGAAACCGAGACGAGAGCGAGGATGATGACTCTCATCAATGCGGGGAGACCTCTTTTCCACGCTCTGGACACGTGCAAAGAGCAGGAGTACAAGCAGCTATACGAAGAAGCCCAACGACAGTGTGCGCAGCTCATCCAAACCGCTCTAGAAAATGAGGCAGTCGTGCGTGAAACGCGACTGGCACAATTCAACAAACAAGAGAGTGATGCCCAGATCAAGGAGCTTCAGACGCAACTCGCTGCAATGGCCCTCGAGAAAGATGAACTTGGGCACCATTTGGAGCGGAAACTGATCCTTGAGAATGACCGCTTGCGTCGTGAGAAGGAGGCCGAGCTCCAGGCTTTCCACGATGCGATGCGTACTCAAATGCGGATGCAATTGGATGTGACAACGCAGCGAACGGTTGAGGAGAACGAGCGGGTGCAGCTTGAGCTGCGCTACCAGAGCTCGCAGCTGGAGAAGATGATCAAGCAAATTGACGAGCTCCGGGCGGAAAACAAGCGCTCAAAGCACGAGATGCACGTCTTCGAGGAGATGAACACTGGACTCAGCAAGAAGCTCAAGTTTTACGAGCAGCTTTTCGCCAAAATGCAGCAGAAGGATGAACAGAGAGCGAAGAACGAGAACAATCAGACACCACGGACACCCAAGTCGCCACTCGGGGCTCCCTCTTCATCGAGAAGGACACCACGAAAGCCTCCACTTCCAACACTTTCCTCCATTCACCATTCGAAACCTACGTCTCCGGAGTCTCCATCGCTGTATGGCATTGGATCACCTCGTGCGTCTTGCTTTTCGCCTGATTTGGACAGCCTCCAGAGCGTCAGATTCCCTGAGTTTGATCTCGACTTGGACGAAATTCAAAGCCCATACCCGCTCAACTCGATCACTGATGTTCTGGAGAAGCATCTTCAGAGTCGCGAATTCACGAAAAAGCAAGTCGTGGCTGTGCTGAGGTACCACCAAGACCAGTATAAGCGCAGGGAGAGCGTACGTACTTTTGTTCGTGTACTGTATCGAGTGATTGTGTCTCACTATTGTTATTCAGCCCAAGGTGGTTCGTGATGCGGCCAGGCTTGGAAATACCCCCGTGTTGAAAAAGAAACTAATGCTATCCAAAGCCTGCTACTCACCTACGAGCTACGGGCGCAAGATAAGAGAGCCCCCGGTACGTTTCTGATGCCAAAGTTGACCTGTAGCAAGTTTCACTGATGACGTTGTGGTTGCTGCACGGCAGATGACACTTGACACCTTAATTAAGCAGAAGGCTTCGTCTACGACGTCTTCGGACAACAACACAAGTGATTCACCGGTGGATAACCAGCAACGCCAGATACTTCACTCCTTGCTGCTTCCTGAACTGTCAAAGAACAAATCGAAAGCTAGCAAAGCACCGTCATTTGTTCAAGACCCGTCCGACATGTGGAGATCCTCTGCAACTCAACGAGAAGTCGAGATGCAAGTACATGAACCCCCTGCTACAGCTAGGTTCTGAAACTATTAGTAGGAAGCTTCGTTTGAACCATACCTCAAGGGACAATGTGGATAATGTGTGGGATCACATACTATTATACAACCTTACTTAAGTATTGTGAGTTCTACTCTAATTTTCCGAGCGGGGCGGATTGAATCGACCGTGGCAAACCGCCGGCAAATCGCCAAAGCACTTGGGTTGACTATGGTCGCCCGGCTATGCCCCCTTGACTCTCTACTAAGTACGGATTGGGCTTGACATTCGGCACAGAACCATATGTTTGTTGGCCAGCGATTCGGCAAATGACTTGATGTTTGTATTGGTCGGTTGGACAGGGGCCACAAAACCGACCCGATTCGGCAAATTTGTCCGGAATTCACAATATTACCTCTTTCTTTGAAAAACCCACCCTCTCTTTTTACCCTGGCCTTGTTTATTGTCCGGTTTTGTGATTATTTTTGGTGTGTTTTGGTCTACCCTATATTTTGTGATATTAGTCTCGGAAAAATAGTCCAATGCCGTGCACCAGCCATTAGTTTTTCATCCGCACTGCCGAGCAGCTCCAGTAGCGAACGTTCATACGTCCTTCCCGAGCAGCAACCATGGCCATGTTGAAGCGGAGACGCGAGAATGAGACCGGCGCGCAGGCGGACGCGGCCGAGGAGGCCAAGAAGCAGAAGCTGACCACGGCGGGCGGCAGCAAGTACATCAACAAGCAGCGCGTGCTGGTCTTCTCGTCGCGCGGCATCACGACGCGCTACCGCCACTTGATGGACGACTTTCGCAAGCTGCTGCCGCACCACAAGCGCGAGGTGAAGCTGGACGCCAAGGACACGCTGCACGTGGTCAACGAGATCGCCGAGATCAAGGGCTGCAACACCACCATCTTCCTGGAGGCCCGCAAGCGCCAGGACCTGTACATGTGGGTCAGCCGCGTCGGCACGGGCCCCAGCGCCAAGTTCCTCGTGCAGAACGGTGAGTTTGCAATGCGTTTTGACGCAATTGCCACGCTTTGGGAGCGCTTTATTCATTATATTATACATCTTTTGTTGACCTGCAGTACACACCATGGACGAGCTGAAGATGACGGGCAATGCGCTGGCCGGCTCGCGTCCGCTGCTGACCTTTGACAAGGCGTTTGACGAGGCGCCGCACCTCCAGGTGATCAAGAAGCTCTTCACGCAGGTGTGGGGCACGCCCAAGGCGCACCCGAAGAGCAAGCCGTTCATCGACCGCGTCATGAGCTTCTACTACGCGGACGGCAAGGTCTGGTGCCGCAACTACCAGCTGGCGGACGACGCCGACACCAAGAAGGCGGAGATGGCGGCGCTGCACCGCGGTGAGGACCTCGTGCAGCTCATCGAGATCGGCCCGCGCTTCGTCATCACGCCCATCCGCATCTTCGACGGCAGCTTCGGCGGCCAGACGCTGTACCAGAACGAGCACTACGTGTCTCCGAACGAGAACCGCCGCGACGCCAAGGCCGACAAGCGCGACCGCTACGTGTCGCGCAAGACGGCGCAGGTCGAGCGCAAGGAGCGCGGCCCCGAGCGTGAGATGCCCGAGGACCAGTTCGCCGACGTCTTCGCCGGCGCCAAGCAGTAATTGCCACCTCAAGAGAGAGAGAGAGAGAGAGAAAGAATGGACTCCTCCTGTCTCCCGCACTCCAGAAGACGAGGGACAAAGTGGTGGCTAGTTGCCAGCATTGAGATTGAGACCCGAACGTGATAACTTTATAGACTGCACTTCACTTCACTTCACCTTACTTCACATCACTTCAACACACGTCACATTCGTACCGCTTTTCCGGTACATCGCCCTCTCATTGGTCAAAACTCTCATTCTCAAGTGTCACTTCGTTCAATTACCGTACAACGGCTCGGCGATCTGATCAGTCCGTGAGTATGAAGGCGTTCAATGCCTGGCGCGGAGGGGGCGACAGCGGCGGCAAGGTGCCCAACGACGCGGTGGCGGAGCTGCAACAGGTGATCCTGAAGAAGGACCTGATGATCCTGAGCCTCACGACGCAGCTGGACGCGTACAAGGCGCGCTTCGGCGCTCTGCCCGCCGAGGTGCTGGACGCACTGCAGCAATCCGACGCTGCTATTAGCGAGTCCCCAGAGAAGCGCAGCCGCGAATTAAGCGGCGACAGAAAGGAATTAGCGGCGGAGAGTGTCGCGGCCGTGGCGGCGGCCAATGGGGCGGAGGAGAGCAAGGAGCAGAGCAAGAAGTCGCCCCCTCCGCGTGTCGTCGCCACGTCGCCGCGATTCCGAGCGGCGTCCGACGTGGACGAGGGCAGGGAGAAGCTGCAGAGCCGCTACAGTAAGAACGTGGTGCTGGACTTCGTGGAGGACTCGCCCATGTTCCGACGACAGCTCGAGGGCTTCGAGGAGTCCATCACGGGGCTGAAAGCTCTGCTGAAGGAGCTCGTGGCGCACTCGAAAGAGTACGCGGCTGCGGGGAAACACTTCGGGGAGGAGGAGACGGCGCTGGCCCATGAGTTGATTCAACGTAAACACGCGCGCGCGATCTTTTCCACGAGTTGCCCCGAATTGGGCAGCTTGTCAGAACTCTTCGGGGAGATGCACGATACTTTGGCACAGGTGCAGAGCTCGCGGGTGAGTATGCTGCTAGGGGTGGAGTCTCTGTTAAGTCGGTCGATTCAGCAGTTTTCGGAGAAGGAGTTGCTCAAGGAGGCTGGCGAGTTGAGGAAGGAGGTGACGAGGCTGGGAGAGGAGTACGAGACGCTGCTGGGGAAGCTTCTGAGCAAGTCGAGACAGCCTGGACAGCCGGCTAGCGGTACAAATACGCCTACGGGCGCTGGAGACTCGTTGGGTATGCTGGGTCTGGGCAGTCCAGCGTTGCCGGCTGGGAGCCACAATGGGGCAGGTGAGTTCGCCATCACAGGGACACCGCCTGCCTCTGCTGCTTCAGCTGGCAGCAGCAACAATGTGCTCAATTCAGATTCAAGCTCAACGGCAAATGGAAACGATAAGCAGCGAGCGCTGGAACGAGACGTGGTGGTTGCGCGTCGACGGTTCGAGCTGGCTCGCTTCGACCTGGTGCGCTACATGAACCGCATCGATTGCATGAAGAAGTTCGTTTTGGTGGAGTGCTTCAACTCCATACTATACGCGCAACTGGGCCACTTCCATGCATGCCACGAGCTCGTCAAGTCGGTGGAGCCAACCCTCCGCAAACGCCAAGAAATGATGCAGGTGTCTCGCAAGGATTTCGAGCAGGACGAGGTGATGTGGGCCTCACAACGGGAACTGCTTGATAAGCGACTGTCGCAAGATGTGGATGCTGTGAGCCCTAACTACGCGCCTAGCGAGTCACCTGCAGCAACAGGTGCGCTGAGCGTGGAGACAACCATGTCCACGGAGGTGTTTCCTTCCCTTGAGCTACCAGTCGAAGTTATCTCGACGGATACGTGGAGTAGTCGCCAGGCAGTGGCTACTTCACCTGGCGGCGTTGCCAAGCAGGGCTATCTGTTTGTCCGCAACTCGATGTTCCCAGCTAGGAGTTGGAAGCGGCGTTGGTTCCAGATTCATGCAGGCAAGCTCTTCCAGACGACAGCACGCGGTGGCACAGGGAAGCACCCTACAGAGAGCAGTCTGACCCTTGTGTGCGACCTATTGCTGGCTCGAGTACGCGAGCTCGAAGGTTCAAGTCTACCTTTTTGCTTTGAGGTGATCGATGCCAACCGGGCAAAGCTGTTGCTTCAAGCTGCTAGTGCTCGGGATATGGTAGAGTGGATTGAAGCCGCGCGTCGTAGCACCGAGAGTGCTTTAGAGAAGCAGAGTCACCGCCAGGAGGTGCATCCGGAGCAGCAGTCGGTAATTGACGAGCTTACCGAGGCGAACCCGTGCTGCGCAGACTGCGGACAGGAGCCAGCCGAGTGGGTTTCGATCAACATCGGGTGTCTTCTGTGCATTGAGTGCTCGGGAATTCATCGCAGTCTTGGTGTACACGAGTCAAAAGTACGATCATTAGCGCTAGACTCCTGGGATATGTCGCTACTTGCGCTGCTGCGCGATGTGCTTGGAAATGACGCTGTGAATGCTGTGTGGGAACACACGATACCGGACGGCTGGACCAAACCAACTCCCGCGACACCGCGTGACGAGAAGGCTCGGTATATCAAGGCCAAGTATCACTTCCACGGCTTTGCAGAGCCCGACGCAACGCTCAGTGCGTTAGAGGATGACGACAGCGTTCTAAAGCAAGAGTTGGCCAAGCGGTTTATTGCTGGAGCAGCCCAAGGGAGTTTGAAGGAGCTCATGTGGTGCTTGGCGCATGGAATAGACGTGAATGTGCGCGCGGGTGAATACAACGAAACAGCATTGCATGCGAGTGCAGCATCCGGAGCCGCGACTTGTTGCGACTACCTCGTGCTCAACGGTGCAAGCCTGACAGCAACCGATAAGCGCGGACGATTGCCCTACGATGCTGCCAAGGCTGGAGGCTTTGAGAACATCAAGCTGACCTTAATGCAGAAAATGAGTCTCGAGCAGTATCAGTCGTAGAGCGACAGTAAAGTAAAAGAAAAATAATGCTTGTCGAGACTTTTCATGAAGCCCACGCGAGCACATAGTTGGATATTTATCGATCTACTTTTTCTAACGATCTACGAGTTTCAAGGTATAGTATATCCTCAACCGGACGGGAGAATTTTACTCGTCACACGACCAGAGCGCGGTCGAGCTGAAGTTGGTTGAGGTAACAGTGCCGTCTCACTTCCTTCATCCAACGAAGGTGCCTCAATTTCAATCGGGATACCCGGGGTTCTTGCTTGTGCATCATCCTGAGAGTCGTTGTCTGATCGATAGGGCATAACGTTGCTGCCTGGTGTGCTCCGCGATGATAACCAGGGTCGAGGAGACGACCACGAGCGGCTTGGAGCCATGACGAACGACGCGACATCGGCAGGCTCGTCAACTTCGCCGTTACTTGTGCTGATAGCCAGCACCCGGGCGTCATTCTCCTCGGTCCCGCCCACGCTATTGCGTATTGTCGACGGTGTTGTGTCATTCGGTGTAGCAAGAGCTTCCGGTGATTCAGTCGTAGCAGCTCTTTCTTCTGCTGTCGCCGCTTCCGATGCTACAGCTTCCTCTGCCTCTGCAGCCAGTCGTGCAGCGTGTTGTTGGTTCGATTTTTCGCGCACGTGGATCATGAACTCGACGAACTCGACGATGTCGATCTGTCCACTGCCGTCTTCATCCACAACATCCATCATCTCCTTAAGTTCCTCGTAGGTTGGGTACTTGCCGATCGCTGCTAGTCCAGTACGCAGCTCGGCTTCTTCAACGGACCCGCTCCCATCCAGATCCAGCATGCGGAACACTTGCATGTACGAGGACACGACCTTGCTGTCAATGTTGTGCTGCTCGCGCAGAGCCTCAACGCGGCGGATCAACTCCTTTTCGGCCGCCATCTCCTGCGTGGCTTCTTCCATACTGGTGGTCACCACACCGATGAATAGCGTGATGAGCACCATGCCTCCCAAAATGATAAAGCAGCAAAAGTAGAGCACAGCCAAGAATCCGAACGCTTCGGGCTCGCAGTCGTAGCCTAGAGCGCGATACCCGTCGTAGCCGTATAGATCGCAACCGTAGTAGTTAATGTACAGCACGTCGCTCCAACCATCCATGGTGGCCAACTGGAAGAGTGTTAACATCGCAAAGTGCAAGTACTGGAAGTGGAATGGATCGTTGTTGGCGAATAACATATTGCCCACGATACCAAAGACGTAGAAGCAAAGCAAAAGGATCAGTCCGATATAACCGATGGAGCCCACACCCTTGATCAAGGCAGACACAATGACCTGTAGCTGAGGAAATGCTCGTACGAGCTTCAGGACGCGCAGCAGACGTAGCAGTCGCAGCATAGTAAGCATACCGCCCGTTCCCTTTGTAAAGCTACCCACGACGATGATGAAGTCGAACACGTTCCAAGCTGTGCGGAAATACTCCCAAGGCTCGAGCCCTTCGGCGAGGATTTTCAAAATCACTTCGGCAGTAAACACAGCAAGAATGGCCGAATCTAACCCATTTAGCACTGCACCGAGCACGTCGATCACCTCTGGAGAAGTTTGTAGGCCCACCATGAGGCCTGCCAAACAGATCACCCCTGTGACAAAGAGCGAGAACTTCGGGTGCTCCACAATTTTCGTCGCAAGGCTAGCGACCTTGAGGTACGCCCCCTTCAGGCTCTTGGTGTCACCTTGCTGCTGGGTTAGGATATCGGTCAGGTCGCAGTCATCCCAAGTCTGCATTAACACCTCACGCATCTTTTGGCGCTCTCGACGCTCGGCGGCAGTGAGTTTTCCATTCTTGCTTGGGTCCTGGCTGGCCTCTTTCTCGCCCTGAGCCCGTTTCTTCGCCGCCTCACGAGCTCGTTGTTCTGCCTCAAGCGCTCGCTTTCGAGCCTTTTCAGCTCGAACTCTGGCCTCGACTTCTTCTTGGGCCTTCTTCATTTGCTCCATACTCTGGGTCATGCTCATCGTGATGGCACCGATGAAGAGCGACAGCATGACGAAGGCCGAGATGAGGATAAACGTGATGAAGTAGAGAGACGCCATCCCCTGGTTCAGTGCCCGCTGCGATGCCAGTGAACTACTGGTGACGTTAGCACCATACAAACTGGTGACGTTGCAGTACTGGAAGCTAGCTGCAGCGACAGGGTCATTGGAGTAGTAGCCACCGTCGAATCGATCGCAACCAAAGTAGTTAATATTCATGATCTGTGTCAAAAGCACGCCGTTAGTATTAATTCGATCAACGCCACCAAGTCTAGACCATGAACACTTACCGCGGACCAGTTCTCCAGCGTGCTCATGCGAAATAGTGTCACCATTGCAATCGGGACGCTGCGAAAGTGGAAACTGTCGTTGCTTTGCCAAGCGTACATCCCCGAGATGGCGTAGAGGTAAAATACAAGAAAGAGCAGCAGCATAATGTAGCCGATGGACTTTAACCCACCGATAAGCCCCATAACGATCATGTACAGCTGCGGAATGCGCTTGACCAGCTTCATGATACGCATGAGTCGCAGCATACGTAGAATGGCGATGCTGCTACCACCAAGAGCCGACCCCCATATGGGCAGACTCATGACAATGATGGCAAAGTCGAAGCAATTCCATCGCATCTCCTTACCCGTGAAGAACCGCCAAGGGTAGAGCCCTTCAGCTAGAATTTTAATCGCTGCCTCGAGGATAAACACAGCGAGGACGGCGTAGTCCATATCGTTGAGAATTACGCTCTCTCCTAATACCGGGTAGGTTTGCAGACCGACGGATAGCGAAGCCCAGGAGATACACAGCATCACCAGCGAGTTGAACCACGTGTTGTTGAGGGTGGAAATTCCGACGTTCGCCAGCTTCACGTAGTACAGCTTGGCGCCCGTGAGACCGGTCAAGGGGATCAAGCGGATCAAGTCGTCATCTTCCGGCTTGGTATCCTCAGCGGTGGCTTCTTTCGGGTTAACGGAACCAGCGTCAGGTGTAGCTCGCAGAGAAGTTTTCGTTTGGACTTGAGTGGCAACTTCTTCGGTGGCCCCACCTTCCTCTTCGACAAGAGGCGGTGACGAGACCTCTGCATTTATCTCCTCTTCGTCATGCTCCAGGTCATGTGCAACGTTCCATTCGCTAGCTTCTCGCGCTCGTCTTGCATCGGCTACCTTCCGATTTGCTGCCGCTCTCGCGGCAAGCATGGTTGTACTGGAATGCTATCAAGTTTGGCGTGGCGAAGCTTGAATTTAAATTGCCTGGACAGCGTCCCCACTGCCAGTGCGGCCCCGTTCACCCACCGCCAAGTTCAGCGGACCTGATCTCCGATGGAAACACTCGTTCAGCACACCGGGGTGCTGACTGCGACGCACCACCCTGGGCAGACAGGTACTGTGAATGCATTGGACGAGACGTGGAGGGCTAAATAAAGCGGGTCTGGAACACAAGAGAGCAGAGTTTATATCTGTCCTTCCTAGCAGTTTTCCTGCATCCTTGGCATCAAATGATTCTGAGCGCAGCCTACCGAGAGACGATAAATACGAAATGAATTTGCAAACGAGATCCAAATGATCATTCTCCCGACTGGTCCTTTCGCCTGTTTGCACTTGTCGCCATAAAATATTCCGTCGTACATGCAGCTTGTAGTTATAGTGTGGAAAGCGTATTTGAACGCGATATTTGTTATTGTTGGGCGAACTTTCTTTCGCGCGCCGCTGGGTTACTGCTAACACTATCCTGACGTCCCCCAAATGCCACCCCTGCTTCTTTCGTAGGAGCTGCAGACTTGGGTTCATACTATATCTACCCTATAGGCTGCCTGCTTTCGGCAGACCTTCACGCAGTAGCTTGAGCTTAAATCGCGACGATTCGGCTGAGCTTGTCCATGTTGAGTATCACCTTCTCCTCGAAGATGTCGGGCTCGCTACCGAGACTGACGGCGGAGCTGTGACGGTTAAGTTGCGAAAGTCCGGGCAGCTTGTTGTGCGAGGTCGAATGTGTCGGCAGCGATGGCTGCAGATACTTGCATTCGCCAACTTCGTATGAAATGTCGGTGCCTCGACTGTTAGTGCTATCAGTATCGTCGTCATCGTCGTCGCTGTCGACCTCAGTAGGATCGAGGTACTTCGCCCCCGGGATATGATCCATTTCATCCTCTTCATGAGTGTCTTTCTCACTGGTACACGAGACAGCGGGATCGTGTTGGTTCGACTCCACTTGATGCTGCGCTACCGCAGTCGTCGGAATGTTCAGATTGTCCATGTTCAGCGACAACATCTTGGATATTTGCTGTGAAAACTTGTCTAGCCGTTTGTCGATCGAACGGAGGCCCATGACACAGCGCACGCAGAACTTCGTCTGGCAAATTTCTGCTGGCTTGCTACCGGACTCGATCTCAATGTCCGCGCCAGGGACGGCGCGAGTAACGTAGCAGGTCTTGCAGACGATGTCGCCACACAACCGGCAGTGGTGCCGCCGCCGAAACATGAAGTGGAACTTGCGACTGCAAATGCTGCACGAGGGGCGGCTTGCGTCCGGCACCCAGTTCTTGCGGAGGGCCAACGTTTGGGTCGCGATGTTCTGCGAGTCGATCACCAGCGAAATATCGTTGAGGACGGCCATGTTTAATCGGTACTGCGCGTGAGCGATAATTGACGACATGTTTGCCTCAGTGGCGCCCATGGCAAAGACCTCCGAGGTCGCCTTCGGGGTGTCAGCAGCTGGGATGACCAGCATCGTGCGCTTCATCCGCACCCGCGTCAGTTTCAGAGACTCCGAAAGCTCTGGACACTCGGGAATTTCAACTGAGGCCATTGCCACGAACCCGATTTCCTGTCCGTTGGTGTTGATAGTGTAGCCCACCATCTCGACGAAGCAGGAGTCCTGCTTGCCTGCAAAAGAGTTCTCAGCGAGCCACTTGATGCCGAGGTAGCTGTCCTTAGTCGCGCGGATTGTGTGCAGGACAGCACCGTCGGTCACTACAGGCGACAGTAGTTTCTGCTGCTGGATGAAGTCGGACGAGGTGGCTGCGTAGTGGGCGTCCACGATATCTCGGTAGTTGCCCTGCACGCGACCAAAAGTGCGGTAAGACTGAATTGGTGGACGCGGGTCGAGCGGGTCGCGACGTCCAACCGTGGCGCCGACGGTGCAGCGTGAGAAGGACAATCGTCCACTGCGACTGCGGTCACTTTGGCTGCGCATTGTCCAAGCGTGAACTCCAGTGCTGATGCGGTCGTTCACATTGCAGACCCTCTCGAGCGTCGTGGTCCACGAGGAGGTCGAGGTGAACGAGTCCTTCCCGGGGGTCTTGAACGTCTTGAGCTGACCCAGAGAGCTCACGAAGCGCCAGTCCGAGTCCAGCTTGTGATCTTTCATGCGTTGGGCAGTATGGGCCAGTACGGCGTCCTGCACTTGCTGCTGCATCATGGATTCGAGTCGAGCGGCTTGGGGCCGCGACAGAGTCACAGGCGCGAAGTTGGGAGCAGCCATTGTACAGCTGCTGGATAGCAGACCTCGTCACTCGTTGCAAGGAGCTCGAAAGTTTCGGAATGAGAGCGGCTTCGCTGTTACGACCAGTAACACCGCCGCATGGCCGATTTACGGAGCGCTAATGCTTTGTGTCTCTGCGACAGCGGCGTGTCGCCCCGAATGACCAAGACACATGGTAGGAGCGAGTAGCCTCGCCGGCTGCTGATAGCAAATCGCTGACCCTAGGTTTGGATACTTGTTCAGTTCTCCATCGAGAACAGCTGGATTAGTTTTTCAACGTTGTGAATACTTAATGTTCCAGCGTGGCTGCCAGGCTTTCCACCGTGGCGTGGCACCGAGATGATCTCCACGATCTCGGCGAGATCGTGGAGTCGAGCGAGGATACCTGTAAAATCCATCACTTCAAGCGTCTCCATGCGCGTCAGTCTTGCGTAGGAAGCTGCAATACATAGCGGAGGTGGCTCGACTCGGAGGTGAAGACTGAGCTTCCTTTCCTACCTGCACTACTGTTTGTATTCAGCGAGCACATCGAATTCGATCGCCATACACTGTTCCAGCGTGCACCGATCGTTGGTTCGAACGCTGCAGCAAGCTTTGCTGTAGACTCCCAAGTTTACGGTGCTTGCTGCTCATACCCTGTAAGCGCCTTCCACGTTGAAACCTCTTGGATGAACCCGGGGTGCACCTCCACGATGGCTTCGTTTAACATGGCGAGAGTGCAACATTTGTCGAGGAATAGTCACGATGACCTTGTAGAGGCAGTGCTAGCAACCCATGGAGTGGCGATCTATCCCCATGAGAGGGTTTGCGATGTGAGCATGAATATCGAACACCACCCGATCATTTTAGCAGCACCAGTGGAAGAGCTAAACTAGCATGCGGTTCGACGTGGCTCACCCACGTAAGGCTTGCAAGTCCACTTCTTACATGTATGCAAAAAGCACTCGACACTGCACGGATCCATTGCCTTGAAGATGAGCCCCCATCCAAGTTGGATTCCAACCTCACCAAGTTCCATCGTAATCATCATCCTGGCATCCGGATACATGTATGTACTGTATGAATCTGTAGGGGCAGACCGCACGGGTGGCTCAAAAACGTTTCCGCACTTGCGAGCGTTTGGAGGACCCTCGACGAGGGTTCGAGGCGAGGCTACAGCAGCAGTTTTACTACAGCCGAAGTAACCAACATTAGTCCGCCGCCTGCTGTCTGCCACAAAACAAGTTGGTGCCTTGATGACGAGCTGGTTCTGTGTTCTGCGCGAAAAAAGGATGAATGGGCCGCAGCCTGCTTCTGACAATGCATTGCGTCCTCTACTTCACTCTCTTGAATCAATGAAGCTAGCGATTGGCACCAATACCCGCTAACGGACACTATTCTCCGTTCTTCCCTAGCATTTGAGAGTTCAACTTACCTACTTACTCTTGAAAGTAATGTAGAACGACCGGCTATCTCCTAAGTACCCTCTTCTGTCATTCTCTACCGTATCGTACCACAAAACAGGTACACATTGACTCCATATTGATGCCGCGACAAAGCGTCGCTCCGCGGTCGCAACGTCAGCCTGGGCACACCCTCCTGCAGCCGCGTAGCGCCACCATGAGCTCCTTCGAGGCGGCCAAGCCGGCGCGCTCCGGCTCGCGCGTGGCGGCGCTGGGCAAGCGCCCGTCGCTGCTGCACCGCAGCTCCGACCCCGAGTTCAGCGACGCCGAGCTCGACGGTGCGTGCGTGCGACTAGCAAAACAGACCCAAAAGATAATAATCTTCCGACCCTCGAGTCCTAATAAGCTCTCTCTCTCTCTCTCTCTTTGTGTGCTGTCCTGGCCCATTAGACGCCGTGGATATGGGCGAGAACGCCGTGTGGGCCAACCTGGAGGAGCCCATTTACGCCGAGAAGGACGTGGAGATCTTCCGCCCGACCCAGAAGGAGTCCAGTCTCCCCATGTACTACGCCAAAGGCTGGCTGCCCTTCGCGGCCGACACGCTCTTCGACGCGCTCATGGATGCGCGCTACCGCAAGTCCTGGGACAGCAACGTGCACCAGGTGCACGTGGTGGAGCACCAGCACGTGAGCGACGTCATGTACTTCGCGCTGAACCTGCCGTGGCCGCTGGCCAACCGCGACTACGTCTATCGCCGGCGCGTCAAGTTCTACCCGAAGCAGAACGCCTTTGTGGTGCTGTGCCAAGCCGCGCACCACGCGGACGTACCGACCAATGGCGTCCGTGTCCGGGTGGAGACGTCCACGCTGCGTCTGTGCATCCGCAGCATGTCGAGCTCGAACGACTCGTGCGACTTCCACCTCGAGTACGAGGACGACACCAACTTCAGCATCCCGAACTACGTGGTGAACCTGCTGCTGCATACGATGATGCCGTCGTTCATGACGGAGCTGCGGAAGGCGTGCGCAGGTTATGCCGAGTACATTAAGACACTGGACGATAATGGAGTTCAGTGCATTCCCTCCCAGGTGACTCGCCATCGCAGTGCAGTGCTTGCTGCAGCGACAGCGTCCGTGGCGGGGAGTGTGAGCTCCATGGGGAGTAAGGGCGCGATCGGTGCTTCGGTGACCGAGGAGAGGAAGCCTGTGCGAGCTAGCCCACGACCAGGAAGCAGCTTGTTCTTTCGAAGCAAGCGGCCGAAGCGCAAGCCCGGCCTGGTGGGTCGAGAAACCGACGAGCACAGCAGCATGAGCGAAGACTGGGAGGTTGAAGACGCACCTCGCAGCGAACCACCGACTACACAAAGTCTGCGACCGTCTATCATCCATAGATCGCTCTCGACGGAGGTTAGTGCGAGCTATGGTGATCTTGGACCTCGATTGAATCACTCTTCGTCGGCCGGCAACATGGAAATGAGGTCAGTCATGGCGCCTTCGTCAGCGTCCGAATTTTCGCGCGCTAGTTCGGTGGTGTCCGCGCAGGCAGCTTTACATACTGTCGACGGACCGTTGACGCCTCTGGATGATGACTTTACCATTCAGTTCAGAAAGCAAAAGGTTGGTTTGCACCTGGAGACCGACGTATTTTCAAACAAGGTGCTAGTTGCGTTCTGCGAAAAGGACAGCGAAGTAGCAGCATGTGGCGAGCGCATTGAGCCAGGATTCCTCGTGACCTCAGTGGACGGTGTTTCAGTGAGTGATTTTAAGTTTACTGACATTCTGAGCGAGATCCAGCGAGCACCGCGCCCACTCACGCTGGGTTTCACTCATCCCGACAGAGAAGCATCTCTTCAATATCGTCGCTTCAAGGAGCCCCAAAATGTGCTGAGGTGCCTTGTATCTCGAGACGAAAATGATCTACTTGCCGCGTTACGCCCATTAGATGAAGAAGCAGCAGTGAGCGCTGTGCTCAAGTGTGATTTCGTTGCGCCAGCTGCCACACCGTCGAAAGGGAAGTTGAAAGCTACAAACAGCAGCCCGGGACTTGTGGAATCTCCGTCGTCTGAGCATTCAACCCCCGTGCTACATCCGTCCTTGTCTTCCCCAGAACCAGGGGCGGCACGAGTCCTGGTACCAGCTGGCTACTTGGTCTACGAAATCAATGACTCGTACGTCCTGGACGTGCCGTACGCTGAAATCGCTCACTTATTGCGTCGAAGCGGTGATGCATGCGTGGTAACGTTCAAAGCGGCTATGGCAGTTGTAGGTGGAAGCAAAAGGAAGTCGTTGAAAAGCCGACACAAGATCGTCAGACGCTTCTCGGGCGTGTTCCGGAAGAAGCGCAGGGCGTCTGACGCTAGTGCTACAGCGAGTATCAGCTCGACTTCTTCGCGAGAGTGGGCAAGCGGGAGGGGCCAACGCAGAGCCGGGAGTTCTGACAGCGAAGTAGTTCAAACTACCGACACTAATTCTGACGCCTATGGCCTAACCGATTACTCGTCTGTCACAGTCACAGCAGAGAACCTCGACTGGGTGTGGCAGCAGGTTCAGCTTTTGAAGGCAACGGAGCGCATCTTCTCAGCCGCACTCCTCATTGATCGGCTTGAGGCGTTTCTAACAGACACTGGCAGTGCTAACAAGATCATCGCAGCGGCAAAAACAAGAGTATTGCGTGCAATGCACGACGAGCGGGAGTTGATTGACCACATTAAAGAGCGTCGCGATCAAGGTGTGAAGGCGCTCAAGGAGTTTAGCGACAAGGAAGGTGACGATGAGTGGCAGTTTGGACAGACCATGCTGGGTGTGACCACCTCCTGGAAACCCGATGCCGATGGCTCAGTATGGATCAAGTTGGAGGGTCTCGTTGATGGCGTATATATCTTCAATACTATATCGGTGATTCGCGAGGTGGATCTCTACAGTGTATGGACGCCGTTTTGCTCTCAGTCGTTGCTGCTGCAAGACATGGGTCACGTGGAGCTGGCAGCTTACTTGGCGATTTCGTCGCCGTTCTTGCAACGAGACGCGATTATTAGAGCCTTCGGCATCAATGCCGTTTACGAGAACCGCTGCCTCTTGCTCCTCGGAGGGTCAGTGGACGTATCGACAGTGACGAGCCGTGTTCCGGTCCCCACATTGCAAGGGTGGAACGCGGGGCGCATGGAGATCAAGGGGTTCCGCGCACTGATCGAGCCACTCACACGCACGCAAGCGCGCACTTGCATCGTCGCGAACATCGACCCCAAGTGCGCGATTCCTAAAGCGATGCTCAACTTCGGCATCAAGAAGATGGCTGGCATCCTCCTGTACCTCATTCGTAAGGAGGCCGAGAAGATCGAGCACGACCACAAGAAGAACGCTGCGAACGAGCACCTTCGCCGTATCAACAGCGACCCCAGCGGCTTCTACACGTGGCTCAGACCCATCGTGGATAAGTACTTCCTGGACCAACGCAATGGCGACCTGCCGGAGCCGCTCTCGCTAACTGCAGATAGTCCAGTGGAATGGTCAACGGATGCGGATTCGCCTCGTGCAAGCCGCAGCAGGAACACAAGAACCGGCAGTCCGCGTCTAGCCAAGCGGCGCAGCTCGACCCGAATCGCTGCCTTTCAACGCCACGCGCTCACCGCTTCCTCCGTGGACAGCATGGAGACCGTGGCCGAGACCCCTCCGAGCTCAAGCAAGCGCGACTGGAGCGACTACCTGCACGACTTCACCATTTGGCCGTACCTACTGCTATTTATCTTCGCCAAGGCGTCTGCGGGGCTGCCTCTGCTGTACGCGTGCGCGCTCAAGTTCGTCTTCACCTGCACCTGCACGTGGCTCGCCGTCCCCGGCGCCTTCCCTCGATCCACGCGACAGTGGAAGCGAGCGCGGAACGAGCTGGAGCCACTTCGACGGCAGTGCGTCGTGCTGGCAGCTATCTGCGACGTGCTGAGCTCCTGGGCGCTGCGCATCTGGGTCCGCTGGATCGAGTGCTACCTCGGCGCACTGATGTACGGCTCAACTGCAACCGCACTCTGCCTCGCTCGCTCACCGACGGAAGTGCGCGAGTCCGAGCAGTTATCCATGATGGTCGTGTGCTTCCTCTACGCTAGTGCTGTTGTCGGCGTGCAGATTGCAGTCAACCTGTAGCACCGGAAACTATCTGACTCACTTCAACATCCGCAAACTAATTACAATACTAGTCGTAGTGACGTGGTATAGTGTCGCTGCTTACTAATCAAAATTGTATCGGAATACGAGACAAGTATTAACAAAAAGAACCCATAACTTCGGCTGATTTTCGAGTGATAGCAAAGTGGGAGAGCGGTGCTTGCGGCGATTACATCTGGGCGGTGGAGCACTTTACATTTGATCGAGGATGGCGAAGGGCGAAGGTGGCGCGGCCCCCAGCGGCGTCTCCTCCGCCAGCAACAGCGGCGGAGGCTTGAAGCTGAGCCCCATGCGCTTCATGCAGATGGCGCTGGTCACGACGGTGCTCTTCTCCCTGGCTTACATGTACCAGTTCGTGAGCGTCAGCGTCTCGCTGCGCTCCGTGGGCGACTCGGAGTCCGAGGACGGCGTTGGCATCGTGCGCAACCGCGTGCTGGGCCACTCGGTGCTGCACCTGCAGGGCTTCGAGGCCGGCCACAAGTTCGTGAGCGAGTACGACGTGGAGACGCAGGGCCCGCTCTACATCCTGTTCATGAGCGACGCCGACGAGAGCGGCAAGTACTGGTGCCCGGACTGCGAGCGCGCCAAGAAGCCCGTGATGGACGCCTTCAACCGCGCCCCCCGCGGCTCCAGACTCGTGGAGATCCGCGTGGGTCCGCAGCCCTACTGGGCCGACTACATGAACGAGTTCCGCCAGAACCAGCTCTTCTACCTGGACCACATCCCCACGCTCATGCGCTACGAAGGGGGCGGCAACTCGTCCACGATGCTCACCGAGTCCTTCTGCACGGACCCGTCCCTGCTGGACTACGTGTTCCGCGTCAACAAGCCGCTGGCGGGCGCGCCCAACAAGAACAAGGTGCTGACCATGCACCTGCCCGGAGAGCTGAGCGACTACCTGGGCACGTACGATAACTCGTACCCGCTGTTCCTCTTCTTCGTCTCGGGCTACCACGCGTTCAACGGCCGCCTCTGGTGCCCGTACTGCGACCGCGCGGACGTGGCGGTGATGCACTACTTCAACTACACAGCGCCCGACAACGCCGTCATGGTGCGGGTCGTGGTCGCGGACACGTACAAGAAGTGGAAGAAGAAAAATAACCCGTTCAAGCTGCCCGACTTCCAGGAGAAGGTGGCGCCTGTGCGGGGCGTGCCCTATCTGGGCTTCGTCAAGAAGGACGTGCCGGCCAACAAGATCCACGTGCACCAGTTCATGCCCGACTACCCGGAGACCGGCAAGCTGCAGACCTTCTTCAAGAACGCGCCTCGCACAGCACGACCCAAGTAGATTCTAAGCGGATAACATGATCGAACGTTGGTTGACCTGTTCCAGTCATCGCGCCGGGGTTAATTTTAAGCCGTACTGCCGGTAAAGTGTTATTAAATCGATTGGTAAGTTGCAGACTGCAACTTGCAGGTGGTCAAGTTTTTTATTCTCTGGATTTTAATCCAGAGTTGTTGGGTGAATCCCAAAACCCCTACCAATTTTGAAATGATAGCACCATAATAGATTTATGTTTGCAGTCTAACATAAATCTATTATGGTGCTATCATTGCAGTCTGCAACTTGCAGGTGGTCAAGTTTTTTATTCTCTGGATTTTAATCCAGAGTTGTTGGGTGAATCCCAAAACCCCTACCAATTTTGAAATGATAGCACCATAATAGATTTATGTTTGCTTTAAGCCGATGCAATCATTTCACGACAAAACTGAATGTTGCTTGTGCCTCAATACACATCGAACATATTGTGTGTTCTGTTCGAAATTTCCGCGGGCGGTTTGTTGAACCGCCCAAGCCAAATCTCCAGTGGCCACTAGGATTGGTTATAGGCACCCGTTTAAGTACGAATTGATCTTGACATACGGGCACTTGGACCATATGGTTTGGGCCCGGAGATTGAGTAAATGACTTGAGTTTTGTATTTGGCGATTGGAGCGGGGTCTCCAAACCGCCGCGATTTGGAAAATTTGGCCGGAATTCACAATAATGATGGTCATGAAACTCACTCACTCGAGTAACAACCATATGTACCTGTAATATCACATATCAGAGTATTAAATACTAGAGGTCTACTTACCAAAGGAAACGAAGCTCGGAAACCGTAGCAGGATCTTTGCTAAACTGTGGAAGCAAATAGCAGAACGTGATACTTAGTATAAGTGAGATGAATGCCTCATCAGCACACCAACATATACGTGCATTTTGCTAGCATGCCCTCATGTAAAAATTTGAGCGGCAAGGACGCCGGAAACACTGCAAGTAAGCTCGCCATCATGGGGCTTTCGCCCAATGACTAGTGTTGGAGGAGCTCAATCGCGTTGCTCTGATGAGTTGTATTGTAAATGAACACGCTGCAGTGGAGTCTTCACTACAACCTGTACGATACAGGCCGACGCCCCCACCCTTCCAATAGATTAAAAATAACCATGATCATGTTTTATATAATTGTGTTAAACAAATCAGAGTCTCGCGTTAACCCTTTAAATATTAAGATCGACGAGTCGAAACTCAGCAGAACACCATGTCAAGTCAATACCATATTTAATGATACCTTGCTTGGCGTGCTCTCCGGTTTGTTCCTATTGATAGTGAGTGGTTTACACCTCAAACACCGTGTGATAATCAGTTTGCGGGATCACATACGAGCAATCTAAACGATCGACAAGGCACAACCGGCGAAACTGGGTGGCTTCATTGAGCAAAGAGTCTTTGCCAAAGACGTCGATCAAGAAAGCCGCCACCTACTACAAACGCCAACTGTACGTGCGCTTGATGAAAACTACAATCCCTTTAACTTTATTAAATTTATTGAAGACAAAGTTTAGTGAATAACACAAGTGGGGCAATACTGTATCTGTAAACGTTCATCAAAACATCATGACCCATATCAAGCGAGCGGCCCTGTAGACAGCAGTGTGCGATCCAGGTATTGTGCTTTGCATCCAGTTTGCCTTTCTATGTAGTGCACTACTTAGTGTTCGTACTTAGCGGTAAATCATAGTGGCCTTGAATGCGAGTTGCTAAGTCGTGTCTCGAACCCGGTTTGGTTCGGAAATTGCACTTTCTAAAAGTGCCAAAAGGTGCTGGATGTGCTAAATCATGCAGGAGATGGCGTATGCGCACTACTTAGTGCTGATTGACCATCCACGACTTCAGCAATTCGTACTCGAGTACGATTTATCAATAAGTCGTGCTCGATAGTTACAGTCCGAAATGCCAAAAGTCTGCAAAGCACAATAGATGTAAATAAAAAATGAAAAAAAACTCGAAAATCCAGAGCTTCCCCGTGCAAAACACGGCTTTGTTTGAAATTAATTTCAGGTAATAAAAGTATTAGTATTTGGGGGCTCGATGATGTCCGGGACTGTAAATCGATTTGTGGTTTTGGGAAGTTGCAGTTTTGAGAGTCAAAAGTTGCTTTTGACTTGGTCAAACCAATTTTCTGTTACCCGCATTTAGAAACATATCAGTTGGTTAGAAATGCCGTCGAGCAATAGTCGGCGCCATCGCGGCTCACATGGCGGTGCCGGCCTGTGGCTGCGCCGCAACGTGTGGCTCGTTGCGGCCGCGACCTTCGTGGTCCTCTACTGCGCCTTCATGGTGCGCACCACCATGTGGGTGCGTACGTTTGGTGTCGAGCGGGAGCAGCACCAAGCAATGGCGAAAGCCTCCGACCATGAGGCGATGGATGCGCGGAAGGAAATGGGCGCGTTGAGGGGAGAGAATGCTCGGAAGGAGGCGGAGGGACAGGCGGAGGAGGCGGTCGAGAACGGTCGAGAGCAACTGGACAAAGGAGAGGGCGAACAGGAGGCTGTGGGGGAGGCGGAGGCCCACAACGCGCACGCTGACGCGACGGCGGGTCCACACGTATTGACAGAGAAGGAGGAGGACACAGTCGCGTATGATGACAAGGTCCCACTGGAAGACGCGGGGGATGTCCCGATGGTTGGTGCCACATCGAAGAATGAGGTGGATGTACTGACGAATGCTCCTGCGCCGACGGAGGAGACCAAGGCCCACAACTGGACTGCATTTAACGACTTGCCTGTTGCTGGTGGTACTGCAAGTGAGAAAGGTGGAGCAGTAAAAGCGACGGAAGCCCCGGAAAACGAAGAGCCCAAGCCACTGACAGCCCCGGTGACGGCAAGTGGCAATGACACTGAGCATCGGTGGACTGGGGTTGATAAATTGCCAGTGGCTGGAGAAGGAACGATGGAGCTAGATGCACCTGCGCCTCCTGCAGTTATCACTACTGTAGCTGACTCCGGGGAGAACCAAAGCCTGGTTGCACATGAGCCACCCGCTACTTTCACTTCGATGAAGTTCGACACGTCGAGACTCGTTTTGGAGATGCCAGAGCAAGTGAACGCCTCAATTCCGTTCGAGGACCGGCATCAGACGATTTTTGGATACAACGCCACCATGGCATATCTGCAACTGTATACCAAGTCCCCCGATTCGAAAGAGCAGCTCTTCCTGTTCTTCACGTGCAGTGACGACAAGGGCAATCGAGACGACTGGACTCCGAATTGCGCCACAGCTCGCGAGAAGGTATATGCTACGTTTGCCAAGTCACCTTCCACGAACAGGCTCGTGACTATTCACACAGGATCTCGTGAGGAATGGACCAAGTTAGGCGGTAATGCTTTCACCGACGACGATGATCTCCGCCTCAAGGCGATCCCCACAGTTATGCGGTGGGATGGTGGTGTACCCGGCTCACTTCGTTCAACGTGGGGCGTCTTAGTGGATCATTCGATAATGTACGAACCGCTGCTTCGCTACCTCTTCCGTAACGCCGACGAGCAAGACAAACTACTCGCAATCCCTGAAGTGGAGACCAAGGAGATCGTCACGCTGAGAGGATACGCGCAGTACCGGGCGTACATGGAGGAATATGCTCGAAGTGGGTCACGGTATCCGATGTTCATGATGATGGTGTCGGGTCGATTCCGGCGCAACAATCGGCTGTGGTGTCCTTGGTGTCGGCAGTCCGAGATGCCTCTGGAGTACGCTTTCTACGCCTACGCGCCGGCCAATGCCAAGCTGGTCCTTGTCGAGACCTACGACAAATACATCGTGTGGCGAAACCCGGATAACGAGTTCAAGCAAGACCCGCAACTCGCAGTGAAAGGTGTGCCATGGTTCTACCGAGTATTCCCCGGCCCTCCGGGCCAACCGTTGACATACCAGCGAGTCAAGAAGAAGTTCTACCTGCTTGAACAACTGCAGCAGGCTTTTCAAGGCTCGGAATGAGTTGCTACCACCGAGGACGGGATCAGATAATTAGAAATCGGTAGAGGCGAAACATATTTCTATTTCTAAACGGTAGTACGTGGCACTGAAGCGCCAAGATGCCGCCGAAAGCTGGAGCCCATCGCTACGCGAGCAGCAGCGCCCGGCGGCGGCGCTGGATGATCGCGGTGGGCGGCGGGTTCACTCTGTACTGCGTCTTCATGCTCCAGATGCGGCTCTGGTCGGCTGCGAGCTACGCGGACATGCGCGCCAACGCCATCAGCGCTGAGCGGAGCCCCTTGATCATCGACGCGCCACCGATCAAGGTAGATAACGCCATCAAGCCTGTAACTCGAGAAGAAGTTGAGGTGACGCAACGTCCAAGCACCGAGCAAGCATTGAAGACGATGCCTCCTGCCCAACCAGCGGTACATGTGAGTGAGCAGCAAAACCTGCGTGCCTTTGAGCCCTTGTCTACCCCTGGCGTGGTTATCGTCCCGACGCCAGCACCGACAGCAGCAAAAACGGCGGCTCCTGTTGCAAATTTTGGAGCTCCTGCTGCTCCAGCAGCAACATTTGGAGCTCCCGCTGCTCCAGCGACAACATTCGGAGCCCCTGCTACTCCGATGGCTACCCTCGAACCCCGTGTTGTTCCAGTTGCAACGGCGAAGCCGGTGTCTTCGCTCGCGGGTCGCCATGATGTTGTTTCGGGATATGATGCTGCTATGCAGTACTTGGCCAACTACACGATGCCTGCAGGCTCTGATGAGCAGCTCTTCTTGTTCTTCACGTGCGGAGACGAACAGGGGCAGCAAACGACATGGCGCCGAGTCTGTGTGGACGCGTCGAAGCTAGTATACGACGTATTTGCCAAGTCTCCGTCGCGCAACAGACTGGTGACGATCCACGCAGGCTCCAAAGAAGACTGGTCGACACCGAACGCGTTCTTCAAAGACGGCGACTTGAAGGTGAAGATGATTCCTGCAATTATGCAGTGGCACGGTGGTCGTCCCGGAGCGAAGCGCGCTACTTCTGGGATGATTATCGAAGAGAGCATGCTGTACGAGCCGTTGCTGCGCTACCTGTTCAAGAATGAGGACACTCCGGACCCGCTATTGGCACCGGACAAAATCGCTTCGAAGGAGATCGTCTTGCTGAACGGGTACAAGAGCTACAGGCAGTACATCGATACCATAGCGGCTGGCGAGAATCTATCGCTGACGTACCCCCAAGGACCGATGTTCCTCTTGCTCGTCGCAGGTAGACTGGACACCAACGACCGTCTCTGGTGTCCGTACTGCCGCTACTCTGAGATTTCCATGGAGTACGCATTCTACGCCTTTGCCCCACCAGGCTCTCGGCTGGTGAAGGTCGAGACGGTGAACTCGTACGGGATGTGGAAAAACCCTGCGAACGAGTGGAAGCAGGACACGGCGTTGAAGGTGCGAGGAGTGCCGTGGTTGTACCGAGCTACATTGGACTCAGAAACACACACCTTCAGCTTCGAGCGGTACTACGAGCGCTTTGACATCCCCGACGCGATGCGAGGTGTGTTCCAGGGCTGGAAGAACCCGCTCTGACGGATGCATCAATAGATTCTTGTGCCGATTGCCTGTAGTGTAGTTAAATGGCACGTGCCGAGTGCAACTTCCTCGAGTAAAAGTTGTATGTAGCCATGTTGACACGTAAAACTTGAATTTCTAATGGCGTAATCCATTTCTACATGTAAACTGATGCGATATAGAAATTAACGATAGACGAGTTCAGTGAACGGCAGTTGGGAAAGTATGGCCGAGCCTCGCTTCGGACGTGATCGTCGACGGCCGCAGCGCCGCGGAGCTCCCGGCTCCAGGCGCACCAACCCGTGGTATGTGCTCGCCATCGGCTTCTTCGTGGTGTACCTCATCTTCCTGGTGCGCTGGCGCTTTGGGAACGCTTCTGACCTGGAGGGCTCGGCCCCCACCGAGCAGCTCAGCAACCTGCGCAAGGCCAGCAACCCGCAGCACGTGCAGAGCGACGACGCGCTGGACGTGGAGGTCGCGGCGCAGCTGGAAGAGCAGCGCAAGAACGAGGAGCGCGCGCGTCAGATCCCCATCAAGGTGGTGCTGCCAACGACTCCCCCACCCTCTGCTGCCCCCAAAGCCACAACTGCCGCAGCTCCTGCTCCTGAAGCCACTCCTGAAGCCACACCGGTCCGTGCTATCGTAACGGAGAAGCCACGGGAGCTGGAGCAGGTGGCGGCAGCTGAGGAGCTTGAAGGCCGCGTGCCCGGGATGCCGGCGCCCGTGATGGAGGAGGAGCCGGTGCAAGCTACAGAGGCGGCGGCTGTGGCCTTGCAGCCTGCGGCGGCTGCACCGGAGCAGCTTGCGACGAACGCAGTGCCAGTGCAGGTGGCGCTGGTTGAGCCTGTGGTGCCGTTTGAAGCTAGACACCAGGAGATCTCCGGGTACGAAGCGACGATGAAGTTCCTGGAGGGCTACCAGGCCAACCCGGACGAGTCGCTGTTCCTGTTCTTCATGTGCAGTGACGAGCAGTTCAAGGCCAACGACTGGTCGGAGGAGTGCGTGGAGGGCAAGAAACACGTGTACGACGTGTTCTCCAAGTCCCCCGGCCGCAACCGACTTGTGACGGTGTTTGCGGGGTCGGACAAGTACTGGAAACACCAGAACGACTTCTACAACGACCCGGATCTGCGCGTGAAGGGCGTCCCGTGCTTGATGAAGTGGGAGGGCCACAACGGCCAAACGAGCGGGATGCTGGTGCAGCGGTCTCTGTTTGACGAACCGTTCCTGCGGTATTTGTTCAGGAACACGGACCAACCGGAAGTGCTGTTCGTTGCGGACGATATCAAGAACAAGCAGATCGTTACGGTCAATGGCTACGATGCGTATGTGGACGCCATGGTCAAGTACGAGAAGGAGGAGAATCCCGTCCCCACGTTCCTCATGATGGTATCGGGTCGGTTCAAGAACAACAAGCGGCCGTGGTGTCCGTACTGTCGGTACTCCGAGTTGCCTCTCGAGTATGCGTTTTACTCTTACGCCCCCAAGAACGCGCGGATGATTCGCGTCGAGGTCACCGACTCGTACTCGGAGTGGAGGAAACGGAATGAATTCACGCGGGACGAGAATCTGCAGCTCAAGATCGTCCCATTGATGTTCAAGATCGACCCCATTCCAGCTGCCGGCCCGAATGGTACCAAATCGATCAAGTTTGTCCCACACAAGATCCGGTACGACGAACTAGCCTCGCTACGCGAGTTCTTCACCAGCTTCACATAGATTCAAGGGAATGTTGTCGAGAAACACCGCAGATGATGCTGTCGTGTGGTTGGTACTGTATACCGAATTCGATAGAGCGCAACTATTTTCTTGTATTCTACTGTACTGTTATTATACTTGTGCGTCTAGAATTACTGCAGAGGCTTCACCGCCATGTACTTGTAGAACTGACGTCCGACACAGCTCTATCCTCTTGGCGTCGTCGCAGGGACAGCCTTTGCCTCACGGACTCGGACATTTGGTCGACGATTCCTCGTTCTCCGAGGAACCCGAGATATCTGGTGAAGCTGAGACCGAGGAACTCCTCGATCATCCGCAGCGCAACGCTGATCTCACACGCGTCGCTGTCTGGCAACACGCGGACGTGCTGGCGGAGGCTTCTAACAGTGAGCAGACACACGGCCACGAACTCTCGGAAGCGAGCCTTGCGCTCATCGATCATTTCGTCTTCAAACTCATCAGAAGACGAGCTGGAGAAAAGGCGCGAGCCCCACACCCGTCGTGAAGGGAACGTGGTTTCCACGATAGAGGCCAGCACATTCTCGCAGATCGGACAGCGCGGCTGACGGCGGCGTCTGCCCCGACTAAAGTGCTTGACGAGTTGTTGTCGGAGCGCTCGGAACTCCGAGAAGCGGCGCACCACGCACCACTGCTGCTTGCTCAGATGAACTTGGACCTCGTAGAACACCACGCCGTCTTCCAGCCGCTCAATGTGCTGTCCAGTCACATGAGACGATAAATAGTCCGAGTACTCGGCTTCTTCACGAAAGAGCTGTAGATCCTCGCTGCACTCGCGCAGAAACATCGTGCTTGACCGCGGAGTCGAAGTTTGTTCCCGAGTTGAGGCGCGCTGTCGTCTGGGTTGGGTTTCCGTCGCCGTTGTCGATGACCTGGAAGGCGTTGAAACGAGGGACCCGTGTGTATGCCGCCTCAAACTGCTCCGAGTCTCCGTTGAGTCGTCACCGCTTCGTTCGCGGGACAGCGACAGCAGACTGCGCGCCGACAAGCTGCATCGCCACAGAAGCCTCGGAATCTTCCCAGACCTCCCCGCTGCTGCGGACGCGCGGGTTTCGCGACTTCTAACGCTATTAGCGGTCGGCAGCCCGAACGGGTCGGCCGGGAAGATGGACTGCCTCATGGCCTCCTCGATCGAGCTGCACGTCGAGGCAGTCGAGCGCATGGGCGAGCTCGAGGAACACATCGCGTCACTTAACCTCATTCCGGAACGGCAAATGCAAGACTGTTTGCTGGCGGCGCAGAAGGAGAAGTACCAGTGATGGAGGCTAGGCGAGCATTCCAGAGAGGACAGGACGCTACGCTGGACTGCGTGCAGCGTCGCACCTTTTTTCGAGCCATCAACGCAGGCTGGCAACCCGCGGAGCGGATGCGGACATCGAGACAGGGATATGAATAGCGAGCAACAAACGGATGCAGGGTCTCACAGCACGGGAGGATGGAAGGGATCGCTAGAAAATGGCGTTGGCATGGTCAGTCACGGGGCAATTGCGAGTGCTCCACAGCTTGCGTTCTTGTGGCTTGGAGCAATCGGACCGTACTGGCAAGTCTCAATTGTGCGGTGATTCGAAACGGCGCGCGATCTGCCGGTATCACTCGGCGCAACCTGAAAGAGGGTTGGTATGCGTTGCGACGCACGGACTTTATGCTATATACCAGCCAGCCACAGCATTAACGCTTGACGAACGCAAGGCGTTGGTGGCGCCGCCGCAAGCTTCATACGTCACGTGGTCAGTCGGACACCAGCAGCGCTTTGAGCTTTGGGAGATGGTGGATATCCGCACGTGCTCGCAGCTAGAATAGCCGCCCGGTGTTGAGCCCAGCATGAGGGAAACGGATCCCTTCGCAACGCTGCCATCACGGCAGCATCACTTCGGGAAAAGATGCCGCTGGTCCCGCCCATGACGGAGCATATCGCTGCGCCCCACGCTGACCACTTTTGGTGCAGTCGCTCAGCTGTGCAACTCGAATCGATTCAACTCCGAATCCTTTCCCCCTCATCTACTGGCGCAATGGACGGACCCACAGGTCGCGAGTGCCAACCGTTTCAAGGCGAGCAGAGTGGCCAGCGACGCAATTGCTGGCGACTTGCACCTCGGCAGCCGACCTAATGCAACTGACGTACTGGTACACCCCCTCTCGAAACCGTTATATCGCCTTTGTAACGGACGGGCTCAGTTGTGGCCATCAGTTGGTACCGTACCGGTACTTCAGGATGCGACGTCGAGTGCTGCTGCTCTTGCCGGCGCACCGCACGCGGCAGCCACAGCCACAGTCGCAGCTTCTCGTGCGATGGCAGTCGGCTGCTTCGTCCTCTTCGCAGGATTGGCGCCGGGTCGTGGCGGACTTCCAGCGCAAGGCCAATGACACGAATGCGTCACTGCAGTCCAAGGACGTCGAGAGCGTCGTGCGCGTGTGCACGCAGAGCAACCGCATTCGAGAGGCAATCAACGCGATCCATAGGGGGGAGAAGCGCGGTGTCACGGTCCCATTAAGGTCGCACCTGCAGATTTCCTCCTCTTTGGCCCGAAAGGGCCAAGCGGATCGGGCGCTGGCCATGATGCCGGAGCTGCGCGAACGCTTCGGGGACGCGTTCAACGCCGCGTCCAACGACCGGTACAGCGTGTACGACCCGCTGTTGAGCGTGTTCAAGGACCAGGGCGACTGGCGGAGCACGCACGCTGCCATCGCGCAGATGCACGAGCTGGGGATGACCCCGAGACTGCGCGCCTTTCGAGTGCTCATGCTGACTGCGGCCAAGGCGCGACAGAAGGAGACGCTGCTGACGACGCTGCAGTTCGTCGAGAACAAGTTCCCCGGAGTTTGGATGCACGCAGCCACGCTGACTGCGATTTGTCAGTCGCTGGTGGAGATTGGGGAGCACCAGCGCGTGACGGAGATCTACCACAAACTGGACGCCGAATGGCTCCAAGACCACGCGAGCACGTTGCTGTTCAACCAGTTTGTGCTCGCTGCAGTCCGCAGTGGAGACAGCGAGAAGAAGCATCGAGACCAGAAGCATAAGGCCGCGTTGGGGATGCAGATCGCTATGGACATTCTGGACCGCATGCAGGAAGCTAGCAATGCGGCGCCCGACGACTTCACGTTTGCGACGTGTATGAAGGGATTGGAGAAGCGTGGCCAGTGGACGGACGTGCTTGATCTGTTCAACACGATGCTAGACGCCCAAACGCGCAGTCAGAACGCACTCGGCGATATAGAGACGAAGTCACTGATCAACGCTCTGTCCTGCGCCAGTGTGATCCGCTCGCTGCACAAACTCCACGAAGCCAACCAGCCCGAAGATGGACAGAAAGACACGCCCAGCTCGCCTAGAAGATCGAAAACTGACCAGCGCAAACTAAAGCAGGACTTGTCGGTCGTGCTGAAGCAGCTTCACACGGTGGATCTTCGGAACATCGGACACGCTTCGACTCTGATCGATACGCTGGACGAGTTCAGATTGTTCACGGCGGCACGCCAGACCTTCAAGCGCGTGCTGGATGAAGGTATCATCGAGAAGACCCCATGGCGTCTGAAAGACGGGTTTGAGATCGACCTGCACACATTCTCTCGTGGTGTGGCGAAGTGCGCCGTCGTGTCAGCTTTCGACGAGATCACGCGCTCTCAGCAGGGAGTTAGCGCTGTGTCTCTTGCTGGGAATGCACCGCTGCAGGACGTTCGCATTATCACGGGCGTGGGTAGACGCAGTCAGACATTCATGAAGCCTGTGCTACGCCACGAAATCACGGAGCTACTCACCAAGTCGAGTCGACCGCCGTTGTGGCCGTCTTCGCATCCGACCAACCCTGGAGTTCTACTCGTCCGCCATAACGCGCTGCGCAAATGGCTCCAGAAAGGTGGCGCTATCCGATACTTTTGACCCCCTAGCTGGTCGTAAACCCAACAAATATTGCTTGCTTACACATATTCTACGCTACTTATCTACTCAGTTTCTTTTGTGCTACCACTGCCGCTGCACGTGCAGGTGTCTTGAGGGTCCGAAACCTTCCTAATGGCGTCCGTAATCGCGAAGAAATACGAGTGATGCTCAATCTCCAGGTAGTCCAGGATGGACGATTCATCATCAGCGGCAATCGGTAGCTGGTCTGCGGCCTCGATGAACGTCATGGCGTCCAGCTTCTCGTAGCTCAGTCCCGTCATCTCCACGAACTTGCGAATGCGAAAGTCTCGCGGGATCTTGCCTACGATAACTCCATCGGGGGATTTCACCGTGTCAGTGTCCACAACATCAGCGTTCAGCTCCGAGTCTGAAGTCATACTGCGGCGGTTCCAGTTGGCCGAGCCGATGGTCAAGAACACGTCGTCGATGATCATGATTTTGCTGTGGATGTATATCTTCCGGTCGGCTTTGGTGGTGTAGAGCTTGAGTTTGTTCGGGTATTTCGACCGAATAGGCTCGACCATTTGGTACAGGTACTTGATGTACCCGGCGTTCGTGAACGGCCCGGTTTCCTCGTTGGCAATGACGATGAGGCGCTGGATGTTGGGCATCACCTCCATGATCGCGTCCAGCATCTCAGGCACCAGCACGAAGTACTGATCCTCGATGTAAATGAAGTTTTTAGCGTTCTTGATCGCCTTGATGTGTGCCTGGAACAGGGAAGTTTCACCGCGCGGCGCGAACTCCTTGTAATGCTCGTACAAACAGCAAACGTCCGTACAATCTGGACGCTTTGCTTGCCGAAACTCGCTGTCGTGTTGCTGCTGGCGTAGTCTAGAGGAGGCAGGTGATCGTACTTCGGGTTCTTAAAGTCCAGCAGGTCGTCGTTAAGGCCCTGACACGGCAAGTAGTCGGAGTTCCAGCGATCCAGGAAGTTGGTGGCGACATCCTTCGCTGCCGGGCCGTGGATACGAATGTGGCCGTCCATCCAGCCTTTCTCTCGGAATGTAATGTGACCCTCATCACGGATCGCAGTGGCGTTGTGGTAGATGGTATCCCACCGATCATTGGCGAGATCAATGCCACCGACATAAGCCACAGGCTGAGCGCGTTCGTCCTTGGAGCTGTTCACTGCAATCACCATGTTCTTCTGGTGGTGCGAGGATAACGCCTTCGGTAGTCGGTCGTCAAAGATAAAACTCCCTTGGCTCCGTTGATGGACGACGCGGGGATACTGTTGATAGCGTCGCGAGCCTTGAGGATGTAGGGCGTGTATCCGACACCGATGTTGGCCCAGGCCAGGATGTTGACGCTTCCACCTCGCTCCACAATTCCAGTGAAAACCTCCTCGAACCCCGTAGTCTCACCCGTAGGATCGATGTCAGGTTTGAAGGGAACGAGCGCTGCTAACTACGCAGCGAGCATGACCCGATCCCCCTCTTTCGTCGAGCTGAGATCGTCGTAAACCGCGTTGAAAAACTCGTCGGACACCGTGTAAGACGTCACCTTGTTACCGGTCGAGTACACCGCCATACCCTCGCGAGGAATCCCACCTCGGGACTCGGTGATCTCCTCCTCAGTGAGGAACCAGTCTTCGGCGTCCAGCAGAGGCTGTCGAGGCTTGATGTCCGACCCGTCAGAGAGATCAGCGCTGCCGCTGGCATCGATGTTTGTGCTGGTGCGGCTTTCGGAGGTTGAAGACCCACCGAAAAGGGACGAGAAGGAGCACCACCGCCAACGCGAACACCAACGCAGCGAAGAGCATTGCTTTTTAGACTCAAAGGACCTGACCGGTCACGAGTCAGCTCAGTTGTGCACAACTAGAAGTGATCGCTGCATTCGGCCTTACTGTACCATGCGAAGGGATACATTGTGATGCCGAGGATAGTTTTTTGGGATGGTAGTGGTTTCCACCTCAACAGGTGCTTCGTGTGCTGACATGATGCCGTTGACCAGATTAATGGCCCAGCGGCACTGCTGCTGTAGGAGGTTTCGGATCCAGGTCTGCAGGTTGGAGGTTGGTCGGTTAGAATCGCTCTCCTCTCATCTGTCCAGGGTGTGCAAGTCGCCTTCGCAATTGGAACTTTGCCTCTACGATCGCTTTCGCGGCAACAGTTTGCTGAGACCGAACACCAATCAAAGAAGGGGCTTGAGACGGTACTGCACCTTGTCAAGTTGACAAGTAGCGAAAGGGCCTTACCGCTACCCGTTCAGTGCGGCCCGCACTTCAGTGTACATTACATGTATGGTCCGCGTCGGTTTGCTTGTTAGTATTTGCCACGGGCTCCCAATTCGCATTGTGAAGTAGAATTGTGAAGTAGAATTTCGGTGAGGCAGCACGTGAAAATCCCTTACATCAGTTCGTACATGTCCTTCACAGCAACGAAGTCTGTCTGTGAAGTCGACGTGCTTGAATATCAAACAGCGAATGCGAGGCGAGCCGTTGTTAATCAAAAGTCTCAGAGCAATGGGCTTAGTAACTAATCCATAGTTAGATGATTTATCGCTTCTTCCTCATACATGTCAAGCCAGGTTAGCTGACATCGTCACCTATGTGGTCCTGGATAACCCCCGAAAACAAGCACAAACTTCTATTCCTTCTCCTCAAGCCTTGATAAATTCACGATCAAGTTTACTCCGTTTCTTTAGTGCTACCGCTACCGCTGTATGTACAGGATTCTTCCTGTGGGTCTGAGACCTTTCGCATGGAGTTCATGATGACGACGAAGTAGGCCTTGTGCTGGATGTTGTTGTTGTCCAGGATGGACGACTCGTCGGCGACAGCGATTGGCAGTTGGTCCGCAGCCTCGACAAACGTCATGGCGTTCAGCTTCTTGTAGCTGAGCCCCGTCATCTCCTGGAACTTGCGGATACGGAAGTTGCGCGGCAGCTTGCCCACAGTGACCCCCTCAGGGGACTTGACCGTCTCGCCGTCCACCACATCAGCGTTGAGCTCGGAATCGGACGTCATACTGCGACGGTTCCAGTTGGCCGAGCCGATGGACAGGTACACGTCGTCGATGATCACTAGCTTCGTGTGGATCAGGATGTCGCGCTCAGCCTTGGTCGTGTACACTTTAAACTTGTTCGGGTACTTGGATCGGATAGGCTCGACACTTTCGTAGAAGTACTTGATGTATCCTGCGTTCGTGAAGGGGCTAGTCTGCGGGTTGGCAATGACAACGAGGCGCTGGATCTTGGGCATGACCTCCATGATCGCGTCCAGAAGCTCCGGCACCAAGACAAAGTACTGATCCTCGATGTAGATGAAGTTCTTGGCGTTCTTGATAGCCTTGATACGCGCTTGGAACAGCGAGGTCTCTCCACGCGGAGCGAACTCCTTGTAGTGTTCGTACAGGCAACTGAACGTGCGAGTGATCTGGACGCTCTGCTTGCCCAGAGACGCGGTCGTGTTGGAGCTGGCGTAGTCAAGCGGAGCTATGGACTCGTACTTGGGGTTCTTGAAGTCGAGCAAGTCGTCGTCCAGGCCTTGACACGGCAGGTAGTCCGAGTTCCAACGGGCCACGAAGTTGTTGGCGACGTCCTTTGCTGCAGGCCCGTGGATGCGGATGTGGCCGTCCATCCAGCCCTTCTCGCGGAACGTGATCTTGCCCCTGTCACGGATCTCAGTGTTGTTGTGGTAGATGGTGTCCCATCGGTCGTTCGCGAGATCCAGTCCTCCAACGTACGCAACAGGCTGGTCATCGGGATCTGTGGAGCTGTTGGCCGCAATCACCATGTTCTTCTGATGGTGGGAAGCCAGCGCTTTGGGTAACCGGTCGTCGAAGATCAACACCGCCTTGTTACCGTTAATGGGGGATGGCGGGATGCTGTTGATAGCGTCGCGAGCCTTGATGTTGTGTGGGGTGTAGCCCACTCCGATGTTGGCCCAGTTAAGGATGTTGACGCTCCCGCCGCGCTCCACGACGCCCGCAAAGACCTCCTTCACGCCGGTCTTCTTTCCTGTAGGGTCCACGTCCGGCTTGAGAGGAACGAGAGCTGCAAGCCACGCTGCCAGCAGGACTCGGTCTCCTTCCTTGGTCGTGCTGAGGTCCTCGTAGACGGCGTCGTAGAATTCATTGGCCACTGTGTACGACGTCACCTTGTTGCCTGTTGTGTAGACCGACATGTCGTCACGAGGGATGCCACCACGGGAGTCGGTGATCTCCTGCTCGGTGAGGAACCCGTCCTCCGGGTCCAGAAGCGGCTGACGGGGCTTGATGTCGGTTCCATCGGACAGGTCGGCGTCTTCGCTCCCAGTCGCAGCTTTGTCGCTCTGGCCTGCTGTCGAATTTCCAGAGGATTTCGAGTCCCCGCTGTCGAACAATGACGAGAATGAGAACGCCGACACAGACGTCGGTGCCGTCACCAAGGCGTTAGCGAGGGCGATGAGGACCAACACGCTTTTCATCTCGGCCGGTAAAAAGTCAAAGTGCCCGAGAAATTAACCGAGATCAGCACAGGTTCCGCAGTTCTTGGAGTGGCTTCGCTGCCTGCTGTTCGACGCCTATGATACCACAAAGTGGTCAATCAGCACCTTGGTCACCTTGCACGCGAACGCATCGCGCAGCGCTATCAGCTCCCGCAGCTTCTTGCGGCCAGAGTGCGAGATGCGCCTAATAGTGAGTCCATTTCGCCGCATGAACTTGCTGCACCACGATTTACGTGCGGTGGCTGTTTTGCTGTCGAGGAAGCCCGGCAAAATCACCATGCAGTGCGCAATGATGCAATCCATCGACACGGCCCGCTCTTCACGCCTCTCGTCCTTGATCCAGCCCCGTAGTTCTTCCTCGACATGCAGATGGCGAGACGCGGCCACTACCACCTACAGTCAGCTTCTTAGCTCGCTTCTTGTCTTCAACAGCCGCCTTCATGGAGTCATAATGGTGCTCCCAGTACTGTAGCGTAGGACGCGAAAAGTCTCGGCCAGTGCAAAAGGCCACTCGGGTTTCACCCGATGCAGCGAAGTCCTCGACGGTCTTGATCTTGAATTCGATGGTATGGGCGAGCTTAATGCGATGCGGCCGAATGCTCTTTCCCCAGATTTATCTACCTTCTTTTGAAATGCGCTCACATCCAACCACCTCTATACGCAATTTTGATTGGCCAATGACAACCTTGACTTTCTGAAAGACTTCGCACCCGGCAAAACTGCTTTAGTGAAGGGTGCCAAATCTATCAGGCTTTTGCGGTAGCGTGTGGGATGTGAAGCCTCGGACAGCTCTTGTCCGGAACTCTTTGTCGCAAGAGTCGGGAGCAGAATCACTGACTGGTGCACACTTTCCATCACGTGGCAAAATTATACTTACAGTACAGTACATGAACTTACAGTGTACATGCCCGGTTACTGTTTCCTGTGTTCCTTACCAGCGCACCATCTGAAAAATTATTTTTCAGAGTGTATTTTTCAAAAATACACTGTGGAGGTGGCAGTTCTCGCTTTGGAGCTCGAAGCGACGACGAACTGCATTTACTTGAGAGGAAAATTGGTTGCTGGATGTTATTGTGGAAACCGATTAGATTGCCCGAGCGGATTAGCTGATAAAGCAGCGTTCATGAGAGATTTGACTGGTACTAAATCAGGGATCCTTATGATTTCATATGGCATTGGTAAGGGTATAAATCGGTGTAAGGTTAATAAAATGGGGGTTGCCTCATTACCCGCCAGAAATACGACGAGCGACCACTTACCGCCACGAGCTGAGTGATTCGCGTACCTACTAACGAGAAATAGCATCGCGTGCATTAAATACGCTTCTGTGAGCTTCGATGTGTACTGCATTCTATTTATCAAGTTCTGAAGTCATGTATTTGCGCTGTCATTTCTCGTCAGCATTAGCGTTTGTCGGTTTTACGTTAACTCGGCCACCGATTGCCGTGTGGGTGTCGGACATTCGGGCTGATTAGCATGCAAATCAGCCGTCCCGGGCTTTGTAAGCCGTGGAGCAGCTAAATCAGCTTGCCACATGGCGTTGTAGGCACAACTGACCGCTCTGTCAAATCAGAGTACAAATCTTAGTCTGTCGATCTAATTAGGAGGTCAGATTTAGCAAACCAGACCCGATTAAGCTTAATCATCTGCTTAATCAATCGATTTATATCCCAATTAGACAATCTAATCGGTTTCCACAATATTGTATGATTATGAAAAATATTCCCGCACAATCTGGTGAAGTGCCCAGGTGTAAAATTTACCATTGCTGGAAACATGGCATGTCTAGGGACCTCGCAAGCGTTACGATTTAATGTGTCAGTGTCTTCCGATTGTGTTTAATGGCATTTCGACCATCAGCTCGGAATATGTCCTTGTCAAAATTTAGCTGGCGATCAAAACTCGATAAATGCAACAAAGTCCGCGGTTCACTGCGTTACTTGCAAACGCTGAACGCTAGCAACCTAACTAGGCTACGTAGAATGCCGATGCCTCGTGGAGCCGCTCCACGTTTCGAAGTCGGCAAGTCGCCGACACTGGATGTACATGCACGCTAGCCCCTTCCTCTTAGGCGGTCGGGTCGGGAAAAAGTGTTTTCCGTCAACAGTCGATGGTGGGGATTAGACAACGTACATACATGTATTAAAATATGTTGTGATACTCAGCAGAGATGTCTGCCATGTCAAACCCGAAGTTGTCTGCCTGGTAAAGTTGTCACAACGTCGCGTGAAACGAAAGTCATGTTTTGGTTATGTTATCAAAATGTACTTCCAATATTCTGCTTGCGGCAAAGGTGTACTGTAGAGACATAAATCCATCCTCATTCACATGCACGTCGTGGCTGATCTTTTATTCAACTCACCAACAGGACCGTTGTTTTGACTTCTTCTCCTTGTTGCACCAGATCGCGAGCACAACACGTCCGTAAACCACAACTTATCGCCTGGGTGACCAAGACGACTAAAATCCAGGTACCGGTTGATGCGCTGGAAACGGCGAACCCCACGGAATCACGATCATAAGATCGAGAGATTCAAGATGGGATCAACATTTCCACTTTTCCCCGGTCACCAGCGAAACAAGGGCTAAATGCATGTCCGTGTCTTCCTGTCGGCGCGAGTGATAGCAGCGTCTTCAGCTTCTTCGTCGGCGTTTTCCTTCTCTTCTTTGTTTGATGGAGACGAAAAGGAATCAAGCGCTTCAGGTGGGGCTTCGTCAAGTACCAGTGACATCACCGAAAGACCCGACGGTACATTCCAGCAGCCCCTCTTGGACGCGGAAGACTGGTTCCTTTCCAAGCAAGAAATCACGGCCTCGAGAGGCGGTGTGCCAAGGACGGATCTGTCAGTCTACACGACCGGCAACAAGGTGACTTCCTACACGGCCTCGAACGAATTCTACAGCGCGGTTTACGATGATCTGAGTGCGACCAAGGAAGGAGACCACGTTATGCTTGCTGCGTGGCTCACAGCTCTCGTTCCCCTGAAGCCAGACGTGGACCCTACAGGCGCCAAAACGGGCATCAAGGAAGTGTTTGCAGGCGTCGTCGAGCGAGGAGGCAATGTCAGCGTCCTGAACTGGGCCAGCATTGCGGGCGGATACATCCCTTTCAACATCAAGGCTCGAGACGCAATCAACAGTATTCCTCCGTCTAAATCCACCGGAGCCAGAGCGACGTTCCTCTTTGACGACCGCGTCAATATGATCGCTTCGCACCACCAGAAAACGCTAGTGATCGCGTCAAGTCGCTCCTTGGGGAAAACCGACCAGCCCGTTGCGTATGTGGGCGGGTTGGACATCGCGAATGACCGATGAGACACTAGTTACCATAACAGCACAGCCATTCGTGACGGGGGAGGGATTACCTACAAGAACAAGGGCTGGGTCGATGGCCACATTCGCATCCACGGCCCTACAGCCAAGGATGTGGCACACAACTTCTTGGCCCGATGGAGCTCAAAATACCGCCTATGCCGGGTCTTGACGACGACCTTCTCAACTTCAAAAACCCGCCGTACGAAGACCTTCCACCACTGGGCTACACAAGCAGAGCGTGCAGATCACACGAACCTTCAACTGTGAGTACAAACACTACAAAGAGTTTGCCCCGAAGGGAGAAAACTCGTTGTTTCACGCCCGAATCAAGGCCATCAAGAACGCCAAAAACTTCATTTACATTGAAGATCAGTACTTTGTGCTGGTTCCGGAGCTGCTAGACGCTCTGATGGAGGTGATGCCGAGAATCCAGCGCGTCATTGTCGTGACGAAAGAGCAGACGAATGCGTTCACGAACGGAGGGGTACATCAAGTACCTCTACCAAAACGTTGAGCCCATTCGATCTAAGTACCCGGACAAGTTCGAGATCTACACCACCAAGGCGGACCGGAAACTGCTCATCCACAGCAAAATCGTGATTATCGACGACGTGTACCTGTCGATTGGCTCGGCGAATTGGAATCGCCGTAGCATGACTGCCGATTCTGAGCTGAATGCCGACGTCGTGGATACTGATACTGTGAAGTCTCCCGACGGAGTAATGGTCGGCAAACTGCCTCGTGATTTCCGCGTCCGTAAGTTTTCGGAAATGACGGGGCTGAGCTACAAGAAGATCACCACTATGACGTTCACCAAAGCTGCGGACCAATTCGCCATCGCCGCTGCCAAGAAGTCAACGATCATTGCTCCGTTGAAGTCGGAGCACCACGCGTACTTTATCGCCATCACCGACGCCAAGAGGAAGATCGCAGACCCGCAGTACACGTGCATCGCCACCAGTAGCTAGAATAAGTTCATATTGTCATTTCCATTTTTTTTGTTTCTTCCTAGAAAATAATGTTGTGGTAAGAAAACATTTTGTCATTCGATTGATACTAACGTTGCGTTCACGGGTCAACTTGGATGGTCGTGTAGTTGATGATCCACTCCTGCATAGCGCGTGGCATGTCCACCGCTTTCTGCTCTACTTCGTCCCAGAGCAGCAATTTCTTGTCCTCCTTGGCCTTCCTCTTCGCTTCGACCATCGTGCCGTATCTCTCCAGTAGGTGATCCAGGAACGCCTGCGGTGGCTTGACGTGGTGGTGGCTCACATAGTGCCAGTATCCCTCGGGCCAGCAGTAAACGCCGTCGGTCATGGTGCACGCGCCCATGACTCGAGGCTGCTCCAACGCCAGCGAGCAGTTCGGGAACCGGCAGAAGCTGTAGGCGAGCTCGTGGCTCTCCACGAACGCCCCGCGGGTGAGGTACCACTCGATCGTCTTCAGCAGCGCCGGGTGACACTCGGCGAACCAGGCGTCGTCCACCAGGAGGAGGGGGTTCGGTCGGTCGGCGTCCGACGCTCCACCGCCGCCGAGCTCCTCCTCCGAGCACCAGAAGCCCACCTCCTGCAGCATTGTCGATGGTGAATCTGCCGTGTCTCGGCTAGGTACGGTCTCAGTCACCCGCCAGGATGGCAAACACGAAGGCGCGGACACTGTCGGCTATGCGCTCCGGAGCCGGACACCGCACCTCGCAGCATGATCGCTTGAACTGTCGTGTGGGTGGGCCTTAGACAGTCGGCATGACCTTGACGAGGTCGGAGGTGGTGGTTGAACATGCGTGTATTGGCGCTGGTACATTCGTGCAAGCACGATACAATCATGATTTGTATTGGGAATTTGTGGTCAAATATGAGTAATGCAACATTTACACTTAGCTTTTGTATTGCATATTATTCTTGCTAGACTGTAAATTGCCAAAATAATTGGGAAAATGTTGGGATACACACGAATCGATCGTGATTGGCTAAATTCATTGAAGATCTTGTCCTGATTGGATAGATGCAATGACAGAGAAGCGCAAGGAATGCCAAGTTGGGAGAAAGCTTCCTTATCCTACAATAATACAATACGTCCAGCAGCTCGTTCTTCTGGGGCTCACCAGTCGATCACATCGCCCTTTCCAAAGTGGAGAAGCTGCAACGGGTCTCCAATCTTAGCACGAGCAATAAGCCTCGCCATCCCTTCAACACTTTCTTCAGGTTCCACAGCTCCGTTGAAGTTGGAATACGCAGTGTTCACGTTGCCCGGGTGGAGCAGCAGACATCCGATGTTCTGCGGCTCCAAATCAATCGCCAAGCTCTTCGTGAACACATTCAGTGCGCCTTTCGAGGCGCGGTGTGCGTACGCTCCGCCCGAGCTATTATCCGAGATGCTGCCAATCCGCGACGTCACTTGCGCCACAAAAGCGCTCCCTCTCGCGCTCACCGCCAACTGCAGATTAGGCAGCAACGCGCGCGTGACAAGCAGCGGTCCCAACGCGTTCACCTGAAACTGGCGCACACAGTCCTCCGGCGTGGTCTCATCCAGGTTGTGCATCCCAGTTGTACCCGCATTGTTAATGATCAGGTCGATACACACGCCATTCAGCTTCCTCGCCATGTCCTCAATGGACTTTTGCTCCGCCACATCCACCTGCACCACGTTCCACACCTTTAATCCTTTCAACTGCTGCTCAAAGTCCACACCACGACCAACAAAGATTAGACTACCGAAAAAATAACAACATCGATAAAAAAATAAAGTGCCCACGTCACCTCCTTGGCCTTGTCCACTGCTCGCACCGCCGCGATGACATTCCAGCCCTCCTTCAGATAATGCTTCACAAAGGCGAGTCCGATGCCTCTGCTCGCCCCGGTTATCAGTACCGTTTTGGTGGCAATATCACTCGTAACCTCCGTGAATCTCGGACTCACGTGGACTGTCGTCGTCTCGAGGTGGACAAGTTGTCTGCCTGGGGTGTCCCTCGCCAAAGCCAAGTGGTCCGTCACGTCGGTGACTGTCCTCTGAGGTCCATCAGCTGTTGCAAGACCATTGTCGTCTACTCTCCGGTGCCTGAACTGGCGGAAGCGGATGCCGTGGCGCCCCATAAAGTTGGTCATCCAGCCCACGGACAGCCCCAAGTTGGGGCGGCGCTCGGCCGGGAGCTCCCCCAGAATCTCCTGCGCATTTTGCACCAATAGCTTGCGCGAGAGCCGCACGCCCTGCGCCTCGCACTCGTCCACGAAGGCCTTGAGCGCCGTCTCCAGCTCGGGGCTCGCCACGTCGCGCCCGCGCTTGGTGATGCCCTGGCGGTGCTTGGCCTCGATCTCGTCCGCCGCCTGCAGGACCTTCTTGACCGTGTTGGCGGACGGCGCACGCTCCAGGTTGAACGCGGCCTGCGCCCACTGCGCCAGCTTGGCCTGCGACAGCGCGGGGCTGCGCCGGTGCTTGACGATCAGCTCGTACTTCTCCTCGATCGTAAGCCACTTGCCCATGTTCTCTTCGTATGATTTCGCGCTGTGCAATTTGTACAGTTTACGTCAATAATCTTGAAAAATACTGCAGATTTGATAAAAATGTAAAATAGCTAATTCAATGTCTACGGGCGAGCAGTACACTAACTCACCGTACAGTATCTCTAACTTAGAGCCTTCGAGGAAGCATCCCGAGTCGCTTGTGAGTCTAACTGTGCTGTAATCTTGGATCGCTGATGGCAGCGAGCAGAGCGGTGTAGATGTGATGATGATGACAATGCTGTTACGATTGGGTTGTGTGTACTTCCGAGATCGCTAGAACAGATAACCGAAGCTGTAAAGGAAGCGCTCGCGTACGAGTCGGCTGGAATTAGACAAACACTGTGCGGGTGTATTACACCCGTGTAAGGCGTCACAAAGCGGGTCAATTTGATAAAGACCCTCCAGTTGCAAAGCTGGGGATCGTCTCAAGAATGCATTTATCAGGTCATATCCACTCAGGAAGGTAACTATTTTTCACTCAATTCGGTAGTAACAAACCCCGCTTGCAGATGATCTCGAAGCTTACCTGTATAACAAACCCCTGGATGGAATGTTTCTTCTTCTTTTTCTTCTTGTGGAACCAATCTGTATTTGTTTTTTGGCACAAGAAGATCTTACTTTTCTGACCCAGTTAGAAGTATCGGATAACTCTAAAGTCCGAATACATGTACCAGTACGGCTACTGCATGTAGCAACACCTGCTGAAGAGGAAAGAAGTCTTCCGTTTCTCCACTGACGAAACTGAAGGCAAGTCGGTTGGATTCCCATCCCGGTTGCTATCGCATTGAATCAAAACTATCATCACACTTGAACTCTGTTTCACCGACAGCGCATAAACTGCAGCCCCCTCCCTACCGGTAGCGAAATCGCGGCAGGCTTCCAACCGCTCACACAAGTCTTTTGCAACCCAATCAAGCAAACGAGGATGCCTCGAAAGCATAGCTGGACAACGATTTTCCCCGCCGTCACCGTCCTGCTCGCTTTGGCAACGACTCCATCGTCGGCCTTCTCCTTCAAGTCTTTGTTTGACGACTCCCCGGCTTCGCAGAGCACCTCCAAGGTCAGCGCGGAAGCAAGCTCTAATGTCGACGATAGCGACAGCGGGAGTGCAGACCTATCCAATGGGTCTGACATCAAGCCCCGCCAGCCCCTCCTGGATCCCGAGGACTGGTTTCTGACCGAAGAGGAAATCACGGCGTCGCGGGGCGACGTACCGAGGGCTGACATGGCGGTGTATACAACCGGCAACAAGGTCACAACCTACACGGTGTCGAACGAATACTTTAACGCAGTCTACGACGACCTGAGCAAGACCACGGAGGGCGACCGTGTCTTGCTGAATGCCTGGACGACAGCTCTCATCCCGTTCACAGCATCAGAAGAACATGGTCGTCTTGGGCAACAGTTCGGATAAAAAGTACCAACCCGTGGCGTACGTAGGCGGAATCGACCTCGCCAACGACCGATGGGATACCATTTACCACAACGACACAGCTATCCGCGATGCGGGCACATTACGTACCAACAGAAGGGTTGGGTGGACGGGCACATTCGTATCCACGGTCCCGCTGCGAAGGATGTTGCGAGTAACTTCGTGGCTCGATGGAACTCGAAATTCTTGCCGTGTCAGAACCTAAAAGAGCACTTGCTTGACTTCGACAATCCGCCGTACGAGGACATCCCGCAACTCGACTACATCAGCAGCAATACTACTGCCAATTTAGGCAACCAAAGCATCCAGATTACCCGAACCTTCAGCTGCGAGTACAAACACTACAAGGAGTTTGCCCCGAAAGGCGAAGTTTCGCTGTTCAAAGCGCACCTTAAAGCCATCAGGAACGCCAAGAACTTCATCTACATCGAAGATCAGTACTTCGTCTTCATGCCGGAGCTACTTGAGGCTCTGGTGGAGGTTATGCCGAGGATTCAGCGTGACGAAAGAAGAAACCAACGCGTTCACGAATGCCGGCTACATCAAGTACCTGTATCAAAACGTTGAGCCTATTCGGTCGAAGTACCCAAATAAGTTCAAGATGTACACAACCAAAGCCGAGCTGGATCTCTGCATCCACAGCAAAATCGTCATCATCGACGACGTGTATCTATCCATCGGCTCTGCGAACTGGAATCGTCGTAGTATACAGAGTTGAACTCGGATGTCGTGGACGGTGACACAGTGCAGTCGCATGAAGGAGTGACGGTGGGAAAGTTGCCTCGAGACTTCGCATCCGCAAGTTTGTGGAGATGACGGGGCTGAGCTACAAAGAGCTAGACGCCATGACCTTCGTGGAAGCGGCGGACCAGTTCGCCGTCGCTGCAACGCAGGACTCGACGATCTTGGCGAAAAATATCGTCGAGCACCACGATTACTTTTTCGCCATCACGAATTCGATGCGGAAGGTATCCGATCCACAGGACACTTGCAGCTTTGACAGTAACAAAGCAGTGTAGACGATTATTCGTGGAGTGTAAGTTAAAGTGTGCAGCAGAAAAATATATAGATCGAAGTATTCCGTCGTTGTTACTTAATGAAAGAACAGGTATCTTGTGGGTCCACTTTTTGGCGGATGAGGTCTATGAAGGTGGCGTAGTAAAAGTGGTAGCTAAGTGTCAAATGCTGCAGTATAGTCGATGCATCCGACGCAGCAGCTTCGAACGCATTAAAAGCCTTCGAGAGTGTCATGGCATCGAGTTCATCGTAGCTACGCCCTGTCATCTCCTGGAACTTCCGGATACGAAAGTCACGAGCAATTCTGTTCACAGTGACGCCATCAGGAGATTCAACCGTGTCGGCGTCCACGATGTTGGCGTTGATCTCCGAATCGGACGTCATTCCCCGGCGATTCCAGTTGGCTGACCCAACCGATAGATAGACGTCGTCGATGATCACGATCTTGCTGTGGATGTAGAGGTTCAACTTCTTCTTGGGTATGTAAATGGTGAACTTGTTTGGGTTGGCCTTCAGTAGAGGAGAAACCATGTCGTACAGATACCTCCCGTAGCCCGTCACTTGGTACTCGAGCTCCAACTCGTTTACGACGACAATGAGGCGCTGGATCTTCGGCAAGACCTCCAGCAATGCATCTCTCAGTTCAGGCACGAGGACAAAATACTGGTCTTCAATGTAAATGTAGTTTTTCGCGTTCTTGATGGCCTTCAGACGCGCCTTGAACAGCGAGTTCTCTCCTTTCGGCGCGAACTCCTTGTAGTGTTCATACTTACAGCTGAAAGTCCGCACGATCTGGATGCTCTGCTTCCCGATATTCGATGTAGTATTGCTACTGACGTAGTCCAGAGGCGGTAGACTCTTGTATGTCGGGTTCGTGAAGTCTAGTAAATCATCATCCAGACCCTGACAAGGCAGGTAGGCTGAGTTCCATCGAGCTAAGAAGTTGTTGGCCACATCCTTCGCCGCCGGTCCATGGACCCTCACATGGGCATCCAGCCAGCCCTTGCGCTCGATCGTGATGCCTGCAGCATCGCGTATGGCCGAGTTGTTGTGATAAATGGTATCCCACCGGTCTTTAGTGAAGTCAAGTCCCCCTACGTACGCCACGGGCTGGTCTTTCTTGTCGGACGAGCTGTTGGCTGCGAAGATGAGCGTCTTCTGGTGGTGGGACGACGTCATGGTTCGCACTCGATCGTCGAAAATGTACAACGCCTCGGCGCCATTGACTGTAGACGCTGGGATCCTGTTGATGTCGTCTCGAGCTTCGATGTTGATCCTCCGATGTAAGATGTTGGACCACCCCATGATGTGGAAACTCGCACCTCGCCCCACGACGCCCGCCACCATCTCGTGAACGCCCGTGGTCTTGCCCGTAGGGTCAATGTCCGGCTTAAGCGGAACCAAGCTCACTCCCCACGCCGACAGCAAGACGCGGTCGCCCTCCTTCGTTGCGAGGAAATCGTCGTACGTTGCATCGAAGAACTCGTTGGCCACCGTAAGCGACGTCACCTTGTTGCCGGTTGTGTAGACGGCCAAGCCATCTCTCGGTACGCCGCCGCGTGAGTCCGTGATCTCCTCTTCCGTGAGAAACCAGTCGGTTGGTTTAAGTAGAGGTTGGCGAACTGGTACATTGGGCCTATCGACTGCCGAGTCGTTCCGGGAGGTGGTGGGCTTGGGTGTTGAAGAACTCGACGAGTCCTCGTCGTCGTTACCGAAGAGAGACGAGAAGGAGAAGGCCGACGAAGGCGCTACCAAGGTGGAGGCCACCAGCAGCGCCAACCAGCGGCTACCGAGCCGCATCGGAGCGCGCACCTGGACGAACGGAGCGATTCAATTTTGGGCCGCGACGAGGGACTGCAGCGATGCCAGCGGATTACAGTACATGTACTGTACTTCCCTGAAATATACGGGCGTTCTCGTTGGCTTGTTGCAAGCATTGCTGATAAAAAATGGGATTGGAAATGCCCATCGGATGGGCATTCCATCCATAGTAATGGGAGCTGGTCTGGCAGACCAGCTCCCGATACTTTTTGCAAGTTGGAAACCCCAGGTGTTTGACAGCACCCGATACCTCGAACACGGACGCTTCTTGATGGGCGAGCACGCGCGCCTTATTTCGTTAGCACTGTGGACTCACCTGCTTGTAGTAAGTTCTTACTGTTTTACTGTGAGCGCGGTCTCTTCCCATTCTTGCGAGTGAAAATGCAATCGTGCCTCCACAGGCCTGAAACTACGTTGATTCGTTTGTTGGAGCAAAAGTATGCACACCCTTCCGAGGAGATTTTTCTCAAGTGCACCGCCAGTGGCGGTCCGCCACACCCCGGCCGCATCAGACTATGATCTAAGGTGCCGCACAACTCGGCACGTCCTAATCCGTGGGTTTAGTGCTGCGGAGATGCTGATGAGCTACAGACCAGACCTCTAGAGAACGTGAATGAAAGCTAACACACCGCAAGTGGGCCATTCATCCAATGCTATCCATACTTGCGTAGAATATTCATAGGTCTGGATAGGGTCTTACTGACACGGAGTCTTACCAGACCCACAAAAGACCCGTTTAATGATCTTCCTTTGACAATCAATCGGAGGAGCACGTATCCTGGGGGTCTGCTACTTTTCGAACGGCGTCAGTAATAGCGACATAGTAAACGTGATACGGAACCTCTAAATGCTGCAAAATGCTCCGTTTGCCCGAGGCTGAAGCGGCCGCCTCAAATTGATCCGCAGCTTCGATGATCGTCATCCTGTTCAACTCATCGTAGCTGAGTCCCGTCATTTCCTGGAACTTACGAACTCGAAAGTCGCGCGCCAGCTTCTTGACCGTAACCCCATCAGGCGACTCGACCGTGTCACCGTCAATGACATTCGCGGCGATCTCCGAGTCGGACGTCATACTGCGACGATTCCAATTCGCCGACCCGACTGAGAGGAACACGTCGTCGACAATCAGGAGCTTGCTATGAACAAAGATATCCCGATCCGTCTTGATCGTGTAGAGGTTGAACTTGTTGGGAAAAGCCTTCAAAAGCGGCGTGACCATCTCGTAGCTGTACTTGATGTAGCCTCCAGTGCCGAAGACGTCCTTCTCCTTCTGCGGATTGGTGACAACGATCAACCGCTGGATAGTCGGCAGGACTTCTAAGAGCGCGTCAAGTAACTCCGGGACGAGGATAAAGTACTGGTCCTCAATGTAAATGAAGTTCTTGGCGTTCTTGATAGCTTTGAGGCGTGCCTTGAAGATCGAGTTCTCGCCGTGGGGAGCAAACTCGTAGTGCTTGTAGTCGCAGCTGTAGGTCCGCACGATCTGGACGCTGTACTTACCGAGATTTCCGGAAGTTTTGCTGCTGGCATAGTCGAGTTGCGGGATGTGTTCGTAAGACGGGTTTTCGTAGCCAAGCAGGTCGTCACTATGGCCTTGACACGGCAAATAGTCCGAGTTCCAGCGAGCCAGGAAGTTACTCGCCACGTCCTTCGCCGCAGGTCCGTGGATACGAAGATGGCTGTCGTCCCAGCCTTTGTGGCCGCTTGATACGTTGGCTGCATCGCGAACTGCCGACTCGTTGTGATGCATAGTGTCCCATCGACCAGTAGTGAAGTCCAGTCCACCCACATACGCCACGGGTTGATCATCTTTATCCGACGAACTGTTTGCGGCGATCACCAGCGTCTTCTGGTGGTGGGAAGATAAAGCTTTGGGCAGACGATCGTCCAGGATCATCACCGCTTTGGCTCCATTGACTGGGGACACTGGAAGCTCATTGATCGTCTTGCGAACATCGATCATCCTGGCGCGGTGCTGGATGCTGGCCCAACCCAGAATGTTCACTTGTCCTCCTCGCTCCACTACACCAGCCACAACCTTGTCGAAGCGCGTCTTGGCTCCTGTCGGGTCGACGTCGGGCTTCAAAGGAATCAGCGCAGTAGTCCAAGCAGCCAGTAGGACGCGATCACCTTCCTTTGCGGAGCTCAGTTCGTCGTAAGCTGAGTTGAAAAACTCATTTGACGCAGTGAACGACGTCACAGCGTTCCCTGTCGTGTACGGTGCCATATCTTTCCGAGGCGAACCTCCACGCGAGTCCGTGATCTCCTGCTCCGTGAGGAACCAGTCAGTTGCGTCGAGAAGAGGCTGTCGAGCGCGCGTGTTCGGTTCGTCGTCCTTAGTTGAGTTACTTGATGTGGAGACATCGTCGCCACCAAAGAGAGATGAGAACGAGAAGGCGGACGCACGTGCCGGAGCTGAGGCTAGCGCTGTCATGAAGGCCAGGACGAGCACTAGCGTCATATTTCTGCTGCTGTCTCTCATCGCGCTGAATGCCGAGTGCGAGGTCTCCGATGATTGCGGTGGTGAAGGAGCCCGTATTCGTTACGTAAGTATTCCAGCTGTGCTCCGCATGAAAAGCGATCGGGATGTGCTCTTCCTTCCGAGAGTTCCGTTGCTCCTTGTTCTTAGGCTCTGAAGTTTATTCGATACGAGCTTCTTGATTAAGAAGGTTTCTGGTATCGTAACGACACGTGAATAGCGCTGCACTAATAAGATGTTAGTAAGCGGGGTGCAAGTCACGTGTGCTCACGTTATTTGAGTACAAGAAGCAGTTCGCGTTTATTTGTGAGCGCATTGCTGCTCTATCTCAGTGCTCTCGCGACCAAAACGCCACGTCTTTTTGGGCCTTGGCGAGCACTTGAGCGGTGCACGCAAGCGGCGTGCTGACAGTCATCTCGTAAACACAGGTGGACGGTTCGTCTAAGCTCAAAATCTCGTTGTCCTCGCCACAGTCGAGGTGCACCAAGACAGACCTGTACATGCACAGCAAAATTAGCTTTCCCATTGCTGTATACAGGACGATCGATGGCAATGCTTACCTCTCTGGGCCCTTCCAGCATCTCTGGCCCTTAGCGAATCGCATCTTCGTATAACCCGCCTTGCCATTCTCACCGTTCGAGGACGAGTCATTGGCCTCATCGACCGCCCAACCGTCCCACTTGCCAAGTTTCGTGCGATCCTGCTTGACTTCGTCAAACGGACAGAACTTGTACTCGTACTTCTGCTCGGCACACCAGACATTGAGTGAGAAAATATTACGCAGATAAAATGTCACGACCGGCATCACAAACCTCAATTCGCTTCTCGATGCACTTGTCCTTCAGCGCAAAGTACGCACGATCCGGGCCATAATCCATTTTTGCTGTCTCTCGCTTCTCGTTTCGCTCTTTCTCCAGAGTGGAGATGTCGCTCTCAATTTCACGAAGCACCTTCCGAAGCGACTCAGCAACGGGCAACTTCACTACTTCATCCAGTTTCGGGCTTTACATGGACAACATCAATCGTCAGCGAGGGGTTAGCTTATCGCGGAAACTGAAGGACTTACAATAAATACTGGTAGGCGTAGATCGGTGCATCCCAAATGATCCGAGCTCCCCACATCACCGAGCTATAGCCGTCATAAACACTACCACCACCAAGTTGACGGAACCAAACCGAACGTGACGGAGATGGAAAGTCTGGCAATTTGGCAATCGCTGAGCCCGCGATCTCTTTGGTTGAAAGCACGTCCCATAAAGTCCTTGGCGAGAAGAGCACAATTTCTACCAGAGCACGGAATGGAGAGCTAATGATGCCTGCCGAACAAGTGCACATACGATATGGTTAGCACAGTCGGCCTCGCCCTCAGAACCGCGGAAACAGTTTCTAACAGTACCAATGGTGCGCAGAGCATACAGTCCGATTTTCTTCCGACCTTCCGCCCCTCCATTGAACAGAGGTCCCAGAAAATCTTCTCGTCGCATTTGCTCCACCGTACGAGGAGCTCTTCTACAGTAGAAACACAAGCACACCCGCTAGTAAGATCATGGTACCCCGACAACAATCCAAATGACCAAGCGCGCACAACTTCTTGGTAGGGGCTTGCTTGTTGTGGTTCATGCGCAGATAATCTGCCAGCGGGATCTTCGTGCCGTCCGGCAGCTCCACAAGGCTCTTGACAGCCTGCCTTCTCGAATCCAAAACCTCCGACGCTTTGACATCCTCCGCCGAATTCACTGGGACATCGTCCTCCGCTACTCGAATCGCATCGAGGCCTTCAAACTCCAGCGCCTCCACCGCTTCTTTCTCTGTCGCGTGTGAGAACTGCTGCTTACTCGTCTCCTGTCCCTGATCACCAGCAGGATCATGTCCCTCCGCCTGCTTCTGTCTCGCCAGCTCCATCCGATACTTCCTCTCCTTCAGCTCCTCCCGATCCTTGTGCACCGTCACTCTCTCCTTCAACAGCTTCAGCCCCGCGAGTGCTTTCTCCGTGGTCGTCTCGAACTCCTTCTCCCCTTCAAAGAAGCTCGCAACTTCCCCTCTGATGGCCGCCTGGCGCTTCTCGAAGCCCTTCTTCACCACCTCGAGACGCTGCTCCGCCTCCTTCCGGAACTTCTCAGCAGCGGCGGCACACGTATCCGGACAAACTCCAACGTCTTCATCCGATCCGTCACAGCAGTCACAAATGCCGTCATGAATCCGCGACGTATGGATCTAAAAGTCCACAACAACAACATATTTAGTTAGTAATATTCCTAAAACTACCTCATTTTACTAATAAATCTCAACATAATTCTCACTTTTCCGGGGAAGAAGCCGCCGTTCTCGCAGTGGAAGGCACTGGTCAACAGGTGCGAGCACGCGGCGGTGCCTGGCTCGTCCTGGCCGTCGTCGCAGTCGCAGAACTCGTCGTTCAGTCGACTTGGTGGCAGGCTGGAGGCTTTGCCGCCCACGACGCACGAAAACTCGCTGGCCAGGTACTTGGCCTGCTCGGCGGGGGCCACGCCGCGGATCTGCACGGCCGAGGAGGCCCTCGCCGAGGCGAGCGAGCTCAGCAGCAGCAGCGGCAGGAAGCGCGTCATGACGACCGCGTCACAAGTTAAAAAGTGAGGTCGGATTGGCTGATAATGAGAGGGGTTATATTTTGGACCAATTAGAGAAGGTTGTCATGTTGAAGACGGTGGAGGACGCTTTTTTCAGTCCTCCTCGTACTCGTAGTCGTCCTCGCCTGCGTATCGACGCCGCTCTTCCTCCTCTTCGCGTCTGCGGGCCGAAATGGCGTTCGGTTGCGTGCACAACGTCGCGCCCACGGCCTTGAACTTGGACATCTTGAACAGCTCCCGCTCCGCCACCTTCGGGTGGTTGCGGACGTCCTTGCCCAGAGAGCACTGCGTCTCTCGAGGCTGCGGTAGTTTCTGTAGAGAAATACAATACATTGGGGGAAACAGTTTAGTTAGGGTACGCATCAAAGCATTTCTGGTGAGTTGAGATGAGGACGCACCCCTTTGGTCTTCATGGTGCTCAGGTCCGGATAGTCGGCGTTGTCGTTGCTGAACGACGTGTGTCGAGCTTGTACCAGGCCCCAGATGTCCTCGGAAACCCTGTGAGCGCAGTACAGTTGTGTGAGTTGATGACGATCTCAATGGTTGAGGTCGGCTCTACTTACTTGGACTTGATGCCGTAAGTCATGTCGTTCGTGGGGACGAAGCCGCCTTTGCACTTCGCGGCGGGCTTCACCACGATGTCCGGGTGCTCGTTCGCAAATTTGCGCGCCTCACCTGCGCTCAGATACCTGCATCATATAGATCACCACCCTTTGAGTCTTAAGTATCGTTCCAGTTTATAGGGAACCCGTCGTACGAACCCGTTCATGATGGCCTGGCGGTTGGTCTCGATGAAACTGCGTCCGGACTTGGCTGCGGGGGACGGCACCGCCTGCACCCACTTGCTGATGACCTGGCCGGCGTTCTCCGGGTCGCGTTGGATCTCGTAGCCGTAGACATGGTTGGGGTTCTTCGTGTCGGGCAAGTCGTACGTAGTGCGCCGCACAGTGCCCACCGTGCTCTTGATCATGGTCCGGCGGAGGCTCTGCGGGTGGTACTCCTTCGCCATCGTGGACGCAGCTCTTCCTACTTTACTCACACCCTACACCCTACTGGTTTTCCTAAATGGCCTGGAAGACTCGACCAAGAAACAACGACGTTGTCATGGCTCGTGGGGCTAAATGCAGCGTGCTGCCTCCAGCAAGAATAGCTCTCGGTCAACTCCACCTAATGTAGCCATACAGTATGACCTTCGATGTAGCCATCAACGCCAAAATCGATTTTCATGTGACCCACACCATATACAATTGCATCCGCTCCAGTCGTTCTGGTGCAGTCAATTGCCGACTGGCTGGTAAAGAGCTCCGACGTCTTGCGCAGTCCGTCCGCCGTCACTCGCGCCTCCCGTAGCCTACAGGAACCTGCCACCCGCTACCTCACCATGAACAAGAAGATCGCGGCGCAGCTGGAGAAGCTGCAGGGCGACGAGTGGGACTCGGACAGCGACAGCGAGGCTCCGGCCGCTGCCTCCACCTCCTTCGACGCCAGCAATGACCTCGTGAAGCTCCCGACGGCCGAGGAGGCCATCGCCAGCGCCAAGGCCGCCCAGCAGGCCGGCGGCAAGAAGCGCAAGAGCAAGATGCAGCGCAAGAAGGAGGCCGCCGCCCTGGCGCAGCAGCAGAAGGCCGTGAAGGCCAAGAGCCAGCCGTCCAACGTTATTTATCTCGGCCGCATCCCGCACGGCTTCTACGAGAAGCAGATGATGGGCTTCTTCAAGCAGTTCGGCGTCGTGCGCCGCGTGCGGCTCTCGCGCAACAAGCGCACGGGCAACTCGAAGCACTACGCCTTCATCCAGTTCGACGAGCCCGAGGTGGCGCAGATCGTGGCCAACACCATGAACCAGTACCGACTCTTCGACCACACGCTCTCGTGCCACGTCGTGCCCTCGCACGCCGTCCACGAGCGCATGTTCGTGGGCGCCAACAAGGAGTTCAAGCCGCTGCCCCGACAGGCAATCAACCGCAACCGCCACAACGCCGAGAAGACGTACGAGCAGACTGTGGTTAACAACAAGCGCCTGGTCGCCAAGGAGCGGCAGAAGCGCAAGGTGCTCAAGGCGCTGGGCATCGACTACGACTTCCCCGGCTACGAGGCGCAGATGCCGGCCAAGAAGCAGCACATTGCCTTCACATAGAGGAGGCTTTCAGGCTTCGACTTGACTTTGCACACGGAATGCACTCACTCGGCCGGCCAGCCAGCGACGACAACCCGTCCGCCTCCTGGTGTGCGTTTGTGCATGCCAACTTTTGAACTTTCATTGCTTTGCCTTTTCTAGCTACGGTTAATAGATTGTACTTCCTGTGGAAATAGGTGGTGGTACGGGAGCCCTGTCATGTGTTGTACTTTACTTCAGAAGTAGAGCTTACTCTGACTGAAATAACACCTCAATAGTAGCCCCTCGTTGTCACTATCAAGAAGTTTGTATGGAAATAACCCGAACCCTATAATATGATTTTCGGCCGCCTTGAGACGTTGTTTCGGTCCGAGGAAGTCGAATCTCTGTATTAGGACTTTGTATGAGCTCGTCATCGGAAGCAACTTCTTTTTGCTGAAACAACATTTGGCAGTTATTCTGTGTTAATTGGCCAATGATCGACCACCTTGGGTAAAAAAAGGTAGTCGACAAATTTTCTGGAGAATTTAAGATTTGATTTTTTTCTGAGGACTATGGTGAATTTTGAAGTGGGATCATACCAAAAGGTACGAGTTCATACCAGAATCTACGAGTTAATACCGAACAGTACGAGTTCATACTAAAACATACGACTTCATACCAAAAGGTACGATGTGTGTGTACAATAAAGTACGACCTGGTCGGCTTCTCGCCACGTGTTCACTTTCAAATCGGCGCGATGGAAGCACACTTTGCGGTGCTTGGCCATGTTCGACTTCGCCACGAGCTTAGGGCACGTAGGGCACTTGCCCTTCGGTGGACCGTCACCGCCCTCCATTTCCGACCAATTTCTACGACTGAGAGCCGGAACTCCCATTCAGGATTCCTCGATGCTTAGTGGTCAATATTATTTTTGGCTGATCTCGCATATGATTGGCTGAAATAAAATGTTATTTGGCGTTATTTCAGGGAAAGAAGTATTGCTCAACTGTTGCTGGGTTGTGCCGGGGTACCTATGCCGTGTTAGGCGTGTTAGGCGTACGGTCTCACCTTCAGCGGACGTCTACGCGATTGCGGCGTGGACGCAAAGCTGTGCAGATCTTCTTCTAATGCAAGCAGGAGCTGATCTTCTACCTGTACCTCACGCAAGAAGCAGCGAACCTTTCAGGTTAATTAACACGCATACAGTAGCCTGGTGATGGCGTGGCGTTCCGCAGCTTGTGCAACCGTATCCATAGGTTTGGCACATCTCGGTTGTTCATCCTAAGACAAGTTTCGCCGGTCCCCATATGCTGCTTGCCCGCACCTGCAGCCCCACGTCACAAGTTGTGTGGGCAACAATCACAACCCAATTGGAGCCCAAGAGGAGCGAGCAGACCATGGCGGGTGCAGGAACTCAAAGAACTCAAGCTCCAAGCTTGGCGAGAGACATTCAGCTGGACGTTGTCGAGCTTTCGGATCACCCTGGTACTCCGTCAGCCACGCCTCGGGAAGACGACCAGATCCTCGTCAAGCAAGCCACTGACGCCTCGGTCGATAAGGCCAAGCCTGCTCCAGCTCCTCAAACCAAGGTTCTGTTCCTCGATGGCGCGCGTGGTCTCGCCGCCATGCTGGTCGTGGTGCAACACTCGCAAGAGTTCGTGCCGAACCTTCACCTCGGATCGGTTGGCGTCGACGTCTTCTTCGTCCTGTCGTCCTTCCTGCTCACGTGGCTCTTCATGAAGAAGAGCAAGAAGCTGCTGGCCCAAGGCGCAAACCTCCGCACGTGGGCGTTCGTGCTGGCCGACTACTTCCAGAAGCGCTTCTTCCGCGTGTACCCGCTGTTCTTCGTGACGGTGATCGTGCTCTCCCTCATGTCGAAGGAAGACCAGAAGCACTACTTCATCGGCGGCCGACCCGATTTCGACATGTACAAGACACTCACGTTCAGCTACGAGTACCGGTACCATGTCTTCTGGACGCTGCCGCTCGAGATCTCGTACTACTTCGTGATCCCGGTATTTGTCTTGGGCGTGCTGGGACTGCGTCGCTTCTGGTTGGTACCCGCCGTTCCGTTGATGGCGTGGATCGTGTACGAAGGCATGACTGTGTACCGACAGAGCCACATGCCCATGCGACCGCATATCGGGACGTTCCTCACGGGCTCCCTTGCCGCCGTGGTTTTCGTGAAATTGGATTTGTGGATCAAGGAGACCAAGTTCACCTTCCGCCTGTGGCACACGGTGCTACTCCGAGCAGTCGAGTGGCTGTCGATCAGCATGCTGTTGAGCGTGATCTTCCACGGCCTGCTCTTCACCTGGGTGCATCCGAACCCTGCGCTGCCGCCCGACGGCTTCCCGTACACGAGCGCGTTCCTGGCGATCATCTTCGTGATCGAGATGATCCGTCCGTCGTGGCTGTCGACGTCGCTGGAGTGGAACGTGCTGCGCTTCTGGGGCAAGATCAGCTTCTCCGTCTACCTCATGCACACTTTCATCATCGAGAACCCGAAAATCTCGGCCCAGGGCAACTACTTCGACCGGTTCTTCTCTAGGTTGATCCTCGTCGTGGGGCTCTCGACAGCGACCTACTACCTGATCGAGTACCCGTCGCAGTTGCTGGCTCAGCGAGTCTCGCGCATTCTGGCGGAGAAGGAGAAGCAAGGACCTGACGGAGCTCACAAGTTCTCAAGTGTCAACCGTAGTCAACAGTAGAATGTATATGACATAAACTCTTGTTGAAGTGATGTTCTACCTATCGAATGTCATATTCCGCCGTCACATCGCCTTGGCGTTTGCTGCCTTTCCGCTTTAACTGTTGTTTGCGATCATCCTCCTACTTCATACCGTAAATTTCAGTGAGACTAATTGATTTTTACGGTAAGTAATTAGTCGTAGGTTGAACCTGGTAATCAGACTCCCTCGAACCAGGGCCATGGAAGGCGAGCGCCTGCCGCTGCTGCCGCGCGCGTCGACCGTGGAGGAGGCGCGGCTGCGCAACCTGGGCAAGCGCGTGAAGCTGCACTCCAAGCGTCTGCGGCAGGTCTGGCCGCGCATCGCCGGCTTCCTGGCGCTGCGGGACGTCGTGTCGCTGGGCTCCTCCTGCCGCCGACTGCAGCGGCTGCTGGACAATGATCGAGTGTGGTACGAGCGCCCACCAAGCTCGTATAATTAGTAAAAAGGTGTTGGGAACTATGGAGCTGACTTGTGGTTGCGATGCAACAGGCAGGGTCACTATGATCGAGTGGCGAGTCAGCATGTGACGAGGCTGCTGCTGCCGCATTTGGAGACGCGATTTGACAGTGAACTCTCGACTAAAGAGAAGCTCCGACGAGTGGTGAGAGCTGGTGACTGGAGAGAGGAGCAGAAGTATCCTGGGACTAAGGTAATGTGTGGCCATGTGCAGATCCATGCTCGACATGTCCATGATCCGACCAATGCTCTGCAGAACCGACTGCGGGAGGCGGAGCGCGAGGTGTATCGGCTAGAACTGCGGCAGGTGAGCTGGCTGGCTGAGATGCGTTATGCTGTGGATGGTGTGGTGTTGCTGACGATGATTTGATGTGGCTTGTAGCACAAGGTGCGCAGTGTGGTGTGGATGAATGTGCCGCTGGTGCTGGCGTTGTGCTGCTTGAGCGCGTGGAGCTATACCACTGCAACTGATGAGGATGACTACTCAACTGGTACCGCTTCGGCTCAGCTTCGTGGGGCAGGAGATGGCATCTCTCAGTCCGTGCAAGGCAATCCTGTGAAGAAGGTAGACAACAAGGCGGCTACAACTGACGCGGTGTTCGTCGTTGCCATGGCTGTGGTTTCTAACTTCCGTTGGTGCAGTTTGTGCTTGTGACAGATTTACTGCTGTTGGTCGCTGTGATGATCTTGAGTGTGGGGGACTTGGCAGGCAAAGCACTGTACACGGTGGGAGTGCTTGCCGCCATTGAGGCGGCCGTGATGCTGGCAGAGTTCGTCGCCTGGTCATCGCCTTTGCAAGTCTCCCATTCTGTCCTGGTGCTCGCGATTCTTGTGTTCAATGCTGTGCTGATCACCAAGGAGAAGAAGGAATACCTCCGCGAGATGGCGGCGTTCTTGCCATCCTATTGAGTTTTTGCTGGAGAAGAGAGCTCAGCTGAATGAATGAAATGAACGGCAATGGTGTATTTCATGATAATTGCCACACAAAAATCAAATACCAACTCTATTCCCTGTTCCAATACTTGCGGACTACGAGTCGTAGTGCTCAAAACAACATCCCGGCAGCCCCACAATCCCACTTGACACGACAGGCAATTGCGACCTACTCATCGGTTTGAACGTAGCATTCCGTGCTGCATCCGCTTCATCGTATAGCACCCCTGAGCGCAATAAATTTCTTGCCGTGGTCCGGAACAGCGTCTCCCTCAAATCTCTCTCCTCGGGTCTTTCTAGCGGCCCCTTGGGGCGGTTCGCAGGGTCCTGTCGAGACTGCAGCCACTTGGCGTTAAGCTGTTTCCGCACTTTCCTCTCACTATGGCGTTTCAGCGCGCTCGCACCCCTTCCATTCGCTAGTTCTCCACCATACTCTGTATCCTCACCGCTCCATCTGCTCTCACTCGCGGCACGACGAGCAGCTTGCAGCAGCTCGCGACGTCTGGCACTCGCCTCCGTCGCGGCCTTAGTGCGCTCCTCTTCACCCAGCGGCTGCAGCTCCGGCGTCATCTCCATCTCCTCACCTTGCTGCTGCAATTGCAGTTCAATAGCTCGACTGGCGTGCTGTGTCTCGACTGCAAAGGGGTGGTCCATCTCTTCCTCTGGTTCGGGGCTCTCCCGCTCTGCGAACGCTGTAATGCGCGAACGGTTTAGGAACGCCGTGTTCAGTCGCTTGCCCGTGGCAATCGGGTGACGTCTGTAGGTCCTCTCGCTGCTTCGGATGGCCATACCGCCGCCTTCTCGCTGTATCTTGACGTTGCGCGCCCTCTCATCACTCAATGCCACCAGCGGATGGGTGTGCGGGACTGGAGGCGGCTGCGGCGTCAAACCTTCGTCCCCCGCGTCGCTGAAATTGCATTGGGGCCTTCGCCGTTGACTGGAGCGCGTGGTGTATGAGTCCGGGTGAGCTCGGGGCGCTGGCGGCGGCGGCATGGGCTCCAGCTTCTCCTCACTCACCTCTTCATCGAGCCACCGTGTCATGCTAGGTATTTGTAAAGTGTAAAAATGAGGGTAGGAAACTTTGTGCAAAAGTTCAGAAAACTGCGGACGTGAAAATAAGGCGAAGCGCTAAAGTTGAAGGGAATGCAAATATGAAATTGATAGTATGTCGTTGTCGTCGGGAGCTTTGCGCGCTCTAGTTGTTCTTCCTAGCGTCCGTCGCGGAACTCTACACTATTAGGCTGCGGACTCAGTTGTCGGCAGCGAAACGATGGCCTGGCCACGAGAAGTTTACCGATCGTAGCGGGTGGCGTTGCCTCCAGGAGGGCCGTTCGCGTTGTTCTGGCGCTGTTGGTGCATGCTACGAAGGCCAGCCTTCAACGCCTCGAGGCCTCGCGGCGCAGGAGCAGAGGAGCTAATGTGATTGGAAGGGTACGCTTGCGCTGGGTCCAGATTGCCACCGAACGCTGACTGGATGGGGGCACCGCGGCTTCCTCCTCGGCCTCCGAATCCGCCTTGGTATCCGCGACCGCCAAATCCGCCCTGGTATCCACGGCCGCCATTGCCGCCTCCACCGTTGTAGCCACCGTTGACGCCACGGTAGTCGGAGCTTGGTCGGCCATATGAAGACTGGCCACCGTTGTATTGGTTGTACGATTCGCTGTACTGGCCGCGCTTATTCCGCGGCTCTTGAGAGCCCCAGTTGCCGTATCCGTTGGTCATGTACTGGTTGTATTGCTGCTGCTGCTGCTGAGGAGGTCCGCCATAGCGATCCACATTCAGGTTGTTGTTCACGAATCGCTGGTTTCCTTGCTGGCCACCGTATCCACGGCCACCACCGCCGCGGCCGCCGTATCCGCCACCACCACGACCACCGAATCCGCCGCGGCCTCCGCCACCGTTGTGGCGCGACATGTAGTTTTGACGCACATTGGTGTGGTTCGACGCGTCGCCGGCCAAATCCACGATGTTAATGTTGGCCTTGCCGAAGAACGGGATCGTGATCCGCTTGTCGTTTTCCGTGATCAGCACGGGGCTGGGAGACTGGGCACCGTCCAAGATTTTCGACAGGTGCGGCAGCGTAGGCGGCAAGCGGTACTGGAAGCTGTAGCACTGGTTGTTAGGAATGTCCACCAGGTGCCTCTGGGCCTTCTCAGGACTGGGCACGATTCCCCCGATAGGGAAGTAGAGGGCCTCAATGTAGATAAGCGTACCGTTGAACGACTGAGAGATGCGCGGGTCAGCCTGCGCCTCAGCGAGCTCCGTGGTTGGAGGGTTCTTGGTCACGGGGCACTTGGAGTGGAAGAAGACGACCTCCTTGCCGAAGCGAGCATTGCGCTTCCTCTCTGCTTCAGTCAACTTCTGGTTCGGCTCCTTCATGGCCTCCAGCAATCGAGGCTCATCGATGAACGGCAGCAGCACCACCCACAGCCACGGCATTGCCTTGCCATTCGGGTCCACTGGGATTTCCTTCGGGTAGAAATCAATGATCGGCGACTCCGGGTCGGACATCAACCACCGGTACGGCTTCGGAATAGCGTGAGCGCTTCCAGCAGGGAACACTCCCATCAGCTGCTCAAACGGGTGGAATGGAACTCCCTCTTCAAACTTGATCTCAAAGCGGTCGATGTTGCGCAAGTCCGAGGCAAAGGGGGCATAGTGGAAGGGGTAGAACCACTGCCACGACGCGCAGCCAGTGTAGTAGTAGCGCATCACCCAGCACAGTCCCTCAATGTAAGCGTGGAAAACGCGTTCACGTCCACCACCAACCTCGATATCATCAGCCTTCAGCTTGTCGCTGTAGTATCTGGTCTTCCATCCAGGCTCGCCTAACCGTACAACATCTTGAACCTCTTCCCGGTACTGTTCCAGCTTCTTCTCCACACTTTCCTTCACACGCGCCTTCACGGCCTCCTGAGCCGTCATACCGCCGTACTTCTTGTCCGCAGCAATGATATCCTTATCAATGCGGCGCTTCTTCAGGATCTCAACAGCCGAGTCCTTAGCGGCCGCAGCAGCGATCTGATCCTTCTTCTCATTCGACAAGCGCGACTTTCTTCTCCTCTCGTTCTCCGCCTGCTTCAGCGCACGTCGCTGGAAGATCACGTCCTCCACCTGACCCACCTCGGCTAGAATCACATCAACGCGCGAGAGGTTCACCTCACCTCCGTCTGTGATGTATCCGCCCATAGCCGGCAACAACTTGGCGTAGATCAAGATGAGGAAGTCCAGCGCTCCATCACGAATATCAAGCGACGGCAGGTGCGGCAGGAAATCGTTACCCACGAAGAAACAGAGGAACACGAAGTCGTCAATCACGCGCTCGAAGTCGTACTCGAATGGCAGCACGCGCGCCAGCGGCTCGAACTCCACTTGCAGGTACTCGCGCAGCGTCGCAATGTGCAGGTACTGCAGCGGCTTCAAGTCCGACGCGATCAGGTCCGCGTCGTGCTCGCCAAACTCTCCGCGTTTGCGCTTGCTGAGCGTCGTTCCGTTGGCATCCAACACCATCTGCTGCTCCTTCTGTCGCTCACGCTCGAACTTCTGCTTGCCGAAGAGCACTTCTTCTCGCAGGATGGAGAACTTGACCTCGTGCGTGGCGAGCCCCAGCATGATGAGATCGGCGTCCAGACCGTGCAGCACGTGGTGCTGGTTCGGGTCGTAGCCGGGCTGCGAGCGCTGCACGCGGATGTACTGCATGAGCTTGTGCTCGCCCTCGCCGGGCACGCCGGCATCCGAGAGGATGACCTTGATGCTCTTCCACGCGGCGTTGTTGTTGATCCGGTCGCGGATGTAGAAGCGCAGGTGCTTGGCCAGCTTGGCCATGAACTTGGTGCCGGGCGTGATGACGTTCGAGTCCCAGGGCTTCTCCTGCTTGCTGGGCACCTTGTGGCCCAGCGCGCTCATGTACTCGAGCGCCTCCTTCTCCACCTCCATGCGCTGCTCGGCCTCCTGTGCCGCGCGGAAGCGACGCGCGCGCTGCTGGTTCATCTTGGCGCGCGGGGCGACGCCGTCGATGGCCAGGTACAGCACGCGGCGCGGGCGCACGGCGGCCACGAGGCGGTCCACGTAGGCCATGACGCGGCGGTACATCTCCTCCTCCGTCTTGGGCGCCTCGCCGTTCTCCGGGTGCGCGCACGGGTGGATGAGGCCGTTCATGTCGACGTAGAGGTTGTCCACCTCGAAGCCGTTCGGGTTGGGGCCCGTCGTGTCCGTGAGCTCGAAGTGGCGCTCACCCTCGAGCACCACGGCGCGGCTCTCCACGCAGTCCACGACGCATTTCGGGTACTTCTCCTGCACCCAGCGGTAGAAGGCCGGCACGCCCATGGCTCTGGGCTTCCAGTATCTCTTGACCTTCGACTGAGCTTGTCTCGAGGGAGAAGATGGAACAAATCGATTGGTCAGGCGAAACAGTCTCGCATGTGGCGCACATAGATTAAGGTGTGGTACACTTTTAACCTGTTGTGGAGCATGCGGAGTGAGGCTGTGGAGGTGGTTGGTGTGCGCCACACTCATGGTGCAGCTCGAATCACATTTTGGGAGCAAGGTCTGGTGTTGTTGTTAGCCATCAGAGCATCGGGATGGCGAGCGAGGGTCAAGGCGCGGCGGCCAGCAGGCAGATCCAGGTGCTGCTGACGCTGCATGACGGCGAGCGCTCGTTCGGCATGTCGCTGGCGCAGAAGAGCCCGCCGCTCGGGCCCAAGTACACGGTCGTCTCCAGCGTCTTCGCCAACTCGCCCGCCGACCGCGCAGGCGTCCGCAAAGGTTTCCTTCGATCGATCCATCGATTCATGCAGTTGTGCGCGCTGCGGTGCATACGCTACTAGCAGTTGATGGCATTGTGCAGTTGATCAACTGACAGAGGTGTTGCAATTTGTGTCCAATGCGTTGGCAGGATACGTGGTGCGCTTCATCAACGACAGACCCATGAACGGGCTGACGGTCGCGCAGGTCGCCAACAACTTTCGCAATGCAGCGCAGGTGAGTCACTGCAGTTGGGGGTGCAAGTAAGCGTCACGGCTCTGATGTGGTTGGTGTTCAATGAATTGTTAGGCCAAGATCACGCTCGAGATTCTTGAGAACACGCCGTCGCCGCGGACGTCGGCGTTTACGGCTGCAGCAACGTTTGGAGGAGTGAAAGCTGCGATCCCTATTGCTTCATGTGCTGAAAGTGGGCAGCGACCAGTGGCACCGGTGACTGGATTTTCTGCAGCTTCGTCGGGGCGAGCGATCGCAGCCCCGGGGACTGCACTTGCAGTTCCGAGGGTCGCATCGCCCAAGCAGCCAGTGTTGAGGCTGGGTGCGGAGCCTGCGGCGAAGACATTGGCGGCATCGCAGCCACAACCTGCTTCTCCTCCTGTAAGCTCTGGAAGTGTAGGTGCTACGGTGATGCCAAAGGCCGACGCGAAAATAGTCAATGGTGCAGCCCATACAGGTTTGAAGAGCAAAGCGGTTGCTCCGGTACTTCGGCTGGGACTAAAACCAAAGTCGGTGCCTGAAGAAGCTGCTCCGAAGAAGGTTCCAGCGGTAACCAAGGTCGCCGAGCCCAAAGCGGCTGCAAAGAGTGTTCCGAACAGTGCCCCCGAAGCGAAACGAAATCTTGAAAGCAGCAGAATACCGCAAAGCCCCGTCCAGGCGATCGAGGCTCCTAGGACTGCCGCTAATAAAGAGACTCAAGGTGAGTTGGTCAGCAACCGGTGGCAAATTGAAGCATTACTGACTAATGGACCGACGGCGTGATAATGTTTTTTGTTTCTAGGACCAGTGGCTACTGCCCAGGCAAAAGCCTCACCGGCTCCGGTAGCAGCTGCACCAACAGCTAAGGCGACGCCAATCCCGGCACCGCCGGCTCCTCTCGCAGTGCCATCTACAGTTCCCGCTGAGGTGAAATCTGCTCATACGGTAGCAACTACGGGGAGCAACGTGTTGCGGTCAACCCCATCTTCATCTACCGCAGTGTCTACCGCAGCTTCTCAAAACGGAGCTACTTCGGTTGAGAGGGCTCCAGTAATGGCAGCTGCACAATCGTCAGTAGTATCTTCGTCCAAGCCAACAGCGGTACGTTCGAGCTCCTCTCCAGCGATAGTCACCTCGATAGTTGCAACGGTGCTACCTACCTCCTCGGCCCCAGCAGCAGCAGCAGCAGCACCGCCGAAAACTGTAGTAGCACCAGCGAGAAGTACAACCCCGACACCAACAGTAACTCTACCGAGCCAAACACCGGTGCCAGCTAGAAGCGCACCGGTAGCAACTGCGCCAAGACCCCAGCCTGAGCCAGCGAGGAGTACGATCCCAGCACCGGTAGTCATCCCACCGAACCCACCGGCCGTGCCACCTAGGAGCGGTCCCCTACCACCGCCGGTAGCGACTGCACCTAGGCCCCAACCTCAAACAACGAGAAATACGACCCCAGCTGCAGCGCGAAGTCCCGCAAACGCAGCTACAACTGCGCAGCCTGCATCAGCGGTGTCAACACCTACTGCCACCAAATCGAAAACGGGTAAGAAGCGCGGCAGGCCCCGAAAGAACGCAGCAGCGACAAATGGGACGACAAGCCACAAAGGAAAGGGGAAGGCAAAGGCAAAGAAGGCGACGAGGCAGCAGGAGGACGATGAGGCGGACGAGCTTCTGGAAGACGGTACGTCTAAGTCATTTGTAGTGTGCACAACTATGATCTGTGTTGACGTGTGAACACTTGTTGTGCTGATCTTGCAGAAGAAGAAGAGCTGGGTATGTATGCGCTTTCCTCCGACTCCGACACGGGGGAATCGCCATCTAAGAAGACTGCGCGTCGTGCAGGAAACGGTCGTCGTCGTGGGGTCACTAACCGCACTCGGCATAGCCTTACCGTTGACCGGCTCGTTGGGATGGGATTCACACAAGAAGATGCGGAAGCTAGTGTGAGAGAAATTGGGGACGACCCAGACGCATGCATGATTTGGATCATATCGAAGATTGAGGAGCGGCAGTTCACGAGGGACCTGAACGAAGCCTCCATCCAGTCCGAGCAAGCAAAGCGCGACGAAGAAAAGCGAGCCAAGAAGCTTAAGATGGAAACTCTTGTTCATGCCGAGAAGTTTATGTCGCTATTCCCTTCGGTGAGTGCTGTGCTTCCTGCTGCCTATTTCTTCACTATTTCAAGTTCTGACGTATTGCCTTGCCTCTTTTGTTGCAGTCTTACTTAGCGTGCCCCGAGTCTTCTGCATCGCACTTGAAAAGGTTCTTACACTCGACGATTGATCAAGTCGATGGAGAAACGTACATTCGTAAGATCGTGACCAAACTGCTTACGCTTGAGGCGAAGTCGATCCGGTGGTACAAGCACGCTGTCAGGTCGTATATGCTGGAGCTTGCCGGGCGGTTGGATGTTGCGTTGGGGACCCACGATGTAATGACGTGCTGCGCGCGCATTTCGTCAATGAATGCTGACCCGTCCGATGTATCGTGCAATTTCATCCGGAAGATACTGGAAGAAGAGAAGGCGCTGACCAAGGCATTGTTCGAGATGCCGACCAACCAGGGGGGTGTACCCCCGGTATTCCTCGAGTGTGACGAGACGACAAAGTTTGATCTTGACGACGACGGCTTTGAAGTGGTCGAACCAGACGACACGTAAATGAAGCGCAGCCGAGCAATATAACCAGCAATCGGGAGGGAGTTGGCCTATTTACCAAGTAAAGTTACAACTAATAGTGCGTCAAGTCAAGTACGGATTGGGGCGTCGCGTTTAATGTTAAAGGGCTGCTGCTCGGCAGTCCGTCTACTCTCACCCACGTTTGTGTTGTTTTCTGTTTACTCCGTCACGTAGATCCCCTCTCCAGCGAACCAGAGTGTGTCTTCGTTGCGGAAGGAGCTCGCGCTCACCTCCTGCTGGCCGTTGATGGGGCAGTGCGGGCAGTTGCTGTCGTCGAACCTCGACGTGGAGCTTGTGGACAGCAGGTGGTTGGTGGATCGGTGGCGGAAGCGCACGAGCTCTCCTCGTTTCCAGAGGCCGTCGTCTTCGCACTGTCCCTCGGCCGAGCACTGCTGGTTCTCCTGGCACTCGACGACCCACGTGTCGAGTCTGTCGCCCTCCCCAGCGACTCCAAAGGCGCTGACTTCCAAGTTCTGCGACGACAGCGGCGCCTTGAACATGTGCGAGTGCAAGTTGCGTCGCGTCTGCATGTGCTCCAGCCGGACCGTGGCACCGCATTCAATGGGCTTGCCCACTTCGCACGCGGCCTCGCCGTCTCCCTCCTTCACGAGCCAGTAGCTGTTGACGTCGTTGCGCGCCATGTGCGTCGTGACCGACTGCTGCTGGCTGCCGCTGCCGTACTGGATCTCATGGGAGTGCAGCCGATAGCGACTGGGCTCGTGCACCAGCTTGATGGAGCTGCCGCACGTCACGTGCTCGAAGCCCTGCGGGTCTGCAGCAACAAAGTACACAAGCGTCAGCTACAGCTATGATACAGTGAGTCCATTGCAGTGCGTCTCCTCACAGCTGAGGTCGGCGGACGAGTCCTGCGCGCAGGCCTCTTCGCACGTGAACTCGTGGTGCTCGCAGTCCACTTCGCGCACGCGGCGGCGGCCCTCGCACTCGCAGAAGCCCGAGAGCCCCGAGGCGATGCGCTTGGAACACGCGGCGTCGTTCTGCGGCTCGCGCTGGCCGTGCGGGTCGCAGCTGGAGGTGGCGCGCCACTTGACGCAGTAGGTGGCCGACTCGCCCTTGGCCAAGGGCAGCGCGCTGCTGAGCAGCGCAGGCAGCAGCAGCAGGCCGGCGGAGCGCATGACGTCGACGATGTAGGTTGTGCTGCTTGCGTGGAAGCGTATCCGGGGTTAAAGGCAGTCTATTTGAGGCTTAATTTTGTCCTATAGTTGCCTGATATGCAAGAAGCTGTGACTGGATAGATCCGGTCGGCTGTCTGGATGAGTTCGAGGGGCTGGGCTGATGCTTCCGGGCGGACCGCAAGAGGTACGCATGCAACGGTGTTGCTGCCGCCTCTGCTGTCATGCAGTCGAAGTCATGCGTCGTGTTCGTTGTGTTCTTCGCCAGAATACTTGCGGGGCGTAGCAATTGCAGTGAAGGATTGCCCCACTGCACACTGAAGAGCTGCCCGAGAAGTTGGCTGAGCTCGTCGGTGTCTGCCGCCTGGGTTGGTCTGTTTTGGTGACGGAGTATGTTCGCGTGGCCTTCGATGCGGACGTAGACTGTTTCTGGTGTTGCTGCTTGGAGGAGCTCCGCGATACCTTGGGTGAGAACTTGGTTGGCCATGTTCTGGCTGGAGTCGGTAGCTGGGAACCCCATGCTACCAGCTTTGCGGGTGTGCCACGTCCCGTTGGCGCGTTGGTGATACAGGATCCATCCGCCTCCTGGCGGTGTCTGCTGCTGCGAGCTAATCGCACAATGAAGACACCAGTGATCGAGAGGTGGCGTCCATGTGGAGGTGTCACTCGTCGTCATGATGCCGAGGCATGTCTCCAGGCACCATGCCTGAACGCGGGTCGCGCTCTTCTTCTTTCAAGCTGCTGTTATCGCCTGGACTTGGTAAATACCAGCAGACCACACGGCTGCTCGCGTTTCTTGTGGAGATGAGTGTTCGTTGTTGAAGACAGCGTCGTTACGCAAGCGCCACAGCAGCACAGGGGTCACGGTCGTCCATATCCGCCATAACGTTGCCATCGCTTCGTTGTGGTGGGGTGTCCATATCGCTGTGCACTGCTGGGTGTGGGCGAGTAGCTCGGGAGTCACTGCTGGTGGTTGTCGCTGGGCTATGGCAGGCTGGAGACTGGCGATGTCGTTCTGGGAACACTCGCGGCCGAGCCACTTGGATACCCAGTGCCGCCATGAAAGCTGGGCTTTTTCGCACTCCCAGATGATATAATCAATCGTTTCGCGGTGAGTCGAGCATGTTGCTTCGGGGCAGGCCCGGTGGGTGGGCCATCCTTCTCAGTAGAGGTTCAGCCCACCGAGAGTGATTCGGTACGTAGTCCAGTTTTGGTAATCCGTAAAGAGGCCATTGGTGTCCCACAACTGAGCTGGGCTCTGTGTCAGTGCTGCTTTCCCCATGATGATCGTTCTTCTCTTCGCTGCATTTTGTCCAGCATTGGTTGAAGCGCGTGCTGCAGAGTTTGTCGAATTAACCGTGACGTTGTTTGCGGACCGTCGTCGCAGCCGCTCTGCCAGGTGTAGCTGGTGGTACTGCCCACGGGTAGACGGTGGTTCCTGGCGCAGACTTTACGACGAGCGCTCTCATGCGTTCCCAAGCTCTGAGCTCGGCGAGATCGCCTGTGCTTTCAAGCGCAGGAGCTGCAGACGCTAAGTGCCACGTCCATCCGTCCTGGTTCCTTGTAAGTGTCAGCGCTTGGCGAGTGAGACCGTTGTTCGCGTACGTGGCCGTGATCGTGTTTGTTCCGCGGGTGATATTCCATACCAGTGGCGTTGCCAGCACAGGGAGTTCGAGTAGCCGTGGCTGTCTATCCTGGACGGTCCAGTAGTTCCACGGGATGCTGTGAGCGATGCTCAGACACCAGTCGAGCACGTGCTTGGACTTGGTGGTTGCCGTTCGCGCAGGTTGGATGAGGGCTTCCTTTCTAGGTGTGGTAACCGGTGGCAGCTGGATGATAATGTCTCGCGTACGTCCAATCTGGATGGTCGGGTAGTCGCGGGCCCGTAGCAACCTGCCTTTTGCGTCGAGGATACATGCGTTGTTGTCCCATGGTGCGTTAAGTAAGAAGTCCACGTCTACCGGTGGATTATCTTGCCGTGGCGCCGCGGATGTCGTCACGAGAATGGCTTTTGACTCTGGTCCGATCCAGCAACAATTGCTTACCTCGGGACCCGCGGATTGGGGTCCTGCAATGGTTTTCACGTCGTCAGGGGATGGTGTTAAGCTTCGAGAATGCGCTTCCCATAGTTCCAATTTTCCCAGGCCTTGGGCCGAGATCTGCGGTTGCCCGAAGTGTTCACGGAGCGCAACCGAAATCATGGCTGGCGATGTTGGCCTGAGCGCACAACAACATTTTGTGCGTTTTTGTTGGGGGTGCACGGCTGCGTGCCAGGCTGCTGTGTAGACGTCGTCCGGAGAATGGAGCCATTTGTCAGCGAGGTTACTCCTTGATACTGCAAGCGCATTTGCAATGTCTTGAAGTCCAAGCCCGCCGTGTTGCTGCGGAGTGTAGACTAGAGCAGGGTTAAGCTTGTGCTTGACTGGCTCAGTTCGTGTGGTGGCTGACCAAACGAAGCTTTTCTTGCAGCCGTGTCAATTCTTGGAGCGTGGCTTTGGAGTGGACATACTGCCGTCCAGTGTACAGGATCGCTGGGAGCGCTATTGCATTGAACAATGTCACCCTCTGGACGACGGAATTGCCCATGGTAGTTGCTATTCGAAGTCGGCGTTGAATGTTTTCAAGTCGGATTGCCCAATTGAGCTCCGTCGAGTCGTGGTTGCCGACCCAGTAGCCCAGGTGCCTAGACGTGGCGGTTGGTTCTTGTACAGGGAACCCTTGCCATCGCGACGGTGCCTTCGCTGTGTTGAGACCAATCAATACACTTTTTTGAGGCTGGACATGTAGTCCGGACAGCTCTCCGAACTTCTCGAGAATGGGTTTCACAATGTCGAGTTCCTTTAGAGATACCATGTACACAGTACTGTCATCCACGAACGCCGAGAACTTGTGTCGATGAGGAGTATCCCCTGGGATGGCGACCCCTGCTAGAGCTGGGTGTTGGTCGATGGCGTGGACCAGTACATCTACGGCCAGGATGAAAAGCAGTGGGGCCAGCGAGCAGCCCTGACGGATTCCGGAGTTCACAGGCCATGGTTTGGATATATTGCCGTTCACTAGGAACTGCGCGGTACTTCCTTCGTGTAGCGTCAGGATTACGTCCAAGAATTCAGGAGGAAACCCGTAGCTACGGAGGACAAGCTGGAGGAATTCTCGTGACAATGTGTCGTACGCCTTGCGGAGATCGAGGCATAACACTGCCGGTGATTCTTCCCACGGTTTCGTCGGGTCGTCAAAGCTGGTCGCCAGAATCGCTCGTAGGAGTGTGACTGTTTTGTCAATGTTGCGTCCCCGCACAAAGCCTTGCTGAGCCGAGCTGATGATTCTGGGTAAGATAGTGTGAAGTCGTTCAGCCAAGATGCGTCCCAGAACCTTGTACGCTGTATTTAGCAGTGCAATTGGTCGGTAGTCCATTGCATCAGCTGAGTCCCCTTTCTTTCGGAGCGGGATGATCGTAGCACGCAGGAACGAATCGGGCACCCCTGACCCCTTGAAGTTGGCATTGTAGAGTCTCGTCATACTCGGTGAGAGCTCGTCGGCAAAGTCTTTGAAGAAGTCGTGGTTTAGACCAGTAGTCCCCCCTGCTTTATGCCTTGGTAGCTGCTGTATGGCGGCTATCGTTTCAGCTTCCGTGATGGGAGCCAAAAGTGCTGCCACTTCGTCTCGCCGGAGCCGCTCTTCCACCGGAATCTGCACAAAGCGGGTGAACTCTTCCTCGAGGGAACTGGAGTCAACTGAAGCGTGGGATGCCCCAAACACGTGATTCCACTCCGAAGCCATTCGCTCTTCACTCGGCATGGCATCCGGGTAGAAGTGACCTGGAGAGGGATCAATTCTGGATATGTGCTGGTCTCGCTGCCATTCTGAGTTACGCTTAAACAGTTTTCGCGCTGTTTCCGGCGATTGCTGTATGCTATCACCGAAAGACCGAGCAGCACGGAGACGTGCTGTCGCATCGAGGTCTTTTTGATGCTCTGCTCGCGATGCCGTCGGTTTTCGCGATGCTGCTCGCAGGTTTTCGAAGTAACGTTGTGTCTGCTTTCGGTCTTGTCGACTTGTATCTCGAATAAGATTCTGGATATCTGCCACCAGCTTGTCCCATTGACCTACCGGGTTACCTCCGTTGTCGAATGCATCCAGTAACTGGTGAAGTCCCTGTCCAAGTGCTTCTCGGACACGCTCTGGTCTGCCGCTGACGATCGGGTACTGGATCGGGCGATGGCTCCTTTGGTGTCGAAGGTCTCCCAGTGAAAGTTCCAACCGGACTTCATGATGGTCCGAATTGTGGGCCGGGGGTAGTGCTTCCACCCACCGCACTGCCGTATAGGGCTGTCCTTTGACGTAGAAGCGGTCTAGGCGGCTAGCCCCATCCTTTCCCCAAAAGCTATAGTGGTGAAGCGGGTCATGATCCACATCTTCTTCGTCAAACTGGTACTTTAGCGAGACTGCGTCAGTTAGTTCGAGCCCTTGCAGCATCTCCTACAGGTACGGACTTTCACAAGAAGCAATGCTCGGTTTTCGAGCTGTTACCCGGTCTTGCTGAGGATTCAGCACACAATTAAAGTCACCTCCGAGTATGATGGACTCATGATGGCGTAGCCAAGGGTCCAGGTCCGAAAAAAATTCCAGGCGTTCCGCTTGGTCGATAGGAGCGTAGATATTGACAAGCAGCCAGCCATCGAACTCCACAGCCATCACTCGATTGGTCCAGCTTTCTCGTTGCCAAGGTCGAACTTTGCTGCTCACGTGCGGGGTGCAGAGTATTCCCAATCCTGCTGATTTCGTTTCTGTAGTGGTCCAGAAACTCAGCGGATGCTCCGGTGCCTTTCGCACCCACGTCCGGTTCCAGCGTTGCTTGACTGCCCGAACTTGCTCTGCCGTGTGTAGTCGCGCGTCTTGTACCATGATGACGTCGGGCTCCGTTCGCCCACGATGCCTTTTCCAGCCGTTGAGCCAGTGTCGTCTTGCTTTTTTTGCGAACCCCATCAAGTTTTGAGTTGCAATTGATACTGTTTGTCTTGCTTGTTTTCCTGGTAATCTGCGGGGCTGGGCCGATGCGAACAATGTCGAAACATTGTATAGCTCAGTGAAGTAGTCAGCTTCTAGAGGCTCTGCTCTCACGTTGCAGGTTTCCTTTAGCATGGTTAATGAAGGCACGGGTCTGGAACTGAAGTTGAAGCCTCATCGCGAGGCTGCGACGCGCGTAGCGCCAGCGTTGTTTCAATGATGGCCCAACACTCGAACGTCTGTGCTCGATACAGCGCGGCATGCAGTGCTGGTATTCGTTCGAGAACTGTGAACAACAACCCGAGGTGTTCTACAACTGAGCTGCGAGGTCCAGGGGGTGTTGCTGCCAGCGCCCGTAACTTGACTTCGTATATGAATGCAGCTACGATCATTCTCGAGAGTACTTGCGTTTCGTTCGTTTGACAGAGCTCAAGTAGCCGAGAATTACCAAAGTTCGCCGCTTTCAGTGTATTCCACATCACCGGTGCGTAGATGTCCAGCTTTTCGGGACTTCCGGCAGCAGTTTCCCATAGGTCCGCGCATCGTTCAAGCAGCCATTCTTTGCGACCGACATCTTGGTCAGGTACTGCTGCCCAACTTTCGAGACAGTGTAGTAGACATTCTAGTCGACTCTGTTCGGTCCACGTATCTAACACCGCATCCGTCATTGTGCTCAGGATATATTCTGGGGATTCGAAGCTCTGAAGCATCCGCAGTAGACTTCGTGGGGCCTCGGAGACTGTGTTTATCCACGTTGTGGTATCTGCAGGAACTGTCGGGAATGGTGACGTTGATTCCTTTGCCCATCGAGTTTGCAGCCGATTCCACCCCGCTTGTAGGTGTTTTTTTCGCAACCGGTTGCTTCCAAGTTGGGAGTCTAATCCGTGAAAACGACCGACACCGATGCGAGTCGTTCCAGTGTCTCCTTCGTGAGGGTCAGCATCCGCCTGTGTGGACATCGAGTCTTGACTCCAGACCGATCCGCTGGTATTGCTGGGGCTTGGGTCTGACGGGGTTACATCCATACTGACTTCGCCTTGTCGTATGCGTTCCTGCCACGACAGCAGTTGCTGTATAGTGATGTCATAGGTTTCCGTCCATGTTGTTACCGCTGCCGAGTCATCCCAGTCTAAGTCATGCAGCTCCTTCACCTTACCAGGGGAGAGTCCATGGATTCCCGCCGCTGGGAAAGCGTGTAACTCGGATTTCCGGCTACCCCCATGTTCCTCGATCGCGTCGCCCTCCTGGCGTTCAGCGTCAGTCAGGTGATGTCCGTCCTTCTCACTATTACCTGCTCCCATTTCAGTCATCTCCACGTCGTTAGCCGAATTGGCCGCACCAGCAGACAGCGTCAGGTCCACGATTTCCTTCACAGTTACCGATCCTGCGGCAGTCATTAGAGCGGTTGGCTGATTGAAGCGAAGTCGCATGTAGTGCCGTGCTGTAAACCGCAGAACAATTGGAGCTGTGCCCTCTGCGTACGTTGCTTGACGCGCCGCTTGAAGCCGCTGGATCCATCCCTCTGGTTTCTTCCCTTCGTAGTTGCGTTCCTTCACAGATGAGAAAGTCTCGCCCGATTTTGCTGCTTCGGCTGGCTGGAAGATTTGATAGTTGGCGTCGTCAGTCCCGAAGGCGCAACGACCACAAAGATTTCTCGTTGAAGAATTATTGCCAACAGCCGCAGCGTCACCTCCGTGCCCCAGTAACGATAGTCGATGTATGCTACAAGCTTGGATGTTGTGCAGCATAGTGCGTGCAAGTAGTCCTTCAGACCTTGCGCTGATTGCGCCTCCGTTAGGCGCTCTTTGCCGTTGGTTAGGCCTTCGTCCAACGAGCAAAGGATCGCTTCACGAATATCGTGAGGAAATTCTTGCTCGAAGTAGTGGCTTACCGCCGACCACATTCCTTTCTTGAGCTTCGATGTCAGATTTTCCAGCGCAGGTACGCTGCTTTTGTCGGCGAAGTCTCGGTTGACGAGAGCCATGGCCACCGCATAGTACTGGCAATTACCTGTTTTCGGTGTGGCTACCCGCTCCAAGTTACAGTGCTGGAGCACCCGTTCACCGGAGTTCAAGGCCTGCTTGGGCTGCTCCGCCAGTAGCGCCGTGGCGTTGCCTACGTCGCCCTGGTCGTCCACAATGTGCTTCGCAGCAATTGGCGACTCAATGAGACGCTGGTGCTTCTCCATTGCAGCCGTTCGGTGGCGCTGCCTCCCTTGTATTTCCTCACTGATGGAACGTCCGATGGTCTCTGCAGACGGCTTCCTTGGTGCTTCTGGGACGTTCGCTGCTTCGACCTTCGTTACATTCGAATGCGTGCGCTCAACCAGAGCCTGGAGGTGCTGAGCAGCGCGCGGGGAGCCAGCAGTGACCCATTGTCCAGTCGGCTTAGGCGGCGTGCGTTGTGCCGATGGTGGACTCGGCGATGCAGGCTTCTTAGGGATCCTAGTGAGCAGTCGAACAGTGGGCGTCGGGGCTTTAGCTGCTACTGGGGGCGGGGGGATGCCTCCTTTTCTTCGATCCAGTACTTTTCTAGCTCCGCGATGCTAGTTATCGTACTCGCTTGGTGGGGAAGTTGGGCAATCGCTGCCGTGGTCACCGTTACACAGTAGTGCTGCTTCCAGGAATCGTCGGGCACGTTACACTGGTTTCGGGTGTGGCCAGAGGCCCCACATTTGAAACAAGGCGATGCCCTAGAACGGCTTGCATGTTGCACTAGGATTTTGTGGCCAGCCCAGTCGATGAACCGCATTCCGTTGAGAAATTCGGGGCAATGTGTGCTCTTGAAGTACACATCCCGTGTATCCGTCTGTAGCTTACGGGCCTTTGACGACGGTTCTTGCCACGTCGTGTAGGACCCATGGAACTGTCTCTGGATGAAGGCATCGAGTGCTGATTCGTCCAGAAAGCGGGACACATTGAGTAATCGAACGTGATAGCGCTCCCGTGGCTGCTCGTCGCGGATGCCATCCGCTCCAACTTGGCGGGCCCATACCAAAGCCACTCTGGACTTCAAGTCCACGTTATCAGTGAGCACCGCGGGATGTTCGTTCTGCAAAGGGAAGCGTCGACTCCGAAAGGGGAGTGAGTGGAAAACAGCGCTCCACTTAGTGGCGAGTTCCCTCGTCCAGAAGATGAGATGGACAGCGTGTCGTCCTTCATCGTAGCAGACCTGCTTGGTTTCTCGTAGCATAGCGACCACCTGCGTCTTGTCATAGCCTCCTCTTCCCATCCCCAATAGGATCATGCCTATCAGCCGTTCACGGGTCTGAAAATCGGGATATACTGGAAAGTCGGGTTGGAGAAGAAGGACCAGGTCTCCCTCCACTTGGGCCTTGATCGTATTTTGGATGACTCGTAGGGACGCATTATTGCAGATGCGTTTCAGAAACTCCGGCAGATGCTCACAGAGAATAGATCCTTCGAGGAGACCTCGGATCACTTTCTGTTCTGGCTCCGTTGGCTTGCGCAGTAGTGCAGGAAATCCGAATGGGGCTTCACACAAATTCCGAAGTTCATCTATTTCCTGCGGAGAATAGATTTTCAGCAGAAATCGAAACGTCGACTTGGATGATCCCGTCATTTCGACATCATTATCCGTAGCCTCATTTTTCGAGAGTAGCTTTTGGGACCATGGGTCGCTCGTTGGTCCTGCCTTGACTTGAAGTTCAGCGATACGGTGGTCAATTGTCGTCGTAAGTGGACGTGTATGCGCTTTGTAGATCGACCGAGCTAGATCGTGCATGGCTGCCCGCCATTGGCGTTCGTTCGATCGCCCACTGCTGAGATGAGCCAGCAGGAACTGAAGCATTCGCTCTCCTTCTTCATCGGTGAGTTCCGGATAGTGATTGCGGTCAGCAGGGAGCGGTTCCTTAGGTCGTGCGTTGAACGCCTCTGGAACATCGCTTCGGCATACTCGACTGCGCTGACTACGTCTTTGGCCCTGGTGAGATCGAGTCCGGTAAACTCACTGCGTAGATACGTGTACATCTCTGCAAACATGAGCTTCTCGGCCGTTTCCTCCTCGTGGACAGCGTTGGCCTCCTCTGCCGCCCTGGCTTCTTGGTCTGTTGCTGGAGCAACCTCGTCCATCTCCACATCGGGCCCCGGTGCCTGGAACGTGTCAGTGGGTGTTGGCGAAGTCATGTCGATCACCTCGTTATCCTCTTCTTCACGCGCTACCCTGCCGTCGTCCGGCGGCTTGCCGTGCCCTCCCATGAGTCCTTGATCCCGGGGTGCTGGTACCGTGGTCGTTCGATTAGAGGGTCGTATAGTTTAACCAAGTGTTTCACCCGCTCTGGCTCTTGAACTGTGTTACTTCACGCCTTCCTCGTTTAGAAGGTTCCCCCCGAACACGCGGCTAGTAAGCAAAATCGGAAGTGTGGAAGCGTATCCGCTGTGTTCAAGCAGCTAAAGTGGTGTGGTGCACGCACGCTGAATAATGAAAATGAGCCAATCCAGTGAACTGTACCACCATGTTTTTGGCCAATCATGCGCAGTCCCGGCTGGTGGCTGCCTTCCAATGCTTTTCGAGCTCGAAGAGCTACGCACGGACACTTGACGTCGTGTCAATCAACGGACTGCAGCGAGCGATGGCGGGCGACGATCTGCTCAAGAAAGGCAAGAAGAAGGGCGCGTCCGGCGGCGCCGATGGCGGCACGACCCACGGCAAGAGCAGCGGCAAAGGCGCGGGCGTGGGCGGCTTCCAGCACCTGGGGCTGAGCCCGCCCGTGTTCCGCGGCGTCATGGCCATGGGCTACAAGGTGCCCACGCCCATCCAGCGGAAGTCGCTGCCCATCGTGCTGTCAGGCAAGGACTGCGTGGCCATGGCGCGTACAGGTTCCGGTAAGACGGCCGCCTTCCTCATCCCCATGCTTGAGAAGCTCAAGGAGCACTCGACCAAGATCGGCGTGCGCGCCGTGGTGCTGTCCCCAACGCGCGAGCTGGCGGTGCAGACGCTGCGCTTCGCCAAGCAGCTGTCCAAGTTCACGTCGCTCAAGATGGCGCTGATCGTCGGTGGCGAGGGCATGGACCAGCAGTTCGAGGCCATTGCAGCCAACCCGGACGTGCTGGTGGCCACGCCCGGCCGTCTGATGCACCACCTGCAGGAGATCCCGGACTTTAACTTGAAGGCGGTGGAGTACGTGGTCTTCGATGAGGCCGACCGCATTTTCGAGATGGGATTCGCTGAGCAGTTGCAGGAGATTCTGAAGAACATGCCCACCAGTCGACAGACGCTGCTGTTCTCGGCCACGCTGCCGAAGGCGCTGGTGCAGTTTGCGCGTGCCGGTCTGAGCGACCCGGAGCTCATTCGTCTGGATGTGGAGAACAAGATCTCGGAGAACTTGAAGATGGCGTTCTTCACGGTCAGGTCGCTGGACAAGCCCGCGCTGTTCCTGTACATGGTGCGCGAGTTCTTGCCCAAGGGGGAGCAGACGATTGTGTTCGCGGCTACGCGTCACCACGTGGAGTTTTTGCATGCGCTGCTGGCGGCGAACCACATTGAGGCCTCGTGCGCCTACGGTGACATGGACCAAGCCTCGCGTAAGATCAACCTGGGCAAGTTCCGTGCCAAGAAGACCAGCTTGCTGATTGTAACGGATGTGGCTGCCCGTGGTATCGATATTCCGCTGCTGAACAACGTTCTGAATTACTCGTTCCCGCCGACAGCCAAGCTGTTCGTGCATCGTGTCGGTCGTGCTGCCCGTGCCGGCCGTAGCGGTACGGCTTTCAGCTTTGTAGACCCGGATGAGTCCCCCTTCATGGTGGACTTGCACCTCTACATTGGCCGCCGCCTTGAGGACTCCTCGCCGGAGCTTACCGACACGAAGCCGTACTCTCTGAGCGAGATGCGCGTTGAGGACGTGCACTACGGCGCTTTCCCGAATGAGTTGATTGATCAGGAGAACGAGGCTATTCAGGAATTGATGCGCAGCCACCCGCAAGTGTCGCCGCTGGTGAAGGTGTGTGACAACGCTTACAAGGCGTACGCGCGCACTCGCGCTGACCCGTCGAAGCTGTCCATCCGTCGTGGTAAGGAGCTTGCCGTGAAGAAAATGCACCCGCTTTTCCAGAAGGAGTACGTGCTGGAGAAGTCCAAGGCCGACAAGGCTGCGTACATTGATTCGCTACAGACTTTCCGTCCTCCTCAGACGATTTTCGAGATTGCTGCGGGCGCCCACTCGTCAGCGAAGCGTTCGTCGCCTGGTGTGCAGATGATGGTCAAGAAGCGCAAGTTGCACGGCAAGATTATCGCGACGGAGACGACGAAGGCTGCAGACAAGGTCAAGGCCAAGGAGGAGGCAGCTGCTCTTAATGCTGCAGCGGATGAGGAGGAAGCTACCGGTGCTGTTGATGAGGGCTTGAAGAAGCCGAAGGTGGACAATGATAATAGCGAAGAGGATGCTGCGGAGGAAGCTGTGCCCGCCCCGAAGAAAAAGACGTTCTTCTTGTCCAAACACGAGCGTAAGCAGCTCAAGAAGCGTGTTGCTGCTGGCGAAAAGGAGGAAGACGTGATGAAGGAGTTGGCAGCTACCAAGGAGCAGGGAGCGAGCACCACTGACAGCAAGGACCAGGACGATGATGAAGGTGCCTCGACGTTTAAGGACGACGAGAACTACATCGGCTACATGAAGGACGGAGACTACACGACTGAGGGTTTCCTGGCCAAGAACGCGGACGGTGGCAAGGTGAACGCGTTCGCCGAGGCACGTCTAGAGGAGGCCATCCTGGATGTGAACCCGGACGAGGCCATCGAGATGAACAAGAAGCGACGCATTCTGCACTGGGATGTTCGCAAGAAGAAGTTCGTCAAGACTACTGCTGGAGAGCTCACGAGCCAGGGCACGCTCAAGCGCCGCAACGAGAGCGGAGTCAGCGTCCGCAAGAAACAGCAAGTGGGTGAGGTGTACCGCAAGTGGCAGCAGAAGCAGCACAAGCGCGTGGCCGGCGGCGGTGTGGAAATGGAGGACAACGACGATGCTGGCGGTCGCAAGCTGGACTACCGCAATGGCAGGAAGCCGCGCGGTGGCGCTGCCATGGCCAAGCGTAGCAGCGTGAACAAGTTCGCCAAGGACGAGCTCATGAGCGAGGGCAAGATCCGCAAGGAGGAGAAGCGCAAGGCGCGCTCGCGTGGTGTCAAGGTGACCTCGGGCGTCAAGTCAAAGCGCGGCAAGGGCAACATCAAGGGCAAGAGCCACGGCGCTCCTACCCGAAGCAAATCCATTATCAAGAAGCGGTAAGCTCAAGAGGATAAACGTGACTTTGGTAGTCCATTCAACAGCTACGTACGTGGCGACGCCAAGTAATAATATAGACGACTTGCTTTCACTTAGACAAACCGCGACCTACCAACTGATCCCGTCTCCGTTTCCAAAGTGGCGCAGTTGCAGAGGTTCTCCGAGTCTCGAGCGCGCGATGACCTGCGCCATGCCTGCCACGCTCTCTTCAGGCTGGACGTCAGCGGAAGCGTGCGGAACTTCGGGCTTGTCATCGACGCCCGAGTGGATCAACAGGCACCCGATCTTGTGCGGCAGGAAGTCCGCCGTCATCGTCTTGGTGAACATATTGAGGGCGCTCATCGAGGCGCGGAAGCCGTAGCAGCCTCCGGTCACGTTCTCCGAGATACTGCCCACACGAGACGAAATGTTGGTCACGAACGCCATTCCTCGGTCACGAACAGCGAGCCGCAAGTTCTGCAACAACGCGCGCGACACAATGAAAGGCCCCAACGCATTCACCTCGTACATCTTGACGCAGTCCTCGGGGGTCGTGGAGTGCGTGTACCCCTTCTTGAAGAGCCTGGCATTGTTGATCAGCAGGTCAACAGGTGCGTCCTTCAGCTCCAACGCGGCGTTGTCCACCGACTGCTTACTGCCCGGGTCCAGTGCCACCAACTTCCACGGTGCCAGCTCCTTGAGTTCCCCGCACGCGTCCACATCCGCGCAGGCGGCGATGACGTCCCACCCTTCCCTCATGTAGTGCTTCACAAAGGCCACGCCCGTGCTGCTGTCAGCTCCCGTGATCAGCACCGTCCTCTTGGGTCCAGTGTACACGGGCATTGGGCCCAGCTGCGACTGCGTGGGCGGCGCCACGAGCCCCAACTGCGTCGGCGTGCGCGCGCGGCGCTGCGTGCTGGACGAGGACTTGCGTCCGCCCGCGCGCGACGCCGCCGGAGCCTGCACCCTCGTGGCCACTATGGGGCCGATCTGGATCTCGGCGTCCCCGCCCTCCCCGTCCGTCTGCATGGAGCGCGGCCGCAGCCCCATGCCGTGGCGCCGCATGAAGCTCGTGAGCCACCCGTCCGAGAGGTTGAGCGTCGGCGCGTTGGGGATTTCCTGCAGGATCTCGCGCGCCTTGTCCACCAGCAGGCGGCGCGTGAGCTGCACCTGGCTCTGGACGCACTGGTCCACGTAGAGCTTGAGCGCCACGTCCAGCTCGGGGCACGACACGCCGTGGCCCTTGCGCGTGATGCCGTGGCGCTGCTTGTCCTCGATCTCCTCGGCCGCCTTGAGCACGCGCGAGACCGTGGCGGCCGTGGGGCCCGTGGGCAGGTTGAAGGCCTCATGCGCCCAGAGCGCCAGCTTGCGCGTCGACAGCGACGGGCTCTGCCGGTGCTTCTGGATCAGCTCGAACTTCTGCGCCACGGTCATCCATTGCACCATATTGGTGGGGCGTAAGTCGAAAAAGGAATATAGGCGGCATTTTTAGTGACTACTAGTCACTCTTCTGGAATCTTGAAAAAAGTAGGAATGAGTGACGATGATTGGCTGGATTAAAGTGTAGCCATGTCCCGTGAAGGGTCAGTTGGCTCCATTTGAGCGAGAGCGCCATGTTGAAGCGAGGGTCCTCGCGTTCTTCTCGTCGTGGTCGACCGGTTGACAGCCTCTCGGAGAGGGATTCCTCTTCGGGGCCTCGCACAGCAACCAGGAGGAAGTCGAGGCAGAGCAGGTCCCGGGAGAGCGAAGCGCCGAGCGATGACAACAAGAAGGAGAGGCTCAGGAAGGCTGGCAGGAGGAAGCGCGCCCCGCTGCTGGACTATTCTATTGTCGAGGCAGTTTACAGTGCGATGGCAGGGCAAGCCCAGCGACGCGCCAGCAGCCATTGGCTTCAGCAGTTCTCCAAGTACGAGGAGGCGAAACGACCTGGAGTGATCAAGGCCGACAGGTTCACCAGGTGTCTGAGCAGGATGGGTGTCGAGTTGGACAAGAGAGAGCACTACGAAACATTGGCTGAGTGTTTTAAGACTAGCAGAGGTAGTGGTGGTGAAACCGACAGTGATGACAACAACAGGAAGGAATCTACCACGCAGCTGGTCGACTACGTTGCCTTTGTCGACTTCGCATGCAACGTGCGAGACTCGGAGAAACTGAGCGAAATAGCCGACTCGCTCCGCGAAAGTATCTCCAAGTACGACGGGAAAAAGCAGTCGTCAACCTCCTACAACCTCGCAGCTGGACTCGAGAAGTTGGACAGACACAAGCGCGGGTGGATCACTTCGACCCAATTCGAGCGAGCGCTGCAGCGCGAGGATCAGGGCCCTTCGTTCCGTCTATCTGCTACGGATATAAGCGCTCTTGTCGACCGCTTCGAGTATGAATACGAGAAACAACAACTGGGCATCGACTACATGCAGTTTGCCCAGTGGCTACAGCCGCTCCTGCATCTTGACGTGAAAAAGGTTCATGAACGCGTGAAATCTCTGGTTGAAGACGCTGCGGAGAAGGAAGGGTGGGAGTTGGAAGAGATTTTCAAAGCCATGGACGACGATAAAGACGGTGAGATTGACGCGGTAGAGCTGAAGGAGGCTCTGTTGGAAATGGGTCTTCCCCTGACCGATGCACAGATTCGGTGCTTGGCAGACGAGTACGACGTCGACGGCGACGGGAAGATTCAGTACAGTGAGTTTGTCTCTTTGTTTGCCCCGTCAGAAAAGAAGTTAACCAAGAAGAAACGCTTGAACGGTGTCCGAGATGGCGACAAGAGTGACACGGGAAGCGCTACGGATCTGATCAAGCAGAAGAAGGACAGACCCAAAAGAAATGTTCGGAATTCCTTCAGCTGGGGGATCACGAAGGCGTTTGCGCGAAAGCAGGCCGCAAAAAGTGGGAGTCGCAAGAGTACTATAACGAAGCGTCCTGGAAAAGATGAATCATCCCTAGAGGAAGGCAGTAGTGAAGCACCAAGGAGAAAAAGGTTCACGAAGCCGCGAAAAGATCAAAAATCCGCCTCGACTGACGAGGAAGTCGCTGTCAAACGAAAGACAAAGCGTGTGCATAGGTCACGAAACCAACGTTCGGATTCATCTGACGCAGACGAGCAAGCCAGCAGCTCTGCCTCAGAGACTCATACGTCCACGTCGAAGTTAAAACGGAAAACGACAACCAAGCAACGCGCAAAGTCGTCCTCTACCGAGAGCGAGAAAGACAACAACAGCCGTGAGAAGAGCCGACGCAAGAAGAGCGAGAAGGCTGCAGCTACGAAAAGTGAGAATGGAAGTAAAGCGAAGGAGACGAGTGAGTCCGAAGCTCGCACACGCTCATCGAAAGATCGACCAGATAAAAAGAGGGGCCCACGTGAAAAGTCTGTGACGCGAGAGCGGAGATTGGACTCCGGTGCAGTCCCTCGATCTCGAAGCCGTCCAAAACTCTCGCGGACAAAGTCACCGCGTCGCCGGCACCGCTCCAGATCGTTGCACGGACGACGAAACGTTAGTCCACGACGTAAGCGCCATGTCAGCAGATCGCGGTCGGTTCGGATGCGTCGAGCTGCACGCAATAACGCTGCATCCAGTAGCGACGACGGAGATAATTCGGAGTATTCGGACAAGAGTACTTCGTCGTCTGGCTTGGATGTTGAGCAGCTTCGCCGCCGTCAACGAACCAGAGGACAGAATGTAATTCGCAGGGGTAACTATGCTACGAGTGCGAACGATGACGATACCGATGAAGAACCCAACGAAGATGCCGTGAACGGCGCATCAAACAATGAAGAAGGAGACGATGGCGAAGAATGGAGTCGCTCTGATGATGAGTATCACAAACACCTGAAGCGCTCACTCAGACGAGCCTTTGATTTCTTCGACCTCGACCAGACCTCAACGATCGACAAGCGTGAGCTTAGCCACGTGCTGCGTGCGTTGGGTCATGAATTCACTTCGAAAGAGCTGGAGGCTGAAATGGCAAATGCTGACCTGGATCGGAATGGCCAGCTGGACTTTTACGAGTTCGTGGCGTTCGTGAAGAAGCAACTGGCGCAAAAGACGTATTTGCTCTCCCAGCAGCGCGAGATGGAGATCCGCCAGTCGTTTCAGTCGCTCGACACCGACAAGAACGGAGCCTTGGATGAACAAGAGTTTGAATATCTCATCTACAAGGTGCTCCAGGTGGAGCTCTCCGTCGAAGAGCAGGACGCGCTGCTCGATTTTGTCGACAAGGACGCGGATGGTTTGATCAGTGAAGACGAGTTTATCACCTTCATGAAAAAGCTAGAGACGCTGCATCGCAAGTACAGCGGGAAAGGTGGCTGGAGAAAGCAGAAGCGCTTCTTGGATACTCTTGACACTACGTCACAGTTGGCCTACTCGGCTATGAAGAAACTTGTTCGCGGTGCCCCAATGGACCTCGATCGAAACTTGCTCATGTTTTTCGGGATCCCGTCGAACTTTCGCCCGGCCATCTCGTCCGCAGCTACGTGTCGTACTCTGCATGGCAATACGATGGAGCACGTATTATCGTTTCCGTCCCCGCAGACTATTGAAGCCTTGGCGTTGGATACCAGACTAAGCGACAAGAAGGATTCGTGGTTCACTTTGAATCGGCTTGACACTACCAGCGAAGAGTACCGGATGCTACAGCAAGCAGAGGGTGTCGAAGCGCAAGCGATTGTATCGTTGAAAAGGGCTGCCGGTGTCCCGAAGCCATTCGATACGAGAGAAGACGACGTAGTGAAGCGATGTGTTCACGTGTGTCTGTTCCAAGAGCAACAAGACGTATCTAAGGGTGCAGCAGCTCGACGGCGACGAGCCAACAAAGCAGCAGGCAAACCGAAGATAACGGGAGCAGGTACTGTCGTTGGGAATGTTCACGAAATTCCTGTTTACTGGCACCAAGGCGAAGAAGACGTCTGGGAGTTCTCGAAGAAATCCACGAAGCAGGACAAGTACAAGTTCCTTGTCCGCACAAATGCGGTGAACGACCACATGTACTTGTTGGTGGAGTTTATTGTTCATCTAAAACTGAGTCCTGAAGAGGACCAATCGAGCAAGCGCTCAAAGCGGCGAAAGCCAACAAAGCTACACCAAGAAAGCGATGATGAAGCTTGTATTGATGGAACAACGAGGGAAATGGTGTGTTGCTGGTGCAAAATCCCCGTCCACCAACTGCTGGCCAAACGATCCGATATTCTGCGACGCAAGGAGAAACTCTGGGGAGGTACAGCAAATGCCCCGGTCGACATCGAGCAAGATGAGCTCCTGCGTCGACGAACCGGGTGGCGTGCTTTCACGAATATGTTCACAAAGCCGTCGCCGCCATTGATGGGAATCAAGAGCGTGCCTATCGATTCACTTGCTGAAGATCTCCAGCTATTCGTACGCAAGATGCCCCCAATTATCATTGCGCCGTTCGTGTCCCTCCCGATCCTAGCCGAGTATATGGCGCTTGTGAGGAAGACCCTCGCCCATGTTGCTAGCTCCTCTTCGGGTATGCGTCACATAATGTTATTGCTGTCCTGACCTGTAGCTAACCCAATCTGCTGTGGGTTCTGCAGTTATGACTTGTGAGCCAGCGTTGAAGTTGCTACCGAAAATCGTGGACGACCACGTAGCGCTGTCGATCTTCCGGAAAGCTTTTGATAGCGAAGTCGCAAGCATGAAGCCTGGCGAGGTGCGTTTGAATGAATTCATTCAGTGATGCTAGAGCGTTCATAGCTGACAAACATGTATCGTCGCAGGAGCGTCAAATGAAGTTCCAGCAGCTTGTGCTCAGGATGTGGCCGTCGTTTGTGCACTGGCAAGAACATCTCCCTCCTTCCCTCCTGCCTCAAGTCAAGCTACCAGGCGCAACGCAGAACTCGAAAGCTCCCGCAGGTGTTCCACCCAAAGGCGTGAGTGCGGCTGAAAATTCTGCGACCATCGTGAACGACCAGGTCGCGACCCAAATGCGACTCAACTTGCTGCAGACCACAGCTTCCGGGTACGTCACGTGCCAAATGCATGAACAAAAGCATAGGCGAAGAATCACTAACGCCTACGGAATTTTCCTTCAAGCAAACTGCGTCTGCAAGATGTCCGCGTGACGTCGACACCGTTCCACGTCCGCGAGGTCGCGTTTCGCCGCTTGTTGTAGGCTGTAGGCTGTCGGTAAGTGTATATGTACAAGTACTACCCATAGTAGTCTTCAATATCTACTCATCTTCGTAACAAGTCGTCAATCATGTGATACCAAGACAATTGCAAACAAAAGGTATAGATTAACTCGGGCTAATCCGTGTGCACCAAGTCAAAGAGCTAGAGCATGAGTGAACCCCCTGCTCAACACTACCACGCCAGCAACAAGATTCTACCACGGCAGCGCGTCGCCCTTCTCGAAGTGAAACATCTGCAGCTTGTCGTCCACGTTGGCGCGCTCGATGATGCGCACCATGCCGGCAACACTGTCCTCAGGCGACACAATGCCCGTGAAGTTGACGATGGCAGTGTTGACGTAGGGTGCAGCAGCAGGCAGCCGATCTTCTCCGACTTGAGGTCCAGCGCCAGGCTCTGCGTGACCATGTTGAGCGCGGTCTTGGACGCCCGGTAGCCGTACGAACCGCCCGATCCGTTGTCAACGATGCTTCCCATGCGCGACGTGATCTGCGCCACGAAGGCCTCGCCGTGGGCCGCCACCGCAAGGCGGAGGTTGGGCAGGAAGGCGCGCGTCATGAGGAAAGGGCCCACGGTGTTCACCTCGAACTGGCGCATCATGTCCTCCTTGGTGGTGACGTCCAGGCCGCCGCCGATGGAGATGCCGCTGTTGTTGATGAGCACATCGAGAGCCACGCCCTTGAGCGCCTTAGCGGCAGACGAGATCGACTGCTCGTCGCCCGTGTCGAGCGTGATTGTCTTCCAGGGCTGGAGACGCTGGAGCTCCTCGGCCGCGTCCACGTTACGCGCAGAGGCCACGACGTTCCATCCTTGCTTGACGTAGTGCCGCGCGAAGGCCAGGCCGATGCCGCGGTTGCTGCCGGTGATGAGCACCGTCTTGAGAGGAGACTTGACCGAGGACTAAATAAAATAGTCCCGATCCAAAATATAGTCCCGGAGACCATCACTCACTTCCCGTTTTGGTCCGTTTTTTGGTCCGCAGACTTTTTTGGTCCTGACTTGGCGTTTGTATGCACCTTAGGAAAAATGTGGCTCGCGCCCCGTGAGACACTCCCGCGCATCATTTTGACTTGACTTTGTAAGCAGGAGCCTTAGGAGCTGTGGCACGGTACGTTTTGTACACCACACTTATGTTACTTCAGAGCCCGTCGACGCACACTTGTTCGATAGCATGTCGCTCGGGAACCGCGCGGACCCGGAAGCCGCTGCGCAGGACGAGGGCGACTGGGCCGCGAGAGACGACGATGACGCCGTATTAGTGTCACCAGGTGCACAGGACGCAGTAGCGCCGCCTGCGTCCTCCAACGGCCAGGTAGAGGCCCCCTCTGACGCTCAGGAGGACGCCACTCGCGCCGCCGACCTCGCCGTGCTGGGCGACGCCTGCCCGATCTGCCTGCAGACGCTGGAGGACCCCGTGATGCTAACGGGTTGCTACCACGTGTACTGCTTCGAGTGCCTGAGCACGTGGGTGCACAGCTTGGCGCTGCACGGCGTGGAGCCGGCCACCTGTCCACTGTGCAAGGCTGCGTTCCAAGAGGTGTACGCTAACGTGCGCAGCGAGACGGACTTCGAGGTGTTCCGCTTCCAGGGGCGGCAGATCCAGGACCAGCAGAGCAGGAACAGGCGGAGAGAAGAGAATGACAGCAACCGCCAGAGACTCAGACGCCGCTCGCTGGTGTATCGACGCCACATGAGACTCGTCCGAGTGGCGGGCGTGGAGGTGAAGGACTCGCACTCGTTCCCCAAGATGCACAAGGTCAAGGGCGAGTACGAGGCCTGGCTCCAGAGAGAGCTGCGGGCGTGTATCGGCCGGGATATTGACCTCACCGTGCTGCTGGCGATCATCCAGTGCTGCCTCAACAAGATCGCGCAATGTGGGGCCAGGAAATGCTACGACGAAATGCAGCAAGCGCTGGCGCCGTTTCTGTATGAGGACGCAGAGCACTTTGTGAGAGAGCTCGCGTCCTTTTTGGGCTCACGGTTGAACGTCCAGGCCTACGACGCTACAGTGGAGTATCGCTGTGCAAATGCTGCTGAGTGTACAAACGCGCTGTGCTGCGGTGGATCAGCCACGCCGCCAAGTTAAATGTAAAGAGGGGGTTTCGTTCCATGCACAATCGAAAGAGGAAGTGATCTACCGGCGTGCACCCGCTTCTACCGGTCATCTACCAACACCTTGAGAGGTTTTATGCCTTGCCCAGCACCAAAGCGAGCAGTGCCATGCGTACGTACATGCCGTTCTCCATCTGGCGGAAGTAGGCAGCGCGCGGATCCGTGTCAACCTCTTCGGCGACCTCGCCAACGCGCGGGAGCGGGTGCATGATGATCATCTTCGACTTGGCGTCCTTGATCGTGTCCAGCGTGATGCGGAAGCTGTCCTTCACGGCGTTGTAGTCCGCCTCGGACTCAAAGCGCTCCTAATACAACAAGAAGTAGCAACCAGAGTGAGCTTCATGCGCAACAAAAATCGCCAACAGCCACGAAGAGCTCACTCACCTTTTGCACGCGGGTGACGTAGAGCACGTCCGTCTGGTTAATCACCGAGTCGAGGTCGGTCGTCTCGTTCTGCTGGATACCTTGCGCGGCCAGCTCGTCGAACACGTAGCGCGGCATCTTCAAGCTCTCAGGGGACACGTAGTTGAAGGTGGTGCCGTACATGGCCAGCAGCCTGGACAGCGAATGCACCGTACGGCCGTACTTGAGGTCGCCGACCATAGTGACGACCTTGCCCTTGAGGTTCTCAAGGTCGCCGAGCTCGCTGTGGATCGTGTACAGATCCAGCATCGCCTGGGACGGGTGCTCGCCGACGCCGTCGCCGGCATTTAGCACGGGCTTTTTGGTCGCCTCAGCGGCCACCAGCGCGCTGCCCTTGATGGGGTGGCGAAGCACCACCACGTCGGCGTAGCACTCGAGGCAGCGGATGGTGTCGTGGAGCGTCTCGCCCTTCTGGCTGCTGGACGACGTCTCGTTGACGCACACCACGAGGCCGCCGAGACGCTTCATGGCCGCCTGGAATGAGCTGCTCGTGCGCGTGGACGGCTCCATGAACACGTTGGCCAGCAGCTACAAGAGCAGGAGCAGGTCATATAAGCTACCACCACCAGCACCATCTTATGCTGCAACTGGGCGTACCTTGCCCTTGAGCAGGTCGCTCGCGCCCTGCGTCTTGACCATGTTCTTCATCTCGTCGGCCACATCGAGCACGCGCCTGCGACGGAGCACAAGGGTGAGCCATTGACTGACACACTGCACTGCAGGAATCGAGAACTGGAGGCGCTACTTACTGCGCGCTCTGCTTGCCGAACTGGGCGATGGACAGGATGTTCTCGCCCTGCCAGGAGCCCACCGCCGTCTTGCCGTCCAACTTGCGCGCCGCCATCGCTGCCGTATCAATGCTCTGCTCGCCGACGCCTCTTCGCCACTGATCCGTCACGTTGGTACTATATCAAAATTGGTGCCCCGAGTAAGTACACCCGGGTTACGCTTTGGGTTTCGACTAAGTAACGACCCTCTAAAGCGACCATACTCGAATCAAGTGACAAACTAAGCCGTGCTAAAGCACGGAGAAGCTCTGGATTTTATCATGTAGTTTTGTTCTAGGTTTGATTCTAAGTTAATTTATCTTAAATGTGCCTAGCAGTTCTGCCCGAGGTTCTTTGGTTAGAGCGAAGTATCCTTAAATTTCAGCAGTTGGTGCTTTTGCCTTTATTCGCATGCACTGGCAACTATCTCAAGCCCTTACGCGAGCATGTACTGGTCACTCGCTATGCCTTAGCTATCTTGCAATAATATGCAGCCACCGTCAAGGCTTGAATGCGGCGGTAACGGTACGTATGCACGTGCAGAATGGTTGAAACGAGACCAGCATCGTTTGAAGACTTCAACGACACCCACGACTTCAAATTGAAGTCGTGGGTGTTTTCCATGACCTGAACGTAGCGACACCAATGTAACATCGTTGAACATACATGCACTGCAAACAGGGCTCCCGATTATGGTATTGTTATTTATCACGAGCACCAACGTAATATAAATAATGTTATCCTGGGAGGACAGCTAGAAGAGCTGTGTGGTCAGCCTCACACAGATTAATTCGTCGAAAAAAAGTTGCTTGTACCTCAGGCAACATTTAAACAACATTTTGCCTCACCATACTTACACAACGTAGCCATGTTGTCAGCGGCACCATGTACCACACAAAACCGAAGGTCAACAATGGAATTAACACAACATTAGCGAAAGAATAGCATACCGAATAATCATTCAGCCCACAACAACTCCATAATTTAGTTTCTACGAGGACACCTTTATCTCCGGGTGTCTACTGTTGTCAAGCCAGTTCAGGACCCCATGAAACCAAGCATGTTTGTCGAATACCAAGCAAAGTGGCCTCGCAGACACCAGGTGGTTGGCTCCATTTGAGAGGGTTGTTGTTTGGCGCTGCTTCGTGTAGGTTTATAGGTCATACGCAACCGCTGTTGTACTGCGCGAATTGGTAGTTGTTGGCATAGTTTTGTAGTCGAAGCATGCATCTGCAGTTTTAAAGGACAACTTTTGGGCAGATGCTGCGGCTGCGAAGCAGGCGCAGGAGATGACCGCTTAATAAAAAATGGAATTACTAGTATACCAAATATTGGCGTCTGTATGGCAATAATCATTACGGCGACTCGCACTTTATTTTCCGGCTTCTGCTAAGATGGATAATATACTGAAGTACTTATCTATCGGCTTGCTTCGCATACGCTACATCCATCCGATAACCCCACTGAGACTTTTGCTAGGACAAACAATAGGACAAATTCATACTTCTCTTGATTTCAGTATGGTGTACCACAAATTCGTCCTACAAAATTTTGGTACACTATACTGATATAAGTAAAATTCAATTTTGTCCCATCATTTCTTCTACTACGTGGTAGTAGCAAAAGTCTCAGTGGGATAATGAGCCACTGAAATCTTCCAGTATGGAAGACTATAGTTGTTTCAGTTGGTAAAAACTAACCACTAAGACTCAGGTCGATTGAATCATACCTACTTAGTACTGCGAAAGAACAAACTTAATCTTTTTTCAAGCAGTCCTCCTAGCCTAACGCAACGCACCCTTGTTGCATCTCTTGCTTTGGTAAATAAATATGACATCACCAACAACCAACGCATACATAAGAGCATAAAAGAACATTATATTACCCTTTATCTGGTAGCCTCATCGACAGTTTGGGCCGACCAATACTGATCATTCTGGCGGAGGAAGAGCAGCATCTCCAGCGTGATAGGTTGCAGACTGTGCCGCTCTTGGCCGTAAGTCGTTCTGGCAACGCTAAAAACCGCTCAGCAATGTTAGACGTAGGAGTGATGCTCCCGAGCAGCTCGTACCTTGGCTGCACCGCTGCTAAGCGGCGGCGCTTCTGGAGCTGCTCTACGAAGGAGTCCTCGTCACCGCTCTCTGCATCTTGGTCAGCAGCTTGGTGCGTCGGGTCTGCTTCCGCACCGTACCACAACGTCAGCGAAAGTACTCCGGGACGGTCTCGTCCATGTCGTCGCGTCACGGGCGGAAGTAGAACCCCGCAATTTGGGCTGGGGTGAAAGTGGCGTGGTGGGGACGCGGGGCGAGGACCATGGCGGTTGGGGGGGGGCAAAGGAGACGGCTCGGGCTTGGCTCAAATTGAGAAGTGAGAGCGTCTGTCAGACGTGGCAGAATCCTGCCGTAACAAACTGTTGGTCTGCGTGAAGACTTTCCTTCCTGGTAGCGAGGTGCCCATAATGATAAAGAGGTTTAGTTCATAAATTATGGAAGATAATTTCCAAAGCCAATAAATTATTTATTGTATACAGGTATCCGAGAAAATAAATATATTTATGATTTCATAAGAAATTATTGAAAAGACCATGCCATAATCGGGAGCCCTGACTGCAAACACAACTGTAGTTATGTTTGGAGTCATGGTCGAGCGACATCCGATCGACCCTAAAAGACTCAAGCAACATGCCGCTGGATAATATATTATCCAAGCGTTTATTAAAGTTAACGGGTACGTTCCGATACGTTAATGGTTTGTTCGTTTATAACCGATAGCGGAGCATGCATTTTTATAGTGATTTGCACCTGCAGTTGTATCGCCCTAACAACTCTGGATAAATCCAGAGAACAATTCTTCGTCGGTTTTCAAACAGGAATGGCTCGGAATGACCGACAAAATGTTTGTCCATACTAAAACCAAATCAAAATTTGTTTCGAGTATAGAATATGATCTATCAGGAGCACTTGGCAACTTACCTCAGTACATAATCCTTTAATAACCAAATTACCAAAAGTAAAACGTCATAAAGAGGTACCCCTTGAATAGAATATCACATAGCAAGGAAATAACGGTACTGGAGTCGTACTGTGATTTTCTTGATATATTCTATTCTATTATGGAGTACAGGATGATTAGTCATATCACAGAATGTGATAATTAAAAAAACTGGGCGCTACTATATGGTGGCGCCCATTTTTTTAATTAATCCCAACAAGAATATTTTATTAAGGAGAAAAAAAGGATCAATTCTTAAGGCCTGATTTGAGAGTGTCCACGAAGACAATAAGCAAACATGGGGTTGAATATGAAACTTCTTTGTTTTATCAAGATGGTTCAAGCTGCTATCCGTCATTCAAGCACACTAACACGTTCAAACCGTCTTTGCAAAAATGCATCTGCATGCATAGCAAAAAAAACGCGATTTGTTCTTAAGTTTGAGACAAAAATTTGTGCCGACTGGTCGCGATTAATTAGCCACATGTAGACGCAGCGACCGCCGTCGCTGCCTGCAATCGAATACTTGGTGCACGTCAGTTGGGAGCATCGGAGGACTGAGATCGCTTTCTGGAAGGTGGAGAAGCCCGGTTCACATTCGTTTTGGCTAGCTCCATCTCTTCGCCATGCTTACAGGGGTCTGCCCGCTTTCGCTTAGCATGAAACTTTTCAAAACAGGATTGGACTCCATTTCACCGCTTGATCTTGCAGAGCGAAACTTGACACACTTCGCAGGTGTATCGAGTTTTGAAGCCTTTCTGAGCATGCGGTATGTTCTCGGCGTCATGGTTGAGACGACAGCACTGCTCACAGCAGTGCTGGAATCCCCCTTCAATTACCACCTAAATGCAATGATTAGATGTATCCATCCTATAATCCATCAAATGCAAACCTAATGCTTACCATCGTGTGTGTTTTAAAGTTAGACAATCTGAGATCTCTCCACTCCTCCTTCTCGAAATGTATGCGCTTCTTGTACGCAAAAGACTCTCTGGTCTGCGTAGTATCCGGTTTCACTTCTTCAACGGCTCCGCTATTGGAGACCAATGTGAGCCTTTTGGACACGACGGACGCAGCATCTCAACAAAAATCTTTGAAGCTCGGAAGCTTGAACCTCAGGTATGTCTTGTAGAATGTGCACAGTGACCTACTCATTAAAAACGAATTGGACTGAGCAACGCGCACTAATCAGATATAAACACACCATACTCGAAGCAAAACGTACCCGGAAAAGAAGAAACGACTGGTAGGCATTGTAAAGAGTGCCACGATCATCCCAAGCCATATAGCTCAAGTGGGCGATAGCCGGAAGTGTTTGGCCTTCACGTTTTTCAGGAAGCGCGAGTACACATCAATCCCTCCCTTCACACGATTCCGATGTGCGATCAGAGAGGGTAGGATATGCTTCGCGGCTGGGAGAGGTCTGCGGCGGTCGTTCACTATTTTTACAATTGCCTTCCATAAACCTAACGTTTGAACGAGTGTCTGCTGTTCGACACAATTGCCTAGTTGTCGAGGCTCAAACGTAGGTACCGGTTCCGAGTCGTAAGTTCACCCCATATAGCCGTGTTGAATTGCCTTCAGCGCTGAGCGGTACGCCCAGGAGACCAGGTCTCCGACAAACACGTGAACCACACGTATGATTAATCCCTTCTCGGCACCATTCTTGCCCCTGAGAACCTTTAACGATAACAGCATGGATGGCTGCATCAGCTAACGCTCCCAGTGCATATTCGTCACTCTCATGCACGTGGCCGGAGAGCACCTCCGGGCGGACCATTCATGACTAGCCCGACCGCAGACACCCTTACGATTCCACGCACACTCATCAAGTGATTCACACATGCAGATGATATAGATGATACAGACACGCGTAGCTCACCCATACAGTCAACATAGTTCACCCTTCTCCCTAGCCCTCACTCGACATGCATCCAGAGCCCGCACAGGTTCACCATACCTTTGGCGAGCCTTGTGCCAGGAAGACGCAAGCGCTTGTTAGTTTGCTGGGGAAATGTAAATGATATTGAATAGAGCTTAGAAAACAAAGGTTACCTATGGGGCTCGCCTGGGGTCTCTCGTGCTTGCTACCCTTTCGGGGCGCGACCACTCACGGCGAAACCACTCGAATTCACTGTGATACCGAATAGATCTTGGGTTTTGCCTGCACCATCTTGGCGTGATCGGGTGTCGCTCGACCTCGGATACTTGATTTCCGGCTGCTCGAAGAGGCGGGGCGCGTATTCCTGCTGCGCGACCCTTGGCACATCTCGAAAGATCCCGCGACCCTTCGCAAAGATCCAAGTGTCCGCCAGGTCGACTTCCACCCGAAGCTTCTCCGCGCGGAGCCGGGATCAGATCTGAGTCTCCATCTGGCGGCCCCGGATTTTTGTACGGCACTATGTCACAATACAATGAACCCATCTTGTATACCACTGCATACCACTCTGTGCAGGAGCTGTACTCGAGGAATCACGTCAGGGATCAAATCCGTAAAGCGTCCTCCAAATCCATCGATTATAACGTCAACACTGCTGAAGGCAGCATACTTTACCGCCATTCATCTCTTCTTCTCTTCAGTCTATGGCTTAGTGTGCGTTTTGTACTCCAAGATTGCGTACATTCGCCCGCGCCCGACAGAAACAACTGAAGCGACATTATCCGGCGAAAACGCAGCCACTGGTATTGACTTCCTGGCCACAATAAGACGGTTAGTACTGTGATCAGCGTATCGGTAAAAAAAATACTCAACTCACTTGCACAATAAATAACCCGTAAGCGTTGATCCCTTCAATATGATATTCTGAATGCAAATCTAGAAAGAGGTGATATGCTCTGCGGTCCGGTCTTCATTCGCCGAACCAATCTTCATGTCGGATGTAGAATCTCTTCTTCTATAGTTAATTCATCCTGCTGCACGCGCTCCGCCCCTTGGCCAAGCAACCGATCAACCATTGCGCTCTTGGTTCCATAGGCTGGTAACGATGCACTGCGACACAGCGTTTTATGTTCTTCACCGGACTTTACCACAAGCTCCGCTCGTGTCGATGAGGTGCTAGCGTTAAGGGTCTGTCGCTTTGAAGTTCATTGGGAGCTGCTCGGATCCGGCCAAGTGCCAGCAGCAGCACCATAATTTGTATGGCAGGATCATCAGCCGGAGTATTATCAGCGTTACCTCAGCGAGCCACCGCGCTGAAAATTTTTGCTGCTACCGAACCGGTGATCCTGAACTTCCGCGAAATAAACCAGTCTGGTGTGCGCTGAGTCATCGTAATCTGGTCAACACCATTTTCAAACTGGGCGAATATATCGCTCGGACTCTGAGTAGCATCAGCATCAGGTGAGCTGGTGACGTAGGGCCAGCAGCCAAAACTACATTCGGGTTAGTTGCGTAGCATAACGTCACTTTCCCGAGACCAGAGCGATACGCAAGAACATTGGGTATCCAGGACGTGTAGGTAGTCGTTGAGTCGCCCAATATGCTGCTCGTTCCCCTTTCATAGTAACCAAACGTTGGAAACGAGTGTCAGCACGATCATACGTAAAAGGGAATCGTCCAGTCAGCTTGTGCGTCCCAACGATAGAACACAAGTTTCCACGATCTGCTGATTTACTCCAGTATCCCAGGTAAGCAAATTTGGTTCTCGGTAGACGTTCCACCCAACGAGCGCTGCAATATCCTTACCGCATCAATATTTGACTCACCACGTCCAGCTATATGACCACCAAGATAAAAACCTGTGACGACCGAAACAATTTCGTGGTGTACTGGTCCATACCATGATGGTGCCGACAGTGGCCGACAGCGTCGTGATTGGTAGAAATAAGCATTTAGTTGAGCGGTTAATCTATTGGTCAAATCATTTGACTCAAATGTCAATTCCATAATGCAGGCCAGGCCGCAAGGACGGCGGGTGGGTCATCAAGGAGGGCGGCGAGCCGAAGGACGTCGGCGAAAAGGGAGGGGCTGCATAGTTCCGCCTGCCAAGATGTGGGTGGTGTCTGGGAGGACGGCGGTAGGCTGCACGACGGCGGGCGAGTGGTGTTGGAAGTGCTGCAGGCACGTAGGTGTAACCCCGACACCAGAGTCGTACCCACGACAGATCTTTAGGAGATTCTAGAAGCTTCGTAGGGGCGACCGCCCAGGAGGACACGTAGAGAGAGAGAGCTCACTTCTCGATTGGTAAAGCCACTGACGAGGCCCCCGGCGGGGGGCCGAAACGCGTCTGGCACGCGTTCAATAGAGAGGTCGTACATGCATGCTCCAAGTACTTCCTTCAAGTGGTCCGCGATGGAGGCTAGGAAGATGGCGCGCAGCACGACGATGACGGTTACCTGAAGCAGGGCGGTGGGCACCAGGATGGCTGCGCAGGCCAAGACGGCGGGAAGGAGGAGGAGGAGAACCGGAGCGAACGGCAAGAGGCGGCGGACCGGAGGTGGGGCGATGGGGAGGGTAGCCGCCAAGGCGAGGGCGGTAAGGGCATCGAGCGGAGGGAAACGAGCGCAGGGCGCAGCGACCTGCTGGGAGGCGACGAGCATAGGGAAGCGTGCAGCAGGAGGAGGGCGTGGCTGCTGTGGCTTGCGTGCTGGTGTTGGCACCAACAACGCGACGCTGGTGGGGTGCTGCTGCTGCTGTGTGGACTGGCACTGTTGGTGGGGTATCGCTGCAGGTGGAATGCTCCGCAGTCACACCCCACCACTAGCGTCTAGTACTCTTGAGTAGGAATAAGTTATTGATAATAAATGGAATAAATTAATGGTTTTCTTGTATATTCTGCATTGGATCCTAGCGCTTCGCTCGTGCGGTATGCAGCAAGCTCCGCCTGAGCGAAACGAATGAGCAGCTCTCACTGAGTGCTGCTTGTTCATGTTATGGGTAGGTCGATAGGCGTGCCCAGGAAACTCGATTGAGTTCGTGATAATGGTTGAAACGCTATTGCAAACGGCTCAAATCAGCTCGTCAAAGGCAATACAAAAGCTAAGTAACTTGTCGGCAGCAGAACAGATATGCATATTATATCCTTATTACTTAGATTTCCTATGGGATGAATACATATTTCGGCCGCGTTGCCGACATTATACGTCGGCATAGTGTCGGCAGCAAATATACCTAACCCTAACCATGTTGATTGGCCTAAATAGGGATCTACGGGATGCTTATTCGCTGAAAAAACGTATTGGACATCTGATTGGGCCATGGCCGCCATACAGTGGCCAAGTCAAGTTCTTGTATGTTGGCACCGTCACGATATTCATCCATATCTGCCCAAGAATCATGTAGCGTTAGAGGAAATAATGGAGTAAACGACTTGCATTTCATAGCACGAAACCCTTTTTTTTGGGTTCCCGATGTGAGCTAGTCCAAAGTCATCAACTAGCTGCGATCGAAGCCGGAGCATGTCGTCATCGAGCGAAGCGATTGTGATCTCATTGACAAAGCCTATATCCGAACAAAATCGGCGTATTTGCTCCATTGTATTCGAAATATCTCGATTGAGGGTGAAGGGAGCATTTCGGTGGCTTGTGTTGCTCCGATGTTGCGGGTTGGAGATCCCGAATGCTGCCAACAACGATCTGTACTTCGCAACGGACATGACCGCCGCCGCAGGTGGGTAACACCTGGCGTTTTCGGCTCTATAGAATGCGTCAGGCGTGATACCGTAGAAACATAACCACAGTCCCACTTCCACCAACTGGAAAACGTCGTCAATGGTCACCGCATCTGCCTCACGCAAGCTCTTGTTGGCGTAGTTTTTGAGGCTCGCCAGGATGGCTGGGTCCAACTAGGCATTTTCGAAGCACTCAACGCCGACACCAGGAAGGTGGTGGTCCGACGTCCCAAACATCTTCTGTAAGAGCCGGCTGATGCCAGTACTTGATTCTTCTCTTGTCTTTGCCAATAGGAAGCCGTCCACGTCGTCGACTTCCACTCCCTCGACCTCTGTCGCAACATATCGCCAGGTCCCAGGCGGAGCTTGGTCTTCGATGTCGCTGTCGGTCTCGTACTTGTCGCCTGTAGATGTATCGCTCTCCGACATGAGTTCAGTGTGCAGGACGCTCGGGGGCGCTGGTTCCAGGGCTCTCGAAGAGCAATGAAGTGCACGCGAGAGAGCCGAATGCAGAGTGATTGCGGAGATGCCTTGACGCGTGCGCCGAAGTGCTGAACGCAGAGTGATCGCGGGACTGCCTTGAAGTTAGCGCACGAGTGCGGAATGTAGAGTGATTACTTGAGCTTCCCTGAAGCGCGAGCTCGTCCCGCACTCGCGAGTGCAGAGTGAATGTGAAGTGGTGGTCAATCAGCTTTGCCCTTAAAATTTTCGGTAGGATAAACGAATTTTGCTTTTGAAGCTGATGATCGGTTTGGTCCTTCGTTATTAGGACCAATTTCGTTGGGGCTAAACAATTCAAGTACAGTCAAAATTGTTTATATGATCCTCTCTATTTGAGCCATGCCGTTTATTTTATGCAGGCTTTACCGCTACCAAATATTTTACTTAGTTTTTGTATGACTTCTGTGTATTGGCATACACGGTATATGAGTCACATTTTTGGGGACCAAATTAGGTCTCACCTGTTTATTTAATTCACACTGCTCACGGCCACACACTCTTCAAAGCACCACTGCTCAACGCTCAACGCCTACCGCAAGCCCCCTTCGCTCGCCATATCTCCTCACACCTGTCTGACGCTAGAACAAAAGCTCCAAGTGCACCTAAAGCTCAAGCAGAATCCTGGCATGACGAACCCCATGCTCGCCGAGTGGATCTACGCAACGTTCAAGGCCCGGGTCAGCCGTGCCACACTTGCCCGACTGCACAACCTGCTGTTAGCGCTAGTGAGTATCTGGCAGTGGACGAAGGCGTGTCTGAGCACGAGCCAGATGTGCTAGTGGACGAATCGGTAGGAAGTGATGTAGTGTCGCAGGACGAGCAGGAGGAAGATGAGAACCAGGAACCCGCAGTTCAACCTACCATTGCTCTGAGACACTGCATGGAGCTGGCTGCATTTCTGCTACAATGCGGAGAGAAGACAGATAGAGAACGAAGAGCTGAAGAGCTTTACAGCTTTGGTTCGAGAGACTACGGTGAAGGCAAAGCGGCAGCGAACTATGGACAATTTCTTTTCGTGCACCACATAATCTTTTTAACTGAGTTCATTTTATATGAGTCATTGTAGTACAGTCAAACCTGTTTATATGAGGCCCTGTTGGTGACCATCAACTACAATGACTCATATAAAATGGACTCAGTTAAAAAATTATGTGGTGCACGTAAAGAAATCGTGCATAGTTCGCTGCCGCTTTGCCTTCACCGTAGTCTCTCGAACCAAAGCGGTCACGGTCTGTAAAGCTCTTCGTTCTCTGTCAGTCTGCTCTCCGCATTGCAGCAGAAATGCAGCCAGCTCCATGCAGTGTCTCAGAGCAATGGCTGGTTGAACTGCGGGTTCCTGTTCCTCCTCTTCCTCCTCTTCCTCCTAAGCGCTCCGCCAGCTCATGCGCCTTCAGCAGGAGCACGTCGTCCGCCATCGCCGTTTTAGCTTCGTTCTGAAAGAAAATTTCCCTCAGTTCCCGCTCGAACTGAGGGAATTTCACTCGGCGCCGCTTGGTCGCACTCAGGTCGACGTGGCTGAAGTAGGAAGAAGGCAGGTTGCGCAGTCGGGCGAGTGTGGCACGGCTGACCCGGGCCTTGAAAGTTGCGTAGATCCACTCGGCGGGCATGGGGTTGTTCGTGCCAGGATTCTGCTTGAGCTTTAGGTGCACTTGGAGCTTTTGTTCTAGCGTCAGACAGGTGCGAGGAGACATGCCGAGCGAAGAAGGCTTGCGGTAGGCGTTGAGTGTTGAGCAGTGGTGCTTTGAAGAGTGTGTGGCCGTGAGCAGTGTGAATCAAATAAACAGGTGAGACCTAATTTGGTCCCCAAAAATGTGACTCATATACCTTGTATGTATATAAACAGAGATCATACAAAAACTAAGTGAAATATTTGGTAGCGGTAAAGCCTGCATCAAATAAACGGCATGGCTCAAATAGAGAGGATCATATAAACAGGTTTGACTGTAGATGGCCACCAACAAGGCCTCATATAAACAGGTTTGACTGTAGAATGGGGGGAGGGGGGCAGAATTGACAAATGGTGTAAAACATATCACCACCTGAGAGACCCCAAAATGACCAAACCATTCCAAAATAGAGGTCTTTTGCAGAACTGTGTGGGTTAAAGGCACAACCCCATCCAGGCCCGCCACTGCTGATGTTTTTGCTACAAATCTTTGTGGGTTATCACCGCCAGCACATGGTAGTGGCACGATTTGCTGGTGTTGAGCTGTTCGCCGAGTGCTCCTGCGAAACGCCTTTTGCTGAAATATTTAACATGAAAGAAGGCGACTCCCAAGGCCAATATACGTTTCATAGCGCTCACTGTGAATGTACCTTCAAAAACAAGTCTGCTAACGATGGGTATGGTGCCTCCTAAGTTGTTGAGCAGTAGTTTAGCAGAGCTGAGGATATCTCGATTGTACTATTGATTGAAGACAACAGTCAATACTACGGTGTTTATTGTAGTTCACAATCTCAAACCTTGCAATCCTTCAATGTATTGCTAGTTGCTACTCGTCGTCACTGTCAACTACATACTCCGCACCATCGGAGTCCTCAATCGCCACCGACACCGAGCCCAGGGTAACTATGTCCCTGTTCAGCTTGTAAAACATCACCGTCTCCACGTAAGCACGCTCATGCTCTTCCGCAGGTATCCCACGGAACTCTTGACCATGGAGAAGAAGCGCTCTGCCACTACAGAAGTAGCAGGAATACACCCAGTTTCAGTGTACTTCGACGCCCTGAAGTTCGCTGGCGAGCCTTCTTGGACAGAGTATTGTCGACAACTTGCGCAACGCATTTCGCTTGGAGAAAGCTGTCGGAGGAGCGTCGATAGGTTGGGGAGCTGTCGAGTGTTGCGAACGCAGCAAACGCGAGACAGCCTTTCGCTCCGCCGCAAGCAGCGTCTTCTCCGAGCCGCTTTGCACTTTCACAATGCCAGCTTCAAAGTCGGAGAATTCAACCATTTGACCATTAACAGCTACTGTAGATACCCACATCAGTGAGTCGGTGACCGACATCAACGAAAGTCCAAACCACCATGCCCTTCCATAACAACATCGAACGTGCCCCGAACCGTTGTGATGGTCATGTCCTGGCGTTGAAGTCGAGTCGTGATCACGTCAAAAACGGTCATTTCGTCGAGTAGCTCAGCAATTTTCCTCTGCTCTCCTGCCGAAGGTATCAGATACACCAGCGGGATCCGGCGCAATCCTGTGCTGCTGTCACGGCTCGACACCTCGTTTGCCTCGTCGTCTTCGTGTTCTTCCCGCTCGATGTCACAGCCGCTGCGCTGGAGTGGCTATTACTGGATGCTGAAACGCTGCGAGGACTTGCAACGCTTTCTCCACTTGTTCTTTGACTCATGAAGCGCGAGGCTTGTATTTGCATCCAGTTATTTTCAACTTGGCTACACGCTTCACCGTCTTCAGCCTTTTCATCAGCGAGCTCATCTCTTTGATGATAGGCATGTTCGGCTCGATCCATTGTCGAACAGCGAGGTTGAAGCGGTGGGCTGCACAGACAATCATTGACACGTTGATGCGATGAGCAATCGCCTTTTTCGTCTCCATATTATCCGCCACAATAGCAATCATGTTGGCTACATGCAAGCCATAGTGATCGAGGACCAGGTCCGGGAAGGCGATGTGCTCCGACAAGGTTTGGGAGGTCTCGTCCTGGAACGGTGAGATGCGAGAAAACGAATGTCTTTCCTTGTGGCGACGAAAATGGCGATCTCATGTTCCGCGGCGTCCGTAAAGCCACCGAAGACAAGTACAAACTTCTCCCCCGTGAGTTTGTCACAGACCTTGACGTCAACGACACCAACAAGCGACACCATCCGCTTCAGAAGGGTCTTCTTGTTTATTGGTTTGATGCGGAGGGCGTCGCGAATCACTGGGTTGTCCACGTGAGCGAAGGGAAAGTTCATCATCGCCACGAGATTGGTCCAGCCGTCCGTATTGGCGGCATCCTTATGCTGGTCGTAGGGACGCAAGCATTCTTGACGCACGTCGCCGCGGCTTCTTTGTAGCCCTGATGATGACATTGAAGATGCGAGATCAGGTTCTGGTATCCCCCGTGCTTGTGCTGCGCTACGACGGCACCGCAGACGCAGCACGTGCGGTTGGTTGCAGTGGGATTCATGAAATAGGACGCTGACGATGTCGGCGCGGTGAAAGTTCTGCTCAAGTACCAGGGAGTGAATTGGCTAGTGATGTAGGGCTAGAAGAGGTCTTATGCTTGCTGCGCGCGGCAACACTCCCGCTTTTGGCGCGAATTACACGACACAGCTGCACCAACGACCGGTTTTCTTCGTTTAGTTCGTTTGTGACAATTGTATTGGCGGAATCGATTGGTTTGGGTGACGATTGGCTCCGCGTTCTACCGTGGACATACTTTGCAACTACGGCAGGAGATCGCAATCAATATCTGAAGATGATAAGCGTCAATATCTCTCAAACCTACAACGGCAACACGATTTCCCCCAGCTCTGGTAGTTTAGTACTCACACCACGCTTTTAGCGTCCTCATGCTGGTCGATAGATTGATAACAGGTCATTGGAGGAACAGGCCACATACAGGATAAACGAGGTTTTTCAGGCAGATCACACTGTTAGGTCTCGAGGTTTTATTTAGGTATCAGCTAGGTCTTGTATCCTCCATCCACTTCTCCCTTAGAAGAACCACAGCAACGTTCTTAACGATGACCGCAAATGCAGCTCCTTGAGGTCGCCGCTACGCGAAAAGCAACCCGCATGACAATTGCACGGGCGAACCCGGCCAACTCATCCGACGTGGGCGCAGCTACCGCGACGCGGTTGCTGCGGGACCCGCCGAAGGCCGCCAATTGCGCGCTTCCTGCCGAGTTGTTGCTGCTGGACCTGTCCAAGACCCCCGCCCAAGCCGCAGACACCAACCTGCTGCTGTTGCGCCTGCTGAAGACCCACGTCCGCGTGGCAGTCAAGCAGTCACCGATGCTGCTGGACCTGCCGAACGACCCCGTCCACGTGGCCGACACCAAGCCGTCGTCGCTGAACCCGGTGCCACTGGACCTGCCGAAGACTCCGGTTCCCGCGGGCGTCGCCCAGTTGCCGCTGCTGGACCCGGTGATGTTGGTGGACCTACCGAAGGCTCCCGGTCACACGACCGGCGCCCAGCTGTCGCTGCTAGACCCGTCGGGTCTGGGCTGGCTAAAAGGCCTCGCTCACGCAGTCGCCGGCGCGTGTCTGCAGCACGCCGTGATCCTTCGTCGTGCGCGCCAGGTGAAGAAGGGGGTGTCGCTGTACCTGCGGCCCGAGGTGGTGTCCGTGTGAGCGCGTGGCAGGAAGACGGGGCCATCTGCGTGTCCCCACGTGAAGCCGACGACCAAGAATCCGAAGGTGGAGGAGGTGATTGTGTCGGTGATTGGCGCCAAGCCGACGGCTCCGCTGCTGCGCTTAGTGACGGGGACCACGGGCGCGATTGTTGTGCCCCACGTGCTAGCGGCGGCGATCGTGTACGCCGAGGTGATGGCAGTGGACGCCGAGGCGATGACGATGGGAGCAGACATGATGGCAGCGCAGCACCTGGACCACGAGGTTGCGCTTGTCACGCACAGTATCATGGTGACGACGCTGATATAGTGGCAGCTACAGCAGCTGATGATGTCCGTGTTCGGGAAGACAGCAGAGCCCAAACGGTTGGGGTACGAGGCGGCACGCCTGGGCGAGCGGTCACAAGGAACGACGGCGGTCAAGCGGAAGTTGGTGCTCGGGGAGAAGATGCTTTCAGTAGCGAGGAGAATAGCGACACCGGCCGTAACGGCGGTGATGACGATCTGAACGTGGCGTCAGGTTCAGACATAGCGCCGTATGAATCCGATGCGGATGGCCCCTCCAGCATCAGTCCGCCCCCTAAGCGAGCGCACTCGCTGTCTCCGCCCCCATGTGAAGACACTGCACCGGCACGCAAAAAGCGCGATGGACGGACCAAGCTGTACGTCGACGGCTACGAGCTCACCCGCTCGGCATCCACGCAAGTTAAGATCACCTATCGCTGCAGTTTTTGCAGAATCCAGGGTTGCAAAGCAAAGCTAGAATTTATTGCTGCTGTAATGGAGTATGACTTTGCCAACAGTATTCCTCATACTTGCGTCCCACCACCACCATCGATGCAAGCCACGACTCTCACCGAGACTGGCGTCGTAGACGTCACCGCCGAAATGAAACGTGAAGTGGACAAGTTGGCGACCTCTACTGTGGCGACACCACTTCAGATTTGGGACGAGATAAGCACCAAGTACTACAGGACAGCAGCGAAAAACACAGCCATCAGGGGAATGGCTCGCTGTCAAGTGATCCAGCGAGTTCATCATGCGCGCGCACTGCACTATGGGACGGACGTGCACGGCAGAGTTGAAGTCCCTTCGTTGGTGAACTGCAGAAGCAGCAACTTGCTGTTTTGCAGTTCCGTCACGTTTGGGAAAACACGGACAATGAACTAGGCCGTCTTATTGGGTGGGCGAACCCTTCGTTACTTAGCTTGCTGCGCTACAAGAACATCACCCTGTTCGTGGACGGCACGCTCAGGTGTGTGCCGGACACATTCGCACAGTGTGTAGTCATTATGGTCTACGATCGGGGGGCAAAGCTCTACGTGCCCGTGTTCTTCGTGCTCTGCACGTCCAAAACGTACGACACATAATGGAACTTGCTCCAGTTTGTTTCCAACGCGTGCGGCGAGACCCTCAAGCCCAAGGAGGTCGTTTGCGGCTTTGAGGCTGCTCTCATCAATGCAGTAAGTGACTGGTTCCCGAGTGCGTCTGTTATAGGGAGCTTATTCCACTTTAAGCAGGCCTGCAAGCGCAGCATGGTCAAGTACCGGATCCACGAAGATCAAGTAAAGCTTTCTTGACATCCTCACGGCGATTGAGCCGACCAATATCGCAACTCAGGGTATTGCATGGGTGCAGAGCGCGATTCAGGAGCGATGCGCCAAGGACAACATCATCTACTCAGCTAGCAAGTGGGTTTCCTTGTGGAAATACTTTGAGCGCATGGTTGAAGTTATCACCGCCTAAATTCGGGAATGTGCACGGGTTTAGCGACCACATCGTTGCGCGTACCAACAATCCTCTCGAGCGATTTAGTCGCGAGCTCAATGCAGCATTTGGAACGCCGCATCCCTTGCTGCCACGCTTCGTTCAAACGGTGGAGGACATCTCAAGGCGCCGTGTTCAGCTTCACGATGTCATCAGTCTTGGACGAGCGAAGCCTTCCCGCCGTGTTGAGAGATACGAGCTGCCGTTCCCCGTCGAGCTTTTCGACAGTGTTGATGAAGTTGACAGCGCCTGCGTTAAGATTGAAGTTCCTTTGATGGCCCTTGGTCTTGTCCGTAGTAAGCTGATAGGTCATATGAGACGACGGCAAACAAAAAATTACTTATAAACCTAAGTACGAATCCCATTCGCAAGAGGGCTATCTTAGCTTTCGTTTGAGCTATTCCACAGCCAGATTGATCGCTGAGAACGAAGCCGGAGAAAATTTTTTCTCCATTTTTGAGTCGCGATCTCAATTTTTTTATTTGCGTTTATAGGGTAAAAAGACGCGAGGAATCCAGTGGTGGTCTCAGATTTATCTAAAAACAAGTCTAACATAGCTAAAATAACTTTTTTCCGGATCCAGTACAAATCACGGGGGTATATTTTTGACTATTTTCCGAAATTTGGATCAAGTCACTAAGAAACATTTTGATTCACCAGTGGACATAGGTAACAAAATGATGCACTACACGCTCTCGCCTACTCATCTTCAGCTTCAGGCGTCGCTGAAGACTTGCGCTTCTTGGAGTTAGCAACAGCTTTCTTGCAGGGTGCTGCTCTCTTCTTTTGGGCAGCCATTCCACGTCCTTCTTGGTTCTTCTTGGCGGCCGCTGCCATTGCAGCACGATGCGCTAAGCGAGCTTGCTTCTTGGTTTTAGCTGCAGCTCCTTCATCCTCACTTGGCTTCGCGTACAACGGGTCGTTCTGGAACTCGTCCGGGACGTACGGCCTAATGGAATTGTACATCTGCTTTTTCTTCTCGGCATTGATAGGTGGGGGTGGCAGGATTTCAATGTGGTCTGTCATGATTCGTGCCACCTTCTCCTTAGCCGTCAAAATGCAATCGATCTTTCGACGTAAGTCCTGCTCCTCTGCATCCGAATTTGGGCCCTTCTTGCACGCCACAACACCCGGCTTGGAGCCGTCAACTGGCACTGCTGCACACCATCGAGCCGCTTGTACAACTCAGTCAGCACTGGTTTGTACGACTTGAAGAGCTTGCTGCCCCTTGGAACATGCACAGTCACGGAGTTTGCCGAAGCTGCGTCGACTGCATCAATAACGTGCTGCATTGTCCAGCACTCAGCGGAGGCCAAGTGCTTTCGAATGTGGCCAAATGCACGGTCACACGAATTCTTCGTATGCCCCTTTACGAAAAATTTGAAGTCCACATGCTCGAAAATGCCCATGTCCACAAGGGTCAGCAAGAACTTGATCACGTAGTTGTTCTTGTTCTGGCCCGAGCAGTTGTCGGTGTACACAGTCAGCTTGGTTTTGCCAGACGGCACGAGCTTTGTCTCGATAAAATGGGCCAGCATTGAGTTGATTTGGTCGCTGCCCTTGCTGCTGGTGTTTTCATCGTAGATGTAATTTGTGTGCGCACCGTCGTTCTCGTAGTAGATACCGAAGCAGCTCACCGACAGCAGAGAGCAAAAATACCATTGGGATGGCGTGTTGGCCACGCTGGGGATAGTCAGGTTCTGCGAGTAGTCCATGACAATGACCGCGTGGTCGCTCGAGCAGAAAGTCTTGTCACACTTGTATTCGCGCCTGTAAGTAATTTAAATTGTTACCAAACTCCATGTTAAATACACGAAGTAATCAAAATGTTGCTTACGTCCCCATACACAACTTACCGCATGAGCCGAGCCGATTCAGTATGGCGGCCGAGTGCCTCCGTCTTGTCAGCCGCGACGCCTCCGCGCATTCCGGCGTGGTAAATAACGCATACATCGCATACGTTGCTTCGCGGGGATCGGATCCGAATCGTAGGGCAGTGCAGCGTCAGCAGCTTCCGCATCGTGGCTCGTGCGGGTTCACGCACCCTAAGCCCAGACTCCACAAACTTGTGCATTTCATCCCAAATTGCGTCCCAGGTAAAGTGTACCGGGACTTGTCGCTGCTGTAGTATTTCTGGACGCTCCCGTCGATTTTCTTTTGCATACGGACGCGCACAGGGACGACCTCGCCAACCTCCTCCGCAAAGCTGGTGAACCACTTCACCAACCAGACCACGTCCACTTGCGACGCGTTTTTGTTGAGTTTGTTCCCGTGGTCCTTGATGACCATGTTGTCATCGCGGATTCTTCTTTTGTAGCGCTGTAGAGTCATGGGTACGAAACCGTAGCAGCGAGCGAAGATGGGGCGGCACACTTGCCCAACAAAAGGAAGATAGTAGTTGACAGGGCTGCCGAATATGGTATTTTTATTTATTAGCGCAGATAGTGTCTCATAAATAATACAAGGATCTTGTCATTTGTATCTGCATAAATTATGTAATGTATTCGAGCAATAAATAAATAATGTGGTGCCACTTCAACGGGTATTAGACGTACGGTTACCCACACTAATTGACGCGATCGACTGTCGAAACGTCCCAGAAGTCAGCATTCTCGCGCAGAAACAAAGTTGTTTCCAGCGTAGCGGACTGGGGACTGTTGCGTTCTTGAGCAAACGTGGTACGCGCCACGCTGAAAAACAGCCCGACCTTGTTCGAGGTCGGCGGGATGCTGGAGATGACGTCGTAGCGGGGTTTCGAGCCTCGAGCCGGCGACGCTTCTCGAGACGCTGGACAAACGAACCCTCTGGCTCCTCGCCGCCGTCTTCCGCACCGTTCGCGAAATAGTATCATAAATTATGAGTATGGAATAGTAATATGGTATCATAAATAATGGTACGGTCTAAGCCGCCGCTCATAAATTATGCAGCAATATTTATGGCAATTACTGGAGCGTCAATTTATTTTTCGGCTGCCCTGGTAGTTGAATCGTTCACGGTCGCCACTTCCTCTCTTGCGGTCGACTGGCACTTGCATGAGCACAGCCAGGAGAGTATACAGGCTGGTATTCTTCTCCGGCTTCGACATCTGCGACAGCGAGCACAGTAGAGACTCCAACTCCTTGGCCTTGCCACGCACGCAGAGGTTCTCGCACGGGTCCGACTGGATTATCTCCGTGGCTTGGGCGTTGAGGTCGGTGTCGAACAAAAAGTTACTTAACCCCTTGTTCACTATCGTCGGAGGATCCTACAACACCAAATCCGGATATGTCGGAGGGGTGGACATGAAGATGGCCACAGCTATGCTAGGTGTACTAAATTATCCTTATGCAGAAACTCGACGCCCGCGGTAATAATACGTCCTCTCTATTATGTACGTGTACTGTAAGTATATGTACTTAGCGTCTCACAGCGCATGACACGGCTTCTACCTACTCTTTGTTTTACTGCTAGCCGTGATGGCAACGCAGCTCGTGGTGCCTGGGATAGAGATGGTCGGCTGCGCCCAAATGTGTGGGCGTTGTTGCACTACGACGAGTTGCTGCTAACCGTGTTGGCCAAGCCGCTCGTGTAGGCTAGGGTGGATATGCTCGTGGAGACGCCAATGTGCTGACGCTGTTGTACGACGACGACTTCCTGCTGGCCGTGTTGGCGACGCAACTCGATTTGCCTGCGATGGCGTGTGGTGCCCTTTGGTGCGCAAATGCATCGACACCGACATGATGGCGCCACATTGCGGCTCCACGTGTTGGCCAGGGAGCCCAATACGGAGATGGCGTGGCCCATTCTACTCGGTTTCCTTAAGTCGGTGAATGGCGTACCTATGCTTCTATTACGGCTGACGGTGACGGCTAGACTGCCCGAGTGGCGCGCGCCGATGCGGGTGGCGTTTAGCTGCTTGGCTAACATAGTGTAATAGTAGTAGTATCTAATCGATGTAGGATAATAATGATACGTGACGGCTTTTAGCTTGCGTTTTATATGTTCACTAAGCCTGATCATTATCAATGTTTCTCTATACAAATTCCACGTTACCGATATTAGTACCTACGATACTATTTCAAGTATTAGTTGCACTTCGTGCTACATTTCGCAAAATTGTTATAACGCGATGCATGGCGCCCATGCATCGCCCCTCTACCGGGCCGTGAATTCCCATTCCCCGTTAGCTAGCGTTGCTACAGCCTGCCGGCATACTGCGATCTGCCGTCTTCCTCAACGCGACTCACGTCGCTGCTGATCCTACCTACAGGTCTATGACTGCTAGGCCCTACCGCTCGTGCTAGCCGATATGGAGACTCGTATGTGCCCCAACCTGCTGACGCTTCTGTACTACGACGAGTTGCTGCTGGCCGTGTTGACCGAGAGGGCCGTGGAGCTCATGCTGTCCACGATGGAGATCGCGTGGCGCGGTCTGGCGGGGCGGTGGATCAGTGTGTCGATGTAGTGACGCAGTTATACTACAACCTGATGCTGCTGGGCATGGTGGCCGAGCCGCTCGTGTAGGCCAAAATGGAGATGCTGGTCGGTGCGCCAAGAGCCTGACGCTGTTGCACTACTGTGGTGTAGTGCCCAGCGAGGAAGCGGGCACGTCGGCGTCGGTGAAAGAAGGCGCCGAGACGAATGCTGATGGATGCGGATGATGAACTCGACGCAGTTGATGAAACGCGACGCGATTGTTGGGGGCGACGCGCGGCAGAGGTCGACGGAAAGTCGACGCGGGTGATGGGCCGCGAGACACAGCGACAGAGTCCAACTCGACGCGTGATCATCCGACGAGTCGGCCAACGCCCAGTCGCTGCAAAATGCGTCGACCCTAATCCCCGCCGAGCAAAACCCGCCGAGCAAAACGCGCCGAGCAAAACGCGTCGAGGTAAGATCTTGATTACGCCACGCAAATCAGGTTGAAGGACGGCAGTGCAAGAACGACAGAAGTAGGGATAGGCACAGAACGATAGGCTTAGCAAGCAGTAGTACGGAGTAGCCAGTAGCTAGGGCATAGGATAGGGTAAGGACTCAGTCCCGAAATTTCTCTGAACCACAAAGACCTCCCGTCTTCTCCGAGGTTTCAGGGGAACCACCAAGCGCCGGCAAGTAGAGCCGCCTCGATATCGCGGCCCCCCGTCGTTTGCTGGTTCGGGTGCTCACCCCCCACAGACCCGTGCTGGAACAAAGGCACGTTAAACGTATACCGTTTAGGTGGGCGCCTGATAACGCGCTGCCTTGGCGAAGGACCGCACTGGCCTGATAACCGCCATGCACAACCCCCCCCCGTGTAGGCCCGATAACGTCACACAAGCCCCAGGAAACGCCGGCCCGATAACGCCGCACGCCTGACGGGAACGCCGAGGAAACACCGGCCCGATAACGCCGCACGCCCAAGGCTCGACGCCCTACGACAAGGAACAAGCGTCAACACAAGACCCCCCCCCCCAACTCCGAAGCCTGCGAAGACTTGGGCCTGTATTTCGAAGATACGCTACTCCAACAACCGGGAATAATTCGCTCGGCGCGACCGCTATCCAGACGCGCCGAGTTTGTGCGAGATCGCATTCGCGAGATTTCTGCGAGGGCGCTACTCCACATTGGTGCCGCGACCCGGGAGTACTACTTCGAATGACGGGCTATCGATCCAAGAGGCATCGGAGGCAGGTGCGCGGTCGGCTGGAAGGTCGCCGACTGCAGGAGAGCACAGTGAGAGACCTGTCGCGTCGTGGAGCTCTGAGGGAACCTTCACAACAGGCCACGGGGCCAGCGACGACCAGGAGAGCTACGAAGAACAGTTTGCCGTTCCCGATGTGGCTCCCGACGAGGAAGCCGCGAAGGGCCGCGACGTAAGTCGCGGTCCTACTGGTCGGAAGCCTGCAAAGGCCGACGACCAACAACAACCCACCGCCAAGGCCGCCGCCAAGCGCAAGTCGCCCAAGAGGAGGAAGGAGAAGAAGCTGCGCGCCGGACTCGGCGGAAGCGTCGCTGTCCAAGCCGGAAGGCAAGGACGCGGGGCGCCAGTACACCGTCGAAGAGGTGCGGTATGCGTGGCGTGCACTGAGCTCTTCCGGCTACTGGAGCAAGACCCGATCTTGGTCTTCCTCAAGCCCATGCTGATAAGCAACTTCACGGGCCCCTTCGTCGCGCCGGACTTCGATAGTCTCACCAGCGTCGCCCACGCCGCGCCGATTCTCTTCCAGATGCTGCGTGATTCGGGATTCGTGCTGGGATCTTTCGAGATGGAGAAGCTGTGCGACTGGGACCTCAAGTCCTGGTTGCGCGCGATTCGCATCGTGCAGGAGCCCTTGACGATTCTCGCCGGATCCGTCAAACAAGACGCGACGAGTTTCTCAGCGGCCAAGACGCGCCGAGTTCCTCGACGGGCTCAGCCCAGACCTCGACGACCACGCCCTCGCCGCCACCTCGATACCAATCGAGAGTGGACTTCAATAGCAGCTTCGAGTCGCGCAAGCGCAAGTCTCCGGAGAAGCTCTGCGCGCCGGATTCAGCGGATGGACCGCCGGCCAAGGCGAGAGGCGATGACACGGGGAATCAGTTCACCGCGGCAGAGATGAGGTATATGCTTGCTGGAGTGGAGCTGATCCGGCTGCTGGAGCACGATCCGATCCTGCGTTTCATCAAGCCCAACGCGATCAAGTTCACGGGTCCTTTCCGGGTGCCGGACTTTGACATGCTCACGAACGTTACGCGAGCCACAGGGACACTCTTCGAGATGTTGCCCGAATCAGGCCTCAGATTGGGCATCACCGAGAGGACGGGGGTGTATGACTGGGACGTCGAGTCGTGGACACGTACGATCCGCGGCGTCTTGGGACCGTTGACGGTCCTGGTCGGATCCATCCAACGCAAGGTGACTCCGCCTGGGACGCGCCCAATCTCAACGCAGATGATAACTTCGTCCCAGGCTGAGTCGAGCGTGCATTCCACGTCGAGGTCCAAACCCCGACGCGACGTAGATGACGAACCCGCCGACTCGTTTGACGTGGACTTCGGGATGCCGAAAACCACGGCCGCGACCTCAATCACGACTTCACCGGAACTGGACGAGGTTTTCAACCATCTGAGCGAGCCGCCGCGCGCTACGCCCCGTAAGGTCACGCCAGCGCTTATCAAGGTTCTGCCGGATCTGAAGGAAGCAATTCCTAAGGCGCTGGAAGAGGCGAGTACGCGCTCTACGATAACTCAGGCGTCGAATACCCATGTCTCTGCGGTTCATGTCGAGCCAAGAAACTCGACGCGAAAACACTCGACGCAGAAAATGTCGACGCGAGACGCGTCAAAGGAGATGCGCCAGCAAGGACTTGGTAATCACGCCGTGATGTCCGTCGCAGTGCCGGTTGCGACGTCATCCAGGCGACCGTTGGGCACGGCGCGGGCCTCTACGACTCCCGAGCAATCGCGTTACGACGCACGAGTGCGGCCGGTCTCACTCGACGCGCTTAAGCGACTCGACCCAGGGCAAACACTCGACGTCCGCCTGCGCTCCAGCCGAGATGCACCGCGCCTGTGGGTCACGCGCAGCAAAACGTGGGTTACAACCATGTTTAAGACTAAGATCGAGCGACAAACATACCTGCGGGTGACCAACGTCACGGACGAAACAATAACGCTCGACGCAGGCACGAACGTGGGTTGGTGGACTGACACGAGGCGGTCCCCAGAAAATTGCCGACGATGTGCCGTCACCTCTGTGACTTGGAGTTTGTATCGGATGCTGATTGGTGGATGACTTGGATACGGCGCGGCTGTACCCGTGTGACATGGATGGTGACTGTGGGGGAGAAGTGATTTCTGGGGATGAATCCAGCGTCTGACCGCAGATGGGCCCAACTGGCTCGAAGTGTGAATCCTGGGAGTGCACGCCCAGAATTTCAGAGAACACTCAGTCCAGCCGCGGACTTTCCCTTACGATGAGTGCCTAAAGTCTGGCGGAAAGTGTCTCTGGAGAATGTATCCCAGAGTACACCTCATCTTGCTGTGGCTCAGAGTGCCCCAGAGGATCAAATTACCCTGAGAATCAACCCACTACCACCGTGATCATGCGCAGGAGGCCGCTAAACCCGCTAAAAGTGTGGTTTGTGGAGATGCACGCAGGCCTTCAATGTAGCAGACTTGTTACCCAGAGTGCCGCACGATGAACCAGAGTTCACCTCCCTGAGTACAGGTGACCCAGAGTTCCAAAGATGATTATCTGGGTTTGGACCATAAATCCAGACTCTCTATACTGAACTTAAGTGTTTCCCAAGCCAACACCCAAGAATCCCTACAGTTCCCCAAGATCCCTCAGAATTCCCAGGATTTCAGAAGATGACCCTGAGTGTCACCTGATTCGCAGGGATTCAAGTCAGTGCGCAGTCAGTCTGCGATCAAAGTGATGCGTGACCTTGAAGAACCGCTATGGATGCGCAGACTGGATACTTTCGAGGAGTCGAGAGGGAGTCCTGCACCATACTAAACCAAGTCTAAGGACCCACAATTGGCACTTTCGACACCGTGCGACAATGGATTCGCAAGCCGATCGCAAGATTGGACCGCTGATCCCAAGGCATACTCAAGACAAGACATTTTGACCCCAAGCATAGTGAACAGAAGATATTTGCCCGAAGAAGAAGAAGAAGAAGAGAGAGAGAGAGAGAGAGAGAGAGAGAGAGAGAGAGAGAGAGAGAGAGAGAGAGAGAGAGAGAGAGAGAGAGAGAGAGAGAGAGAGAGAGAGAGAAGTAGCTGGTAAAAACCAAACAGAGTTCCTTTTACCCTGTACTGCGCATGTGACTTCGGCCAAGCCTGCCGACGGAAATCCGGAGGACCCGAGACTACGACCGCGGGACGCTAAGGGCACATCAACGGCGAAGGACAGCCGTCTGTGTGGGCTCCATCAAACTCAAGTCCAGTTAGGTGGTGACCAGCGACGGCCTTGAGCTTCCTGGGGTGATCCAGCTATTCCATATCGTAGTTGGGTCACTTGCTGTGCTCGTGGTAGCTCATTTCATATTATTCCAGAGGGTATTCTGGGGTGCTAAGTAGTCGCCTCCAGGATTTTGTATTGACTGCTTGTGTGAAGGGAAGGTAACTGATAGTGATTGTATTTTCCTCCTTTATTGGAGGTGGTGCGCGTTTGTGTGAGTCTCAGGGGAGCTAGGCCCCTGAATTTCAGACTCGAGTGAGCCTAGTGTGTGAGTGACCCACCTTCCAAGGATCCAAAAGAATAAGTGACGGGTAGTTGTAGTGTTTGTATAGTCTGTATTTGTTGGTTTTATCGAGCTAGGAGGGCATTTGGGTAAGGTGTCTTCTGGGTTCCAAGTCCCAGAGTTGACTGAAATCCTGGACCCTGAATTCGTGATATTCTGGGTTTCAGGGGATCTGATTCTCTGTGTTTGCCTTTTGGTGTGGAGGTGCGTTCTGAAGTAGACGTGCGCCCCCGCACTTCCTCGAGGCTACATTTTCAACCGTTGGAGTGCCGTTCCGTCGAAGACAAACGAGCCGACAGGGATTACACAAGGTACCCACGCCAACCAAGGAGTGTGATTCTCAGGGTTTAAAGCTTTGCGGCTGCGAATCTCTGGGTCTATCTTCTTGCTGTTGACTCTCAAGTCGATTCTCTGGGTCTACCCCTGGGGAACCGTCTTGGGCTGCGCTATACGAACCCCCCTGGGCGACAAAGGTTTCATCGGCCTCGCCTCAGCTGGTGCGCGTGCCCGGATTTGATTGTCGAGGATTTCACCGGAATCAAGTCTTGAAGAAGTGCTGAGTGCCCGTCAACTTCAAGCTACCAAGATGCCTGGAGGGCGAGGGGCGAAGAAGAGTGGACGCGGTGACGGAGGACGCGGTGAGGCGTCACGTCAGTCGCGTTGTGTTCAAGGTATGGAGCCTGAGGAGCACAAGGACCTGGAAACAATCGTCCGCGACGCTCGGAAGGCGAAGAAGGCTGCTCGCGAGAGCGAGGCAGTGCAAGGTGGGGACGTCGAGGCGTCTGCAGTCCAAGGTCAGCCTGCTGCTGGATCGCAAACTCAGGAGGAAGAAGTTTCCCCTGGGTTCCAAGGTTCGACGGAGGTGAATTCTGGGTCGCGGATTCCTGAAGTCCCAGAGGAGCATACCCGCGAGGGTGGTGCTCAGGCGTCTGAGGGAGGCGCCAATGCGGTTGAGCCCCCGGAGGTGATTGACTTGGTCTCATCTTCGGACGAGTCTGTCAGGGAAGTGAAGTCGGAGCCCGTGCGAGCGAAGGAGGAGGCGAAGACTCAGAGTTCCAAGGTGAATTCTGGGTTCGCACCACCTGAACCCAGCGTTTCAGCGCCAAGTTCGCAAGCGGCACCCAGGAAGACGCCTGAAAGCGACATCCGGGAAGTTGCTGCGCCTGCTCCGGAATCGGGAGCAGCAGCGTTGGACGCCGGGAGCATGGTGCTGTACGTTCGACGTGAAGTTCGACGCTGGGAAGAGGTGAATCCTGGGAAGGTGACGCCGCCAAGTGTCGTTTATGAGTGGCTGACTCCGAAACCGGATGCCAACTCGTACTTCGCGGCCGCGTAGGCATCGGGAGACTACCTCAAGTGGCGTTTGTCTCTGGAGAATCAAGATGAAGCCTGGATCTCTGAGTTTCCCCTCGCCCGGTGGGGCGTCGGAACTGCTCGGGGTCTCATGGCGACTACGATTCCCCAGAGTATCATGACCACCCGCGAATGCGTCGCCATTCTACAAACTCTGTGCTTCGAAGCCGGATTTGAGTTTGTCAATTTGATCCCTGGCTGGTCTTCGACGCGTGCTTCCAGGATTCCAGAAAGTCTGGTGCGCTCTGTCATGGAGGAAACCCAGAATTTCATCGCTGTGGAACTGGTCGAGTGGAGATTGGTGATAGCTGGTGTGCCTTTCAAGGTAAACTCTGAAGATCACGCCGCACCAAGCGCCCAAGAGCAAGCACCCAGACTGGACTACCACAAGGAAGATGGAGACGGTGATCTATTGATGACGGACTACGATGCGGATCTACTGGGCCGACAGTTTGTCCTGAGATTCAGAGTCACTGGACTCAGGATTTCACGGAGCCCGCGAGGGTCGAGTGATGGTGAGCCACGATCCAAGCGTACTCAGCATGGACCGCCTCGGCCACAAGTCCCGTCAACGCCATCCGCGCTGTCTACACCGTCGCTGTCCTCTCTTCCAGCGTACAAGTCTTCGACTGGTGCCTCGCTTCAGAATTCCACTCCCCTGAATTCCATGTCCAATTGACGTGATTCTCTGGAGGCGGAAGCCAAGGTCGCTACCCCAGGCGCGGTGCCAAGTGTCATCGGTACATCGCGCGCTTCGGATGAGAGTACTGCCTCGGGCGTCCAAACGTCTTATGGTAGCTCTTCGTCTTCGTCGATGATGTCGCTTGGACAACGAGTTGGAGCTCTAGCGCTTGTGGCTCAGAGTGCCGGTGGCTTTGCAGCTGCCGGTGATCTTGGATTTCAGGTCACCCGGACAGTCATCCCGTCGCGTATTGTGTCAGTCGACCAAGATGACGTTGAGATGGCATGGTCGGTGCACTCTGACGCAGAGATCGCACCCAGGAAGGCCGGTCTCCCCAGGATTTCAGCCACGACTTCCGAGCTGAAACTCAGGGTTTCTGCCCCGATTGCTGGATTTGGTGGTCCAAGGGATGTCAGCGCCGATGAGCGGAGTCAACACCAGAGCTCTAAGAGCGAGGTGCGCTCTCGACGCTCGACGAAATCCAAAAAATCATCTGCGTCGAGGCGCTCGAGTGGATCCAGGAATCTTGGGTCAGTTTCGTCCGTGTCCGCGAGGTCTGGGCCCGCCCAAATCGAGCTGAACGTCTTGCGACAACAGCGAGAGTGGCAGGCCCGCATGGAACAGGAGCAACGCGAGTTTCTCGCCAGAGAACGCCTGGATGCCTTGGAGCGCGAGCGCCTCAGGGAACAACGTGACCTGGACGCGCGTCGCCAGATCCAGGAACTTACGGATTGTTTGGTCCACGCTGAGATCGCCCGAGGAGAAGCGGAACGGCGTGCGCAGGACGTGGAGGCTCGCCAGACCCAGAATTCCACTGAAACTCAGGGGATGACCCAGAGTATCACGGAAGCTGTACGTCGTGAGCGTGAGCGCCTGGATGCCGCCTACGCCGAGCGCTGGCAACAGCACGAAACCGAAGCCAACTCGGAGCGCGCGCGCTGGGTTTCCGAGACCTACGCCGGTTGGAAGGAACAAATGTCAACTATGGAGCAGAAGGTCCAAGAACTTGAGGCGGAGAAAGAGCGAGAGCGGGAGTCTTCCGAGAATATCCAGCGCTTCCACGCCGGCCAAGTGCGCGACCTTCGTGC